ATAGCTAGAGATTATAGAGACCTTTTTTTTACTTCTAAATAACTACTAAATACTCTAATATAGAGTTAATATAGGTATTTTAAAGTATCTAAGAGGAGGTATTAAAGGTATTCTAGAGTATTTAAGAGTTATATAACTCCCTTATATCTTATATAATAGTTATCTAAATTATATAAAAGTAAGTCTATTATAATAGGAAAAATTAGGGTATTTTTATAGTATATATAATTATACTATTATTCCTTATATATTCCCTAGGGTAAAGTCTTTTATATTTAATAGAATAGCTAGTAAAGTTAAAAATAGATTATTTAAAGAACCTAAAGTATATATAATTAATTATAAGGCTTCTAGAGAACCTAGGGTCCCTATAGGGTTATTTCTATTATTTAAGGGTTTAAAGGGTTTACTTATACTATATAATAGTATTAGCTCTTAATTAAAAGTAGAAGGTTTATTAATTTTAAAATAGATATACTATAAAGGTATATTACTATATTAATTAGGTTAAATATACCTAGTACTTATAGCCTTTATAGCTTTCTATTCTAAGAAAGAAAAGAAGAAAGGTTTAAAAGGTTATATAGTACTTAATAATAAAGAGAATAAGACTATTATATACTTTCTACTCCCTAGGTTTAATAATATATTAAGCTTAGCTTTAAGTAATAAAATAATAACTTAAGCTAGATACTATAAATTAGGCTTAATAATTAATTTATTAATACTTTCTTAGTAAAACTAAAGGTTAAAAGCCTTTACCTTTTAAAAAGCCTTAAGATTAATAGCTTTTTCTTCCTTATAGAAGGTAGACTTATTAAATTTAATATAACTTAAATTAATAACTTTTATACCCTTTAATAAAGATACCTAGACTAGATATTAAATTAATAAGGTAATTTCTATAAAATAGCTAATATAAGCTTATTATTTAAGCTTATTATTTAAGCTTTATATTCTTTTTAATATTAATATAAAGGCTTTATATTTAAAGGTTTTAATATACCTTAAATTAGGCCTTTAATTCTTAAAGAGATAGTTCTATTCTTATTAATTCTCTTAAAGCTAGTTTTAAAGTAGCTTAAAAGGTAATTTCTAGTCTTTTAAGTAATAAGGCTAATAATTAAAAAGATAAATAGCTATTTAATAGGCTAACCCCTATAAGTTAAAAGGTATTCTAGCTTAAAACTAAAGGTAAGTTACTAATTCTTTAATTACCCCTTTAAAGTATTCTTAGTAGCTACTATAATATAAGTAGTTAAGTAAGCTAGGAAGGAATTTTACCTTTATTATCTTATAATACTTCTATTCTATAAAAAAGGCCTTATTATTTATTAAAACTATCTTAATATTAATTTTATATTATTTTTTAATTATATTAATAAAGGTAGTTATTATATTATTAAAGCCTATTTTTTCTTTTATTATAATTATAATATAGTATTCTATAGACTAGTAAGTTATTAACTATATATAATAGTCTTAATTAAAAGCTACCTTAAAGGTAAAGATATTAATAGAAATAGTTATAAATAGTATTATTAAAAAGGTTAGTTTTTTTTTCTTTTAAAATATATTTTTCTTAGCCTTAAAAATACTATAAACCTTATATTTTAATAATAAAGATTTTTTATTTATCTTAATACTAATAGTATAAAATAAAGCCTATCTTATAGTCTTAATACCTAGATAGTTAAGGTAGTTATATTATAAATTAAAAAAGGTAATAATTATAGGTTTTAAAGCCTAGAAAGAGCTTATAATAATAATAGTAATAGCTTTTCTTTTAATACTATTAAATAGTAGTTACTTTCTATAGTAGTTAATAGTATAAATTAACTTATAAGATAAGCCTATATACTTAAAAAAGGTATTATTCTTTAACTCTTAAAAAATACCTTTATTCTTTAATTAATATTTTAATACTAAATTTATTATAGCTATTAAGTAATATATTATATTATTAAGTATTAAAGTATTTTTATTAGCTAATTTAATATATATACTTTTAATACTTTTAGCTAACTATTAGTTATTAAAAACTTTATAAATAGTATAGGTTTTTTATTATATCTTAATAAACTAACTTAAATTATTAAAGATATAATTCTTAGCCTTTAAATTTAATATTATTTTATTTATTATATTTAATAGAGATTTAATAGATATTATAATAATAAATATTTTTAAAAAGTCTTTAAAGGCTTACTTAATACCTTTATACTTTTAGAATTTCTATAGCTTTATTATTTTCTTAAAGACTATAATCTCTTTTTAAACTAACTTAGGTTATTTAATAATAGCCTTTTTAACTTATTTATTAACTTTTTTATTTTAAATAAAGGCTATTAGGTTTTAAGAATATATTTAAGGAATATAAGTAAAGTATAACTTTTATTAAGTATTATTATTAATAATATAATACTATTTTTTATAAAAGCTATAATTCTTTTTTTTTAACCTTAAATTACTTTTATTAGACTTTTTTAAGGTTTTATTATTAAGTTAATAGTTTATAATTATAATAGTTTTAATAATAAGTATATTTAGATTCTTTTAATAAAGCCTATTTAGAATATTCTTTAGAATTAAATTATAATCTTTAATAAGGTTTAACCTTATAATAGCTATAAAGGTAAGATATTTTAAATTAATAATAGTAAAGACTTTTTTAATAGTTTAAATAAAATTAATATATTATTAGACCTTAAAGTAAAAATACTTTTTTATAGTTTTTTTAATCTTTTAGACTTATTTACTTAATATAGTATTTTTAAGCTTTAAATTAGTTAAAAAAGTATTTATTTTTTAAGTTAATAATCTTATAATTTCTTTATTAAAAGGCTTAATATATCTTTTAAGCTTATAATAATATTCTTAAAGGCTATATTAATTAAAGATTATAATTAAATAATCTTTATAAATTAAGTTTATAACCTTAGCTTCTAGATTCTATAATACCTTTTTCTTTTTAAGGTATATAGTTTAATTAACTAAATATAAAGTTATTTTAAAAAAGGCTATTTTAATTATATTATAATATTTAATTATAATAATAATATATTTAATAATAATAGCTTTTTTCTATATTATTATAGTCTTTATAAAAGCTTTACTTTTTAAAGTTAAAGGTAAAGGAGTTAAGGTTAAGTTTAAAGTAATAGTAAGTTAAGGTTTTTTTTCTTTTTTCTTTTTCTTTAATAATATCTTTTATTATTAGAAAAATAGCTTTAAATATAGATAGCTTTAAAAGGTTAATAAGCCTAATAAGTATAACTAGTTTTTTATTTTAAGCTAGATTAATTAAAAGCTATAAATCTTTTTAATTTATAAGCTTTATTAGCTTTTAACTCTATTCTAGTTAGTTAAAAGGACTATTTAAATAGATAGTTATTTTAGTATTTAATAAGGTTATTATTAATAAGTTTTTCTTTTTTATAAATAAAAAAAGAAAAAATAAAGATTATTTTAAATTAATAAATAATAATATTTAATTAATAACTTTATATAATAATATAATAAAAATAATTAATACTTTTTAAATAATTAAAAAAAACTAATTAGTTATTAATTAAGCTTATAACTATTATATTAAGAAGCTTAATAATTATTTAGATAATATTAATTAATTAGAAAAGAGGCTATATAGCTAAGGATTACTAAAGATACCCTTATAGGGGGTCTTTTAGAAAAAGGGGCTAAATATATATAAAAAATACTTAAAAGCAGGACTAGGCCCTATGATAGGCAGTCGCCCTGCTTGACATACTGGATATGGATGGAGCAAAAAAGAAAAAAAGAAGGTGTCGCAGTGATGGAATATATATCTCGATCTCGATCCTTCAAGGTTCAAGTTGTGTTATGTGCTACCCCGTGCGTCGTTCCTGTCGAATTTCAGCCTGGTGGGGGATCTTACTGATCTTGCTCGGATTCTGGTACATCGAGATCGTATTCGTTTACGTGGACGCAACGAACATGCGCACCATGTCTAGCAGTCCGAAACCGAGCCGGATCTAAGCGTAACGAGTTTAGGTAGTTACTGCGGGGTCCTACATCCTACAACCTCAAGTCTATTCTTCTAGTTGATTCGTACATACATGCAGCGCCAATACCAGATCCCCGATTCCGACAAGGGGGCCGTGACCGAGTCCGAAGCGACCCACACCGGGAATTTTGCTTCTTCGGGGCCGAGAACACCGGACGAGGGATGCGGAGCTAGTTGATGGACTGCCGTAGCCGGTGTAGCGAGGAGGGCCCGGTCGTGCGCGTAGGGAGGTGGTGGTTTGCGAGGGGAAGGTACTGGGACAAGGGCATCATGGCGGCGGCGACGGCATTTCGAGGTATCTGCAGGGGTTAATAGCGTATTTATTCAATTGCTTTATTTTGTTTCCTTTATGGAGAAAACTCGTGCCCTGAAAAGCGCGAGTTCAGACTCGCGCAAGGGTGCTGCAGTCCACCACAAGTTGAGGGAGAATATAGGGTTTGGGCAGTACACGACGAGCCGTGATCTTGTCACTGCTGCACGATTCCATCTATTCCATGTACTCTGTCTATACTTTTACTATTCATTCCTTCCTTTTTTAAAAAAAAAATTCCTTCTGGAATCTCCATCGTCTTGTTGTGAGCAGGCAAGATTTGTCAACCCCGCTGTCACCCCCCCCCACCTCCCACCAGCCACAAGCTCCCGTGCCGAAGCCCGCCTCGCCTTACCTGGAAACTATTTGGAAGCACTGTCGTCATGAGGCAAATCCTCCTCCGCCCTCAACCACGTTGATTCCATTCCTAACCGCCGTCATTGCTATATATCAGACCAGCGCCCCTTTTCCCACCCGCAACCTCTCTCTGCCATTCCATACCTCGCAACAGAAGGACCCATTGACGAGAAGCCATCCATCATCATCCATCACGCCATTGCCAGGGTCCATTTGTCAGGAATAGCTTCTCCCCCCCACCAGGTTTCTCGCAGAAATTATCCGCCACGCCATCTCCTACTCGCAATAATGCCCTTTACATCTTTTGTCAGCCGCTTCTTCTCGCGCTCCTTTGCTCTCTCTCCTCAAATGTCCATCGCTCCCGAAACCGGCGCCGGCGCCGGCGCCGTCACGGCGCTCCCCGCTGGCGCACAGCTCTGCACCGTCGCGGCCGGCTGCTTCTGGGGCACCGAGCACCTCTACCGGCGACACTTTGCCGGCAAGGGCCTCCTCGACGCCAAGGTTGGCTACATTGGCGGGGACCTGACCGACCCGAGCTACCGCGCCGTCTGCGGCGGCAAAACTGGCCGTACGTCCCCCCCCGACTTTCCCCCCGGGCCTTCCCCTCCGCTAACACAAGAACCCCCAGACGCCGAAGCCGCGCAAATCATCTTTGACCCCAAGCAAGTCTCGTACCGTCAGCTCCTCGAATTCTTCTACCGGTTCCACGACCCGACCACGCTCAACGCCCAAGGGCCCGACACCGGCCCGCAGTACCGCTCCGCCATCTACTTCCACGACGCCGAGCAGGAAAAGGTCGCGCGCGAGGTCACGGCCCAGGCCAACGCCCAGTGGTGGAAGGGCGCCATCGTCACCGAGATTGCGCCCGCCGGCAAGTGGTGGACGGCCGAGGAGTACCACCAGCTGTACCTGGACAACAACCCGGCCGGCTACGAGTGCCCCAGCCACTTTCTGCGTCCGTTTAAGCCGCTCGAGTGACTGCCGGCGCCAGCAAAGGGTCGCAGCAAGCTGTAAAGGTTGGGGCGGAGGGGTCAGGAGGGGTCGCCCGAGAGCGCGCAGTCCTGGAATGGACTCGCTGAATCTGTTCATGAAAAATGTATATTCTGTATTTAGCGGCGACGAATTCAATGCATCTCGGATTTATCTATCCATGTGCAGTGCTTATTTATTGCGCCATCATGACAAGGTTGCCATTCATGCCATTTGTTGCGGGCTTCACGGCTCAGCTTCAACAGCTTTCCAAGTTTTTTTTCTTTGTTTTTTTTTAATACTTGGTATATATCTAGTTTTACAACAAACGAGAATAAAAAATTTCCAGTTTTTAAAAACACAAGTTATTGCAGCATGTGCAAAGAATGAGTAGAGAAGTCGTCATGCGATGCGTCAATTTCCCCTTTCAATCCATGCCTCCTGCCACTGTCCACCTTCTCCGTACACAAGGCTCTTCTACTTGCGGCGCTGGTTCATCGACAGGAGCTGGACCATGCGGATAAAAATGTTGAGAAAGTCGAGCTCCAGGGAGATGCTCTCATTGACCGGGTCGCGCTTCATGTAGCCCGCCTGCGCTAGGCGCGCGTGGTGTAGCACCTTTTGCACGTCGTACAGCGTGAAGCCGCCAAAGACGGCTAGGCCACCGTAGAGCCAGATGTTCTCGGTAAAGGCGAGCGTGCGGACGGCTGTCACGGGCAGGAGCAGCGGGGCGAAGCCCGAGGCGGCGACAATGGCGGCGCCGGCGAGCAGGGGGCCGCCAATGTACAGATATTTCTCCTGCTTGGCGGTGGCGCCGACGACGGCCAGCGAGCCCATCATGGCGACGGTGTAGAGGCCGGCGCGGGCGAGCAGCGCGCCGGGAACAAAGGCGAGCATCGGGGCGACAAAGGCGGCCTGCGTGGCGTTGAAGGCAGTCCAGAGGGCGTATTTGGGAAGGTAGCTGTCGAGAATTTCATTAGCGGCAAAGAAAAGAAGAAACAAGGGAACCAGCGAGAGGAATGGCAAAAACTCACTTATCAGGGCTGATGGAACGGGTGCCAATCATGGTGGCAAAGCTCAGAGCCAGGCCGCCAATGCCCACGACCCACGGGTTCGTCGTCATGATGCGGTACACAAACCCCGTCTGGATCATCTGCCGCGCCGTCAGCGCAATGATGCCGACGCCGAGCCCCGTGTGCAAAAAGGTATTGTTGAGGTACTCGCGCTCGTAGATGGGCATGCCCCCGTCCTCGCGCGTCTCCCGGTTGAAGACGAGGTTGATGGCCATGAGCGTGCCGCCAAAGATGGCGCCGCCCACCAGCAGCTTGCGCGTGCCGCTGCTCGCCGTCGACGAGGCTGTTTGCTGCTGGTACTGGCCGCCATTCTGACTATAGAATCGAATGCTCCCATTTTGGCGGAACACGCTACGGGTTGCCGTCGTCGTCGCGAGGATGGGCTTGCGCGCGCCGGTGGGAGACGCCTGGTGGAAGCGTCGGGCGGGGGCGGCAGCGATGGCGCGCAGGACCGAGGTGCTGCTTCTCTGGGTGAGCTCGGGCAGACGCTGCGCGAGGCGCGCAGGTCCCTGCCGAATACTCAATGTAAACGACATGGTGTATGTGTGTGCGTGTGTGCGTAATGTGAATCGGGTTGTTTGCTGGATGCGAAGGGGCGGGCTTTGGAGGATGACGATGCGGGCGAGGTGGGAATAAATATCCGTTGGCCTCAGGCTCTGCCAATTGCCTGCTTGCTAATGACGAAAGCGAAACCGGTTGGCGGAGCTGCGCCAAACGGCCTTGTGTGGCGCTCTCACTCTTTAAGTCCGAGTCACGTGCAGTGGAACAAGGTCGAATCTTCGTGCGAGCACTCGCCACACTGTAACTTGTCCGTAATATCCGCTCCGCAACCCCCCGTCTACCTACACACCGCAATCGGGACGAGGAAGCTCAATACAACTACCCACCATTCTACAATAAAGACATGATCTCTTCGAGAAACTAGCAATCAAGTCATATTCGTAACATCATAAACATTATATCCAATTGCTTTCCGTCGTCTACAAATAGTACAGCCGTTTGGGTATCATCTCCGTTTCCTCCTCTGTAATCTCGTTTACTGCCATTGTCACCTTCCTCCTATCTCAGTCCAACAGGGCCTTTTTCCACTATGAAATTCACTGGGTGCCTTCTTCCTCTTGACATTCCTCCTAGGCCTGGGCGCCGTGCAAAGCTTGATGTGCTGGTGAGCGCATCGACGCTCATCACCGTCGGCCCAAAGCGCGGCGGGCTAAAACTCGGACCTTCGTCCTCTTCGTCGGATGACCAACCGCTCTGTAGTTCAGACGCCGAGGCCAGTTGCACAGGGCCGCCGCTCCGCAGCCATTTTTCCAGGTTTCGGCATTGGCTCACGTCAAGCCAGCTCAGCCAAGCACATTCCCTGACCAGGCTCTCCACGCCTTTGCCAGTGACTCGTACACACCCCCGGACACTTAGGCCTTCCAATTCTAGTAGATGCAGGGCAATGGTCTGTAAGCTAGCGTCACTAACCGCGCTTCCACAAAAAGCCAATCGCAATTCCCGCAGCCTTGGTAGCCCCAGCGCCACCACTTCAGTGGCTGTGTCCGATAAGGCGCAGCAAAAGGAGAGATCAAGATGTGTCAGGCTCTTGGCTGCATTGACCAGCGCGACAATTGCATGATCAGACAGGTATGTGCAATCGGCAAGACATAGGTGTGTTAGCTTTTCGAACTTGTATTGCGCCCAAGCTTGAAACCCCGCATCCGTAATGGATGTGCATCGTGTAAGGGAAAGGGAGCGTATCCGATCCGAAGCGTGCGCAGCAAGATGTGCCATTGATCGGTCGGTAATATGTTTGCAGTAAGAAAGGTTCAGCGTATTAAGCTTGGGGCATCCAATCACGGTGCCTGGAGGCGGCGGGTTTTCGTTTGCTGGCTCGGTATGCTGTCGTGATTTCGTCTTCTTTTGTGAATGGGTCGGCACTTTCTTCTGTATCAATGGTGAACGCTCCGGTACTACCCAGCCAACTACACGACCCAGCAGGTTGTCGCCCACCTTGCGGCAGTTGCTCCAGTCGACCTCTTGCAATTCTTTGGCGCTTTCACTCATGTCTAGAATTTGGCTGGCCGATACGTCCCATACCGATCGCATCTTCCAAGAGCGCACATTCTTGCCGCAGCTCTTCCACAGGGCCGAGAATCCGTCGTCGGTGATGTGAAAGCAGTTGTTGAGGTCAACCATCCTCGCTCTGGTGCCAATAAATGGCGCCAAGACTTGCGTGAGGACCTGGTCTGTAACGTGCCGATTGTAACTGGACAAGTCGACGTTTTTGCATACGTCCTGATGCGTCGTAATGATTCGCTGCCAATGGCTATTCACGATGCGAAGTCTGAGCAGCTGCACGACATCGAAGTATGCAAATATACGAACCAAGATGGCATCAGAGAGCACCGGGCCCGTTGATCCGGGTGTCGGGCGGGAGCTCCTTCTGGCGCGCTTGGCAGGCACGTCAGAGTCAAGCGAGGTCTGTGAAAATGCAAACTTGAGCGTTGTGCCATCTGGCGAAGGTAAGCCGCCGTTCAGTCTGCTTGAGTGATCGACAGTGGGGACTGGTGGTGCCAGAGAATGTCTCCTTCTGTTGCGCAGGTTTTCCATGTTGACGCTCAGGAAAGGGTCAGGGTCCTTAGGCTCCATTCGATCTGAATCGTCCTTGCTTGGTGAGACTGGCTTCGATGGGTTCGTTAGTGTGAGGTGTGGCGGTTGTGGCTGTGAAGGGGTGGTGGACGGCGTGGGAGGGTCAGAGTACGCTGAGCGAGGCTTGCCGCCGGCGTCAGTCATTTCGATATCGTCTTCCTTTTGGTTCATTCTTGTTCGGGCAGTTTCTTCGACCTGCGCCCTGATGTCTGCCGGGCATCGGCGCCAAAGTTCATCGAGTGTATCACCTGGAATCATCAAGCACTCCACGGTAGTAATGGAGCGCACAGTTGCGGTCCTTTCTCGCGAGAGGCCCAGGCTGGATACTTCACCAAAGTATTGGCCTGCCTTGAGTCTAGGTCTCTGAGGGATTCGCATGCCCTTGACTGATGCGCCTTTGGCAGAGTGGTGAATGACTTCGGCTTCTCCTTGAACAATGAAGAAGATTTCGCTCCCAGACGTTCCCTGCTCAACAATGTCCTTGAAGGGCGGGTACATTTTGGGCTGGGCGCTGAGGCCGAGAAAATGGAGGATCTCGGGAGGGAGGTTGGAGAAGAGCGGTAATTCGCGGAGAGTATGTCGAATATTGACGTATCCGCTACCAATGGCGCTCCCTACCGCCGGGTCTTCGATAATACCCGGACTGGGAGATTTGCGCTTCTTGGAGTTGAAAATGGCACCGTCTTTGAGGGTTCCAGTGTCGCCACGCGAGACTTCGCCTGGGGCTGCGGTGCGTGCTCCGATCTCGCCGGAGGGCGATTTCAACAACGAGTTGCCCTCTTGTCGCTTCTTCTTCAAGAGAGTTAGACGTTCCTGCGCTTCTTCACGGATAGCCTGCTCCATCTGCGGGAACTTGGGCATGATCATTTGTAGGTCCTCCTTCTTCAAAATAAAGAGCAGACACTTTGTTCTCGCAACAATGGTGGCTGTTCTAGGCATGTCCATCAAGACGCCAATCTCGCCGAAGAAGGCGCCAGATTTGAGTTCGGCGTAGACTGCTTCGCCATCGCGAGAGGTGACAGCAACAACTCCGCGGACGAGCCAGTACATGGCCTTTGCGTCGTCTCCCTCGGTAACGACATGGTCGTTTGCAGCTTGGACCTGAGGTTTCAAGTGATTGCCAATTTCGACGAGGAAGTCTTCAGGTGCGGATTGGAAGAGCGGAAAGGAGCGTAGGCGGTCCACCAAGTCGAGAGGCATGTCGCGAATGGTAGACGCTGTGAGGGGTGAGGGACGAGCCGGCCGGGCCGGGTTTGTTTCGACATTGAACGAGCGGATGAGGGAGACGGAGTCTCCTAGTGCGATAGGAGGGTGGTGGTGAGCCAAGGCTCGAAAAGGCGAGGACGAACCGGACGAGCGATTTCGTCGCATGGTGACTGGTGGAGTGTGATGCGACAAAGGGCTTGAGACCGGGTTCCTGCGCTAGAGCTTGAGGGCTCGGGTGCGCACAGTGGCGCGTGCGGGCCGTCTGCTTGGACAAGAATAGAGTCGTGGGCAGTCAAGGCGTTGACAGATGCTGGTGGCACCGTGGGCAGCTACAATGTATAGGCCGGGGAAGCTAGTGCAACGGAGAGTATGGCGGTGCCAGGTCACGCATGCTTCGCCGAGTCCTTGTTTCGAAGGATGCAATGTGAATCGAAGGTCGCGGAGAAAAGGCGCTCTCGTGGACGGGATACAATCGGCGGGTGAGATCTCGACAGGAATATGCGCGCCGATCTGGGCGGGACACCGAGCGCGACTTGCGTGGGCCAGTGGGCGGGTGCGCGGATAGATATCAGACGTATCGCAAGGAAGTCGCGGTTGCGATGGAGCTCATTGCTCTGCCGGGCGGCACAGCAAGAAGAGAAAGGCGCTGGCGAAGGCTATTAATGGCGGGGGTATTATTGAACGGTCGAAGGTGACGTGTGTCGCGTGCGATTTAAGGCAGGGCCGTTGACTGTTGGTAAGCCAGGGTTAGTTAGCTGGGCTGCATAGGTAAGGGCGGGCAAAGGGTGAGTTGCTGGAGGCTCAGTGGAGGGTGCCACTGACAGGTCGCGGCTTGGCTGGGGAGCAGCACGGCAGACAGAAGTCGATAGCAGCGCGGCGGGTTCGCAGAACGGGTGTCGACACGGCCAAGGAAAGCAGGAAGCAAGGCAGTGAGCGGGGAAAAAAGAAGTCGTCGCGGAACGGGAAGGGCAACTGTCGAGGTCGGGGAGCTGGAGGAGGATGTTTGCGTCAGCGGCAATAATGGCCCAGGACGGGCTCGCAGCAAGCAGGCCAGGGTCGCGTAGTAGGGTGCTGGCGACGGGGTTTTGGGGCTGACTTTGGCTAGTGCGCGAGATGTGCTGCAGACTGGTTGCAGGAAAGGTAACTGGCAACTAGCGAGGCAGTGATGGTGAGGTAGCCAAGCAACCAAGCTTGGGAAGCTAAAAGGATGGGGTGATGATGGTGGTCAGAGCGAGGCGGCCAAGCGGCGAGGCCACAACTCTGCAGCGTGGGGCAGATGAGGAGCAGTGGCGGCGGCGCGCGGCGGGCGTCTGCGTTGGGTGGGCGGTTGAGTGCTTGATCGAGTATTTGGAGGAGAAGCAAAGCTCGGTGGGTAGAGGAAAGGGGACAGATCGGGGGAGCAGAGGGAGTAGAGGGAAGGAAATGAAAGGATTTTGGATCTGATATTGCGAGGATGTTGGTGATGAAGAGGAGTGGTGTTTGCAAGGCATGGGAGTACGAGTGACAGGATGATGGATTAGGTCAGTCCTGACTGCTATAGGTTAGCACCGTGCAGTACGGAGTACTGAGGTACTGCCTACAGAGGTGGGAGTAGCTAACGTTACCTGAGTGTACCTACCGAGGAATCGGCGTCCGCATTGAGAAGGCGTCGAAAAGTCTAAGCTTGGCGGGGGGGGGCAACGGTGCGGGCAGGTTGCGGGTTGCGGGAGAGACAGGTGTGCCTACGGAAATATGTTTAATTTGGGCAAGTAGGCAACGGATCTATTATGTACCGGCCGGTTATAACTGACGTTGATGATTCAAGATGATTGGCTATCTGGGGACTGATTGTTGATGCATTGCATGCAGCGTGATGGCTGCTGGGCGAGCAAACACGGCGACCCAGGGTACCTGTGCCTGGGGGCCTTTATGTGTGCAGGTACAAATTACAGTACCTTATTACAGCAGCTAATATCAAAGCTGGCGGGGCCATTGCTCGAGAGGGGTGAAGAATAGATATGGCCAATGTGTAAGCGGCCGCTATGCATTTTATGTTCCTTTTTACCTTGATATAGAATAGCGGTGATAAAAGCCGGCATCGTGTCCCTGCAATTGGAAAGGAAAAGGGAATTTGCCCGATGGCAAGAATACATCCACACATAGGTACTCTCCTCTCTGCTGTCCCCCACCAGTAACAAATCCGGGCCGCCAGCAATTAGACTGCTTCAGCCGTAGTTGTACCTTGCTGCTCATCTTCATTCCACGCAATCTTGGTTCTGAAGGCCGTCGACGCGAGATGCCAAGGCTGGCTTCGCAGATGGCTGCCGTCCAAAGACACGGCCGTCGACAATTTCACCAACCGTCCCCGCGTTTCTCTACACTCCCTGTCGCTGGGACTGACTGCCGATGGTGCATCACCGTCAACCGCCGCACAAGCCGGGCAACCAGGTCTGTCTCGGTAGGCATTTCGGCCAGTCATGACACCAATCGACAACGCTACTGAGTACTCCGTCGCGCGACTCCGAAACACATAACCAAAACAGCGAGGGAAAAGTATCCGCAAGTTGGCCGACACCCCCCATCACGTACACGTACTTGCCCAACCTTGTCCTCGCTGGGTCTGCATCAGCGTCCCGGGCCGTGTAGCACAGTAAACCTGTCTGCCCATCTGACCTGCCCCCTGCTGTGCTGCTGTGCAACAGCAATCGGCATCTGGCAGCATCGGAAACGTCGAGTTTGATTTTCAACAGTTTATTTTCATCTTTTTGGAGAACCACCCCCATCCCTCCCCCCTCCTCCTCTCCCCTGACCCCAGCTAGCCGCAAATAAGAAAACGCACAGGCCACAGAGTGGCTCCGACTCTGTGGCTCTTGTGCGGCTTTTGGCCCTGTAGCTGTTACCCCCTGCGGGAGAAGCCTGATGGAACGCGCCTGGAAAAAAAAGAAACCGCCCCGCCTTTGCCCGGGTCCTTGCCGTTTTCTTTTTTTTTTTTTTTTTTTTTTTCTTTTTAATCCCTGCGGTCCCTTTGTTCCCTAAATTCAATGCCATCGTTTCCGGCCTACCAGGTGTGCTGCATAAAAACACCAACTAGACACAAGGAAGACTATGAGGAAGACTTACTAGAAACGCATAACTTCTGTCCATGCCAGCTGCTTCAGAGCCGGCTACCACTACTTGACCCCCACGCGAGCGGTTTCTCAGTAGCTCCAGCATCAGTACACCAATCCCGTCTACGTCACCCTCGCATTGTCTTGATCCAAGTGTCCTCGCGCCTCCATTTGGAAGCGCGAGCCTTTAAAATTTTCGATAACGACCTCGACTCGCCGCACGCCCGAGCCCCGAGGCCAGCCAGCCACGGGCCACCACCACCATCCAGGTTCGCCCCTTGGCTGCCACCCAAGCGGTCGTCATCACCACAATCATCCATGCACATCATGGCTTACCAATTGGAAGAACCCAGCGCTGCGGGTCTGGGGGCGTGCTTTCACACGGTGCATATATGTTACTAGTTATGCCCTCTCAGCTGGGTGTGTCGCCCCTGCAAGTCTCACCTGAGCTTGAACCAGGGAGAACTTACATGACGGCCTCGCCGTGGCCGTTGAAATCATGGCCAATAATCGGCGTCGCAGCCAGATCGGCATAAGCACGCCTAGACATGCATAGACTGTTGATCGATAATGATCAGGTTGGCAGACCGGGAGGCGGGCTTCTCTACTATGTCCGAGTCAACGTGTCAAACCTGTGGGACTAAGGGTACGCAGCTTTACCTGCATGGTGAGGAATAAAGCGTAGATTACCAAGTCACCTCGGTGGCTCTGGAGATGGGAAAAAAGGTCCTACTGCAAAAAAAGGTCCCCGATTTGGAGCCAAAACTTTTCTCTGGCCCTGTTCCTCAGCAGCCATGTCTAGGTAACTATCAGCGTAGGACATGATTGTCCAGTATATAGCATGTAAGAAATCACAATGACAAAAAAAGAGATCATCCACAAACGCCTTTAAGATCCGTGCATCTCGTAACAAAAGAAAACAATGCTTTGTGCTCAGTCAAGAGGAAAACGCCCGCCTCAAGTCCGCAAGAACATTTTGTATACCTCGGAGTCGGTGCAGTTCTCGAACGGGTAGCCCAGCTCCTTTAAGAAATCCACCAGCTCCGGTAGCTCTTCATCGGGACAGGCGATACCGGCGAGGATCTTGGCGACGTCACCGCCGTAATTACGGTACTGGAAGAGGCTAATGTTAAACTTGGGTCGGACCGCGAGTAGGAAGCGCTCCAGCGCGCCGGGCCGCTCGGGAAACGTAAACATAAAGAGCTTCTCGTTTGGTACGCCGGCGCGGCCGCCGACCAAGTAGCGGATGTGGCTCTTGGTGAGCTCGTCGCCGGAGAGGTCCGTAACGGTCATGGTGCCGTCGTCGCGGACGCGGGCGAGCAGGCGGCGCAACTCGTCGGCGCGCTGCGCGACAGGCGCTGTGAGCGAGAGGCCTAGGAGCACGTTGGCGACGTCGCCGCCGGCATGGCGGTACGAAAACTCAGTCACGGGGCGGGGCATGACGGCTTCGATGAGCTTGCCAAACGCGCCGGGCCGCTCGGGAATAGTACAGGCCAGAAGCACTTCCTTGCCCTCGCCGAGTGTGGCGCGCTCGGCGACGAACCGCAGGCGGTCAAAGTTCATGTTGGCGCCCGAAGTGATGGCGATGAGGCTGCGCTTGGGGTCGTGGGATGGGTGGCGCGCAACATACTTTTTGAGGCCGGCAATGGGCAGCGCGCCGGCGGGCTCGAGGCCGGAGCGGGTGTCGTCGTACATGTCCTTGATGGCGGCGCAAATCTCATCGGTGCTAACCTCAATCACGTCGTCGACGACTTCCTTGGCGAGGCGAAAGGGCTCCTCGCCGACCGACTTGACGGCGGCACCGTCGGCAAAGAGGCCGACCTCCTTGAGGACGACGCGCTCGCCCTTTTTGAGCGACTGGGCCATGGCGTTTGCGTCGTGGGCCTCGACGCCGATAATCTTGACGTGCGGCGCCATGCGCTTGACGTAGACGCCGATGCCGGCAATGAGGCCGCCGCCGCCGACGCCGCAAAAGATGGCCTCGACCTTGGCCATGTTGACCTGGGCAAAGAGCTCGTTGCCAATGGTGCCCTGGCCGGCAATGACGTAGGGGTCGTCAAAGGGGGGGATGTTGATGAGACCATCCTGGGCGGCGCGGCGGGCGCACTCGTCCTTGGCGGCGTCAAAGTCGGCCCCATGCAGGACGACGTGGCCACCGAGGCGGGCGACGTTGGTGTGCTTGATGCTCGGGGTGCCCTCGGGCATGATGATGGTGGCGGGGATCTTGAGCTTGCGGGCCGAGTAGGCGACGCCCTGCGCATGGTTGCCGGCGGAGCAGCAGACGACGCCTTTCCAGGACTGCGCGGGGTCGAGGTGGGCCATCTTGTTGTATGCGCCGCGCAGCTTGAAGCTGAAGACGGGCTGCTCGTCCTCGCGTTTGAACAGGACGTTGCATTCGAGCCGGTTGCTGAGGTTGACGGCGTGGGTGAGGGGCGTGGCCTTGCAGGCTTCGTAGATGCGCGAGGTGGCGGAGAGAATCATGCGGAGATACTGGGAGGTGTCAGAGATGATTGTATCTGGAGAATTGTGTTGATTCATTTCAAAAGACAACAGAAACCTACATCTGGGTAACCATCTGGCAGCAAAAACTCGTCGGGAACAATTTGCTTGATGCGCGCCTGGTGCGTCTCCGATGGCGGCGAGGGGCAGGCGCTGTACTCGGTCAGGGCCATGGCGGCGGTGGTGGGCGTCTTGGGCCGGTGAGCGACGGCGTTGGCAATTGTCTGCTCGCCGACGCTGCTGGCGTGGCCATTGGTTTGCACGGGGCCTTCGGCGGCGATGCCATTGAGCGAGGGAGGCATGGCAAAAGGGTCGTCGTCGTTGGTGGTGGTGTGGAGGGAAAGATGTTGGTGAGGCGGCGTTGCAAGCGGCCAAACGGGAGTCATTGTCAAAACTTGCGAGAGCCAATCACTGGGGCGTCGGGTGAGCTGGTGGTGGTGCTGGTGGTGGTGCTGTTGCTGCTGTTGCTGGTGCTGGCGCTGGTGCTGGTTCTGTTGCTGGTTCTGGGGCGCTTCCGACTCGCTGCGATTGTCAGTGTCATTAGCGGGCACCTTGGTTCTATTCCCAGGGGGCTCAGTGCGATTAGCGGCCACAATCGCAGCGGTATCACTAAACAGACCCATGGCTCTCCACCAAATGAAATCCAATACTGAGTCACGACCTGCTGTGTGTTGTTGATGGATACACTGCTGTGGTTCTTGCTTCATTTTCATTTTCATTTTTACCTTGTCAAAAGTGGCCATGGCTTGTGTATATATCATCCTCGACCGCTACTTTACAAGCCAGATCAGGTTGTTGCCGCCCAGCCACTAGGCTTCCTTGGGCTGCAAGCTTGTGACGTTCCGGGCGGGCTCCGGTGCCGGCGGAGAGGCGAGACAAGTGCAGCCCACAAGGGCTCTCTCTTTCTCTTTCTCCCACCGTTGCACTAAGAACCACACGCCAGTTATCAGTCGCCGATTTTGATCAGAATCAGTCGACTGGTCAGTTCACTAGTGGTTAATGCCCCTCGGCAGCATCTGTACTAGAATCTTGGCGGGACCCTGGCTGAACCCATATACCGCTTCTTTATCTTTCAGCGTGTCGTGGTCAACAACAAGATTGTCATCGCCTAAGTACACATTGGCACGTACACCATTAACGCCACTGCCAAGTTAGTACAGACCATTAGAGGCCATCTCTTCACAACCTTCCAATCTACACGCGCCCTTCAGATGCTCGCCCCAATCCTACCCGCGCCACCTACCCCGCGACATCCGCCTCGGCTGGCTCTCGTTCCATTTCAGACTCGGCAGCTGCTCCAGCATATAATAATAGCTCATCAAGATACGCATACCGTATAAGCTCCTATACTTCCCGCACCCAGACCAATCGGCGTGCAATCGCACCACGCAGTCGCACAGCTACCCGTTCTCCTGCAGCATGTGATGTCGTTTCTTTTAAAGTTGCCGCGGGACCATCATACGATATATGAGAAATGACATATACACCTTGATTCAATCATCCATCTCTCTATTGCTCCATCCATTTCTAACGTCGGATCTTCCATGCTGGTCTCCCCACCATAGCAGCCCGCCCACACATATGCCCATATTCGACAGGCGATTCTTCACAAGATCCTTGGTTGCCGTCTCCATACTCTCTTGAGCGCCCCGCCGTCCTTGTTGCCGGACGGAACGGGAGGCTCGGCACATGTTTGCCAAGAAGCTCCCACTGTGGTTCCCTCGGTCAGCACATGGCATACGTACTTTTAGAATAACGAAGACAAGAAAGAAAAGCAACATCTCTGTCAAAGCCAGTTACGGCAGAGGCTCGCTATAGGGTGGACCCGTGGCCACGAGTTCGCCGTTGATTTGGTAGATTTGGCAAGCTGGATAAAGAGTAGAAAGTCGTCCATGTATTATTGCAGTATAAATAATTAGTTCTATGAAAAACCAAACAGCAGAAGTGTACAAAAAGCTTCTAGCGCGCCGACTCCGCTGCCTCGTCCTTTGCCCTCTTACATCTTCTCTGGCGGTGCAGTCACGGACCCCTGCATATATGCAGGCGGCTCATCCGGACCCTGCACCGGAATCTGAATCCTTTGGGTCGGCATCGCAGGATCGACCGGAAATCCGTCGGCGTCGGCGTACTTGACGTCCATCTCCGGAAAGGCCGCCGGGGTCACCGGGGCCGGCAGCGACGTACGCCAGCAGCCGCGGCGGTGCTCGGCGCGGCGCATATGCTTCTCGGCCTTGCGCGCGTGCTTCTCGGCCTTGAGCGCCTGCTTGTGCTCGTGACACAGCTGCTTCCACTGCTCCTTGGTGAGGGGCCCGTTGTGCGCCTCATAGTTGCGCTTGAAGGCGTCGATGCGCTGGTGCTTCTTGTGGCAGCTGTGGCAGATGGCGACACCAGCGACGAGGGCAACAAGAATTCCGACAACCATTTTGATGAGGGATGATGTTTTTTTTTCTGGTGCGTATAAAAAAAGGTTCCTGAGGGTCGTCCTGCTGAGAAGCTCGGGACAAGGTTTGTTGTAAGTGGTGTAGGGGGTGAAGATGTCGAGTGACGATGAAAAGAATGCACAACTCAGAGGGAGATGCAGCAGGATTAAATATCAGCTGCTTCCAAATACCCAACCTGAAGGGTGCGTTGCTCATACGCACGCCGTCATCAACGCCAGCGAATCAACTTACACCATTAGGCTGCGCCTACGCCTCGTCGTACGCACTGATGACGCGGCTGCTTCGGGCCAGCTGTCAGCCACATGCCTTACCTCAGACGTTGCATTCTGGACACTGTTGTCAAAAAATGAATGAGCCAATGACGACAGCTTGCTGCCTGCAATTTGAAACCAAGTGGCCTTAGGGCCGCCTCCAAGGCAGCCTTACAAGGCTCGTCCTCGCGCACATCTCGTCCTTTTCTCGCTTGCTTCTCGCACTCGCTAAAGTAACTAGGTAGTGTTAGTGCGCCTCACTTGCGCAACATGGAACCGTCTCGGGACCGAGGTGGCGACGCACAGTTTATTACAGCCTGGACCATATTCACTTGTGCTTGTACTTTCTTTTTTATTTTGGTTCAAGATTATACTACAATTTTAGCCATTATTTCTTCCTACTGTATTCATTTTCTTTGCCTGTCAATCTAGAGATACGCCTTCAGACCACTGATAGTAACAAAGCAAGCAGCAAGACAGGGCAACCCGCACTACATATGGGTTCTGCGCGACAAGGGCGCCTTTCTTCAGAAGCAGCAAGATATCCTCGGGCAGTCCTGTTGGAACGCCGTTACGTGTGCGAGGCGCTCAACAGACGAGAGCATATCTTCAGTCAATCATGTATATCAGGTATTAGAAGAGGGGCTGTACCGTGACCGAGAAACTGGTCGAGACATCGATCGAGATTTGACTAATCCGAAGTTCCGGATTGGGAGGGTCACGTAGCTGTGATGAAGCACTTGATCGAGATATGACCAGAGCTAATCTGAAGTCGATTATTTGAAGTCGATTGCGAAACAGTATTGGAAGGACGTTCACGAAGCTGTGACGAATTAATTGGTCGAAAACATCGTTCGTTCAAGGTGTCGGTCTGGTCGGCTCGAGGCCGGCTGGCTGGTTGACTGGCTCTCTGAATGGCTGGCTCTCTGAATGGCTGGCTCTCTGAATGGCTGGCTGACTTGATAACTGGTGGAATGCCGGCTCTCTAGTTGACTTGATGGCTGGTTGAATGGCTGGTTGGCTGGTTGGCTATCTGGATCGCTCTCTACTTAGCTGGTGGCTGGCTGATTGACTCGATGGTTGACGGGTATCGCTCTACAAAAACCAAATATAATAAGTGCTGTGGAGGAAGAAAAGAAGCAAATATCTATATTGTTGTAACTAAATGAAATGTGAAATAACCCAAAACTAATCAAGTCCACATAAAACGTGTGCTTAAACTGGCATATTCTTGGGGCTGCAATTGTCTCCTGAATTCTGTGAAAATGCGAAAAAAAAATTGTTCATCTTGGCGTAATAAAAATAGTTATAATCTTGACGAAATAAGAAAATCGGTCGGGCTGGCTTTCTTCTTGCAAAGCTAAAATAGTGTCGTATTTCCAAGCATCGTTGATGTACTTGCCGTCGTCCCTAAACACAGCCATTCCGGGGTAAAAGCTTCGTCGATCTAGAACCTTAGCTGTGCAAGAGCTTCGTGCAATCAGTGCATCTCGGAATTGGGGTAGAGTCCATCTTGCTCTGCCGCTGAAGCCAGGGCTTTTCGAATAATGTAGACTTATCTGTCCGGGCTTTTTTTTTTCACCTTTACGGTTGGCATCTTTCGCGCAATGTAGGTGACCGAGCCAGTTTGCCACCAAGGTGACCCCCCAACCACACGATCGTGATATCTTTCGAGCTCCGGATATATCGTGGCTTCGTTGCACACACTATCACGAATTCTCTGAATATAACGAAGCCGCGTTTGGTATCCGACAACGCCAGTTTTTATCACCGTAGTTATAGTCACGGTCGGGCTAGTGTCCGGGACAGCACGAACGGCAATAAGGTATGTAGGTGCAGCCAAGCATATTATTGTTACTATAACCGGTTTTGTCTTTATATTACGCTAATTCATAGCTTCATTTAATGCCAACGCGATTTTCTGGAAGAAATAGTTTAGTTTCAGAGTTTCGCACGTGTTGCAGGAGTTGGTTGTAACTATATGTGACATCTGGTATTGTGATTAGGTAAGGGTTCCTTATCACAGGTAACGTTAGTCACCTGCCCGATCAGCCAAGAGCCGCTACAGTTGGCGCATGGGTAGTGCTGGCGCCATCGAAAGTCCATTGTACACCGCCGCCCCGCGTTGCTCTCGTGATGTGCTGTTAACATACTTTGATACGGCATAGTCGCTCGATTTATTCATCATGACTCGGCCAAGAGGCTCCTCGGTGGGCAGCGAGGAGAGCGCCGCGACGGCCAGAGAGCAGGTAAGGGGCTATCCGGCGCCAACTGGCTATCTGATAGAGCGCTGACGCGGCAACCTAGGAGCTGGGAAGCATGTACGATTATCTGGCCAAGATTATCCTCCTGGGACCAAGCGGGTCGGGAAAGTAAGATGGCACCGCAGAAACTATCTGTAACGAACGATGCAAACATGGCATGCTGACAGCTGCAGGTCCTGTCTACTACATCGGTTTATCAAGAACGAATGGCGAGTCTTATCGTCGCAGACTATAGGTGTGGAATTCGCGAGCAAAATTATCAAAGTTGGCACCGGCGCCAGGCGCAAACGGATAAAGCTACAGGTAAACAATGATCAAGCGCGACGCGAAATGAAGAGTTGTGCTGACATTATTTATAATGCGCAGCTCTGGGATACAGCCGGCACAGAACGATTCCGATCCGTCTCCCGATCCTATTACCGAGGTGCTGCGGGCGCCATCCTCGTCTACGATATTACATCGCATGGTTCTTTCCGCGGACTACAGCCTTTTCTGAACGATGCGCGAGCTCTGGCGTCGCCCAATCTCAGTCTGCTTCTTGTGGGCAACAAGCTTGATCTGGCCAACGAATCCCTCGTCGACACATCCATGCCGCCTCCTACACCAAGCAGTGTCAGCTCTAACTCGACCATCACTGCGGGCGGCTTCGCAAGCTCATACTCGACGACAAACACGCAGACCACAACCAGAGGCAGAGACTATGCCGGTTCTATTAGCGCCGGCTCGGTGCAAAAAGCCACGTTCGCCCCTGATGGCCGTGAGATATCAAGCTCAGAGGCTACGAGGTGGGCCAGCACGCAAGGCATCTCGGTGGTTACTGAAGCCAGTGCTCTGAACGGAGAAGGGGTCGACGAGATATTTGCCAGACTCGCTCGCATTATCCTGACCAAGATTGAGCTTGGCGATATTGATCCAGATGACCCGATGAGCGGCATCCAATACGGCGATAGCAGCGCTTGGAACAACACAAGCGACGGCGGCAGCATCAAGAGCTCCATGACTGGTGCCACTGTTGAAGACGGCGGCATTCCCGGGCTACGTAGGCGACGCAAGGGCAAGAACCGCAGTCAGAACTGGGGCGGCCTGCGCGAGTGGGAAGAAGTGTTCACCTTGACCAACAGGCGACGAGGAGGCAACTGCTGCTAATTAGCGCCAGGGGCAGAAGGCACGGGTTTGTAACGGATACGATGTTGGAGGCGGAAATTTGCCATTTGAACGGAATCCTAGACTCTCTGTCCAAAGAAGGGGTTTTTTTTTTGTTTGATGATGCGCGCATTCGCTTACCAGGGACAGCATGGCGTTTTTGGAGTACATACAGTGGTTTCATGGATGGCTCTTGTTTCAAAGTACGGGGGCAGACGGGCTTCTCAATGTTGTTATGGCGGCATTATATATAGTCGTCTTCCCAGCCAATAATGGACCTTTCATTTTGTTTCTATCAGGCCATTGTCGAGCGTCCCATTTACTGACAGGCCACCCGAGTCCTGTTGTATGATAAAGCGGCGCTACTACGGAGTACAGTACTAAGTACTGCACCGGCCCCCATCATTTGGAGTGTGAATAGCGCTGTGGGACGCTGGAAGCTGGAAGCCCCCTTCGGCGTGATGGAATACCGCGTGCATCTCCGACTGGGCATTGTACGTAATCAGACAAGCCATGACTATGGATAAACATATCATTTCTCGAAACTATTAGTCGTATTTGTCAACCTGCGGTGTGCGCCATATTTTTGTTGCCATCTCCAGCACTGTTCCGCCCTGAGAGCAAGCAAGCATCCTCTTCGTACGATGTACATTGCTCCGACCTCCTGCCCCTCTAAGCCGAGCCGATTGATTGTACCCCGCCAACCGCGGGATACAAGACAACTTGTCCCCAACAAGTCAGGCGTCTATTTCTTTCTTAGTCTTTCACCCACCTATCGTTCCTTGATCTGCTTCAATCGAGGATCCGCCCAATAGCCTTATCTCCTGTTCGTCGCCTGCTCAGATCCCTGCGTATCGGCTGTTTGTTGGACAGCCCTGCCACCATGGTCCCCCGTACCGTCATTCCGATTGACAAGAACTGGCAGTTCAAACAGGCCGACAAAGAAGGCGGTGACGAGTACCGCGCCGTATCCCAGTTCCCAACCAATGTTCATCTAGACCTCATGCACCATGACCTCATTCCGGATCCCTTCATTGGCAAGAACGAAACCGATGTCCAATGGGTCGGCGAGGCGCAATGGACTTACAGGACAACCTTTGCCAGTCCAGAGGTTGCCACAGGCGCCAAAGTCATTCTGGCTTTTGAAGGACTTGACACTTTTGCTACGGTCACGATGAATGACAAAGTGATTCTCGAAACGGACAGCATGTTTATCCCTGAGCGCGTCGACGTCACAACTCACCTGTCGCATAGCGACGAAAACGAGCTCGTCATTACCTTCGACAGTGCCTACTTGAGGGGCTGGAGCCGGGTCGAGCAATGTCCCGAGCACATATGGAGCTGCTGGAATGGGGATAGTTCTCGTCTGGCGGTCAGAAAGGCCCAATACCACTGGGTATGTGTTCTTGGATAGGTTCGAGGTGTCATCATGACTTGAAGCTGACCTAGCTAACAAGGGCTGGGATTGGGGTCCAGCTCTGCTCACCTGTGGCCCCTGGAGACCCGTCAACTTGGAAATTTACGACTCCCGGCTGACTGATCTGTACATGAGCATCGACATCGACGAGTCTCTTAAGCGCGCCAAAGTCATTGCGCACGCAGCGACAGAGGGGACCGCGGCGACGCACGTTCGCATTGATGTGTCACTCAACGGGAAAGAGGTGGCTTCAGAAACAATTCCCGCTGCCAACACTGCGTCGGTCACTTTTCATATTTCCAATCCCGAATTATGGTATCCTATCAGATACGGCAAGCAGCCGCTCTACACAATCAAGGCGACGCTACTATCAAAGGGCACCACAGTCGATACCATGTCCAAAAAGATCGGTCTGCGCCGCGCCCGTCTCGTCGAGCACCAGCTGGAAGACCAGCCAGGAACTAGTTTCTTCTTCGAAATCAACAATATTCCAATCTTCTGTGGAGGAAGCAATTGGATCCCTGCTGATAACTTTGTTCCTCGTATCTCGCCGAAAAGATATCGCGATTGGGTCAAGCTGGTCGCCGATGGCAATCAGTTTATGATTCGAGTTTGGGGCGGCGGCCTTTACGAGGAAGCAGCGTTTTATGAAGCATGCGATGAGATGGGTATTCTTGTTTGGCACGACTTCATGTTTGGCTGTGGAAACTACCCCGCCGGGCCAAAGTTTCTTACCTCCATTGATCGTGAGGCCCGAGTCAATGTCACCAGACTGCGTCATCATCCTTCTATAGTACTCTGGGCCGGGAACAATGAAGACTACCAGCTTGCTGAGCAGGAAAATCTCGGGTACGATCCCAAGGATATGAACCAAGACAACTGGCTCAAGTCAAAATTCCCGGCCCGTTATATATACGAAAAGCTACTTGCAGACGTATGCAAAGATCTTATTCCAGATGTTCCCTATCACTATGGTAGTCCTTGGGGCGGCAACGGCACCACTGACCCCACGATTGGCGACATTCACCAGTGGAACGTGTGGCATGGCTCACAAGAGAAATATCAGAACTTTGACAAATTGGTCGGTCGGTTTGTTTCAGAGTTTGGTATGGAGGCATTCCCATCCGTCAAAACGATTGATGCATATTTGCCGCAGGGCAAGAACGATCTTGATCGCTACCCGCAGTCATCTACCATTGACTTTCACAACAAGGCTGCAGGACATGAGCGCAGACTAGCTCTCTATTTGGCAGAGAATATTCGATATGGTCCAGATCCCCTCGAACAGTACGTTTACTCCACCCAGCTGATGCAAGCAGAGTGCCTTGCGTCAGCGTATCGTTTGTGGAAGCGTGAGTGGAGGGGTCCCGGTCGAGAATACTGCGGTGGTGCACTGGTTTGGCAAATCAACGACTGCTGGCCCGTCACTTCGTGGGCCATCTGCGACTATTATCTCCGCCCCAAACATGCCTACTACACAGTCAAGAGAGAGATGGCACCCATCTCCATTGGCATGACAAGACGCGAACATCAGTACCCAAAAGACAAATATACCCGCGCCTATATCGACACCAAGATCAAGGTTGAAATTTGGGGCTCAAACCTCATGCTACAAGACTTGACTGTTGACTGCGTGGTCAAGGCTTGGGATGTCGAGACTGGTGAAGAGACTTTCTCCAAGAAGGTTGCCTCTTCCCTAGTGCTCCCTTCAAATCGCTCAACTGAGATCTATGCCATGGACGTTCCTGTCAGTACGCCAAAGACTGGCCTCGAGAGTCGCACAGTGGTTGCCTCGTACCTCTTCCAGAATGGCAAACAGATTGCGCGCTATGTCAATTGGCCTGAACCTCTCAAATACTTGCATCTGCAAAAGCCCAAGCACCTCACGGCGGAGCTATCGTCGGATGCCACACATGTCGCTGTCAAAGCCGAAGTTCCCGTCAAGGGCGTCGCAGTCGAATGTGAGCAGGACGGCGTCACGTTTGACGACAACTTGGTCGATATTGTACCTGGGGAGGTCGTCCACATCGGCATCAACGGCGCTTCGCAGGGCACCATAATTACTACTCGTTACCTGAACATGCTTAGCTAGATCATTGAGTAGATGAATATATCAACCCATATGGTCGTCGCATCAGTCAGACTGGAATTTTCCATGTTTTAGGTTGTACGGTCTCAAATCTGGCTTCATATCTGTCACGATATCCAGACTACGTATAGTACTATATTATGCAACGTATCCGGTAGTTGAGACGTCATTAAAGTACTGACATGCTTCAGCAGCATTCACCACATCGCCTTACTGTTACACTCGAGGTGGTTCTCGTCTCTGAGGCTTTTACCTTTTACTCTTGTTGGGGAAGACTTCGCAGAGCAGTCGCAACCCGTCGACTTTGTTTTGAGACGTGTGGGTGGTTCCCTTGTCTCGGGTTGTACTTGTACGAGTTGGCGACGCCAGTTGGTGGTAGAAACCGCAGAGAGGCTTGTCACGGTGCGACATGAGGACACTTGTGGCGACCCAAGAGTACCTTCGCAAACGATATTTGATGAGGCTCTTCTGATACTCACCAGAACCAAGCACCACCTTCCGGTTTCACCCTAGTGTCCTCAAACCCCGAAAGAGAGGGCATACCAAGCCCCTGTGTGTTCTTTCGGGACGTCAATGGACCTACGACGTCGTGTCGGTAGATCGCATCTACCCCAACTTGTGTGCCGCTTGCGGGGCTTTATATCACTGAGAGAGTGCAGCCGGCGCGGGCATTGAGAAGGCCAACCATTTCGGAACTGCCAGAGACACGAGCTCGCAAAGAAGGCGGTGACTTCAGTAATCATGCCTAAACACGGAATACATCATAAACTCTGTAGGCATGCTGCACCCCAGTATCGGCAACTGACGATGTCGCGCCACACACGGCTCTCCCGCAATTGCGGGGGAAAGCGCCCGCTTCACAAAAAAAGACGCTGATTCAGTGCACGTCCGGAGCGGTCAAGGTTGTCGGTAGCAGACGGTCGCGCGTAACAGTTACACATTTCCACCATGGCAAGGTATCACACAGCAAATATATCGGAGCTCCTGGAGCCACGCCCGTGTAGGTCATAAAAAGCGCCAACCGTCAAAAAGACGGGACGCAGACAGGCGTGGACTATGATGGCCCTTTGAATCTTGCAACAAATGTTTCAATCACCAGCGAGCCAGAGAGACAGGCTCAAGATGAGCCAGCCTCCCCAAGTCCCGCCGCCCTGCATCGCCAGCCTGCTCCCGTCTGCAGATACAAAACATATCGCTGATGGGGGACTCCATTCGCCGCATCGCTCACCAAAGGGAAGCTCTGCTTTGTCAAGAGACTCGTGTGGTTCGAGTGGCCGTACAGAGCTTCGCTGCGTTGTTTTGTTTCGTCCGTTTTTTTCGGTGTCGCATGTCACGGAGAGCACGAGCACAAAAGAGGCTAGGAACAAGCAATACCGCAATGCACCAGCATACCTACCTTGTAAAGTTCAGAGCCTTCTTAATCACAGTCGATTGGCGTCATGAACAATCTTGCATCTCGTGGCCCGTCCTGTGCCAGAGATGCAAAGCTGGGCGGTCGGATGATGAAGGAGAAAAAATCTTTTAAGAGCAAAGTGCAACTCGCGTGCTCCACCAAGTGGCTAGTGGGGGCCACCCCTGTAGTTATCCTTATCGAGCGGCAGTCTGCAACTAGGTAGCCAGCATCACTCAGCGTATAAGTCACATCTTTCAAGTTTTTCTATCAACAATCCTCGTACACTGGAATGAGGTTTGACATGGATATTAAATCGTGCTCAGTAGCGCAACCTTGGCAGAATATACATAATATGCAGAATACACAGAATCAATTTCGAGGAAATGACAGACTGAATTTGGCTACAAAGCATATACTACGCCTATTTGGGTATTACACTAGACTCATTACCCTCTTATACAATTTAAATAGCTCCTGCACGAGCAGCCTCTCCTGCATTTTCATACACGAGCTCTTCCATCTTTCTCTTGGCCTTGCCCAGGCTGTCCTCGCCAACTCCCATTCGGCGAGCAACATATCTCTGGGCCACGATGCCAATGGATAGCGAAAGAGTCTCTTCAATCCATTCGGCAACCCATTCTCTGGGGTCAACGGCCCCGCTATCAATAATATCGCGGATTTCCGCTGGGACTGCCAAGTCCACCTCGGCCTGCTCCTCGTCTCCAGACTTGGGCGTGAGAGGAGTGTTGGTGTCCAGCCAACGTGCCCACTTTGCAGGAATGCTCTGACTGACGGCCGCGTATTCGATTTGGTGGATAGGGTCGAGGATAAAGACGGCAAACGAAACGTGGCCATCATCGTCTTCCTTGTCAGCCTTGTCCTCCTTGTCTTTTTCGGCTGAGGCGGTGCGAGCAAACAGGGTTCCGTCGTCGTCCGTCTCGATAGCTTGGATGGCCAAAAACAGATCCGAGGTTCGTACAGGGTTGCTTTCGCTCAAGTCTTCCGTCGCCCTGGCTTTGGCTTGCTCTACACCTCCCTTGGCAGACAAGTACTCTTCAGCGTAGCCCTCTGCGTTGGCGCGGCAGAGTTTGGTGCCCTCTGTCAGGCCCTTGATCAGACCAAGTTCTCGTACAGAGTCAGACTGACGCCACCACGGGCCATCTCGCCAGCCGGCATTGCTCTCGCGGGCCCGGCGTGAGCCGCTTTCTTGGCCACGCTGCACAACAAGTAAGTCGCCGCCCTCGACTTGTGACATGACGCGGGAGAATACACCATGAATAAGAGGATCCATGGATGGGTATCCGACAAGATCGTGGGTGATGTGAATGAGGAGGCGCTCGTGGGAACTGATGGGCGGGGCAATGGTGTTCAGGATGTTTGTGAATGTCGGCAGTGCGCGATGGCGCAAATCGTCGCCTAGCATGCTACATTAGCAACAGGAATGGTATGAATCGATGCCTGGATTGGTTATTCGGCTTACCGTAATGGCGGAGGGCGCCAATATCCAGGCCCTTGAAGCCCCTTACCTGCTCAGCCCATTTCTTTGCATCCTCATTCTGCTGGACTTCCTTATAAGCGGCCTCGGCCTGCTTCATGGCAGCGCTGGCGGTGGACATGATACCACCCCACCAGCCGCCGCCGCTCGGTGCAGGCGGCTGCTCCACGACGGCTTTCTTCTCGGCATCCTGAAGCTCAGAGCTCGTCGCACTGGGCGTGAAGCTGGCACGGGCACTGCGGGCGCTGTCGGTCGACTTGCGCTTGTCTTCGGCGACTGATGCACCAGGTACCGGTCGCTTTCCAGCTCCTACGAGGCGGGGCGTATGTGGACGGGAGGTGGGAGGTGCAGAAGCGAGTTCCGACTCGAGAGCGGCCAGAATGTCCGTGTCGCCGCCGGCCTTGGCAACACCAGCCTTGGAGCTCTTGGGGGCGGCCTTGCCGGCCTTGGGGTCGCCACGGATGCTAGAGAAAAGCTCGTCGATGTTCTCGTCGACAGCAGGGGTCTTGGACTTTTTTGAAGCCATTGTGGTAGGAGGGTTGATGAGGTGAAGCTGGTATTCGGTATGACGTTGGAGGTCGCTTCAAACACGGGGGCGGGTTGGATGCAGTTGGTGGGGTGACGACTACACCTACTACAGCTAGCGGGCAGCTGCACTGCTGAGTGCCCGGGTTGTCGACTAACAGCGGGCGGGTGGCGGGAGACTGGGGGGCTTAGCGGGGGCAACCTGGGTACTAGGTAGATGTATGATTTGATTTTGCATTGCAAGCATCTTTCTTTGTAGAGACAAAAATGCACTTTGTCTCTACTGTGCACGTTGGGATAGATAAAGAAGCCGTCTGGGTGGTCAGCACGTTGTATTCGTGCCCGAGTCGACGTTGGGGGGCTGGAAGAGGGCAAGAGGAATTGATTGATAGACTATTTGGTGCATCACATTTGTATGGTTCGAACGACACTGTAGTCTAACGAAGCTTACCGCGAATGGCAAGCGCCTTTGCCATGAAAAGCTAGATAGATGAATAGTACCAATTTTGATACACAAGCAGGACGACAGACTAGTAGTTAGGACCATTTTTATTATTGATTGAAAAGGGCGACGGTAACAAAGGAGTAATTAATTACCTGGCTAGCAAACTACCTAGGTAAGTAGGTACCTAACAAAACTTCTCATCAGGAGCCAAAAGAGACTAGCGCAGAGTCGCTGGAAACGGCAAGGTGATTGGCCAGCGTCCATCTACTGTGCAGCGTGGCGGCGGGAGCCTGAGAGCCTGGGGTTTGAGGCGACTACCTATGTACCTGCAGGAGGAAAGTTGGGTGGTGAGGTACTTGCTTTGTTAGCTCTGGGGGCAATGGTAGTGCACATAGGTAGGTACCTTAGCGGTCGCACGCGCTGCAATAATCCGCCTGCTCCCAGTGATTCTGAGTGTAACAGGAGTGGCTGGAACATGACAAGGAATAAATAATACGGCTACTGCTCTCCTCGTTCATCACCAATGGCCCAAGGCCCAAGTCGACCAAAGACTGACGGGGCACGCTTGACGGTACGTACCAAAATACTCAGTACCCAAAACAAGTGGGCCCCGGGAACCTTGGCTTATTCCAACCACGACACACCTCGAGCAAAACCGAATTGCCCAGGAGAACGAGTACACAGAGCGCGCAGAGACACATCCTCAACTCTTTGCCTTCCGCCTCTCCCATCTTCCTCCCCCTCGTCGCCCCCTTCTTCTGCTATTCTTCTTTATTCTCATCCTGTTTTCTTATGCCGCCCACTCCTCTTTTGCCCTTGTCCTAGACTGACAATCTCGTCACGTTCTCACTTGCTGGCTCATACAAGCAAAAGCCCACACAACCGGCCACAACTAGGCGTCACGCTTTTCGCTCGCCCCAAACTCTTTTCACCTTTGCTGTCATTCCCCAGACATCGCTCTCTCCTCCTCGTCTGTTTTCCTCTTGTTGAATAATACCCCGCCCATCGCTGTCTTGATTTCGCCGCCGCGTCCTGCTCATCCCACATCCAGCCTACTGGCTGACTATGGACCGTGCCCGCAGGACGGCATCGATGGCTTCAGCCCGTCGCAAGGCAAATCCTTCTTCCGACTCCCTTCAATCTACTCCAGAGTCCGTCTCTGAGCCTTTGCCGTCTGTGAGCCCTGCTTTGTCGAATGACATTAAGAGCCCGCAATCTGCGCCACCTGCTCGGCGCTCCAGCAAGACTCTGCCGCACACCTCGAGCTTTTCTGCTCCCGCCTCATCGCGCTCTGTCCATCTCAGAAAGCGCTCAAAGACAATGGATGAGTACGGCTTCGAGTATGCCGCCGACGATCATGACAGCCCTAAAAAAGGCGGCCACACTCTTCGTCGGCGTGCCCGCGTCGACTACACTTTTGAGCAGATTGACGACGAGGTTGTTGTTCCCAGCTCAACCTCGTCAACGCGCACGAAGAAGCGCAGATCTGACAACAGTCTCGACTCGGAAGACATAAATCCTCATGAGCCTGCCCGCAGACGCGCCTCCCTTGATGCAGAAATGTCTTCCTCTCGCCGTCGCAATCCTCTCCGCAAGTCTTCTGCCGAGATAGCCACCTACATTGAAGAGCCAGAAGAAGAGGAGCGCGAGGTGAAAGACACCATTGAAGTGGTTGGCTCATTATCTGATGACGAAAATTCCACTTCTGCCGCGCTCTCACGCTCACTCACCACTGGCCAAGACTCTTTACCGCCAAAGGCTACCAAGGCTGCTTCGGCAGAACCTACGACATCTGCCACTCATAGGCCCACACGCCAGCCTGAGCAGCCCAAAACGACTCCTGGAGCACCCATATCTAAGCTTCAAGAAGAAGATGGCGAAAAGCCGGATAATCAGTTGCTGCAAGAAGCTGGTGCTGCTATACCAAATGGCACCGATTCCAGTACCACCAATGTCGGCCAATCAGAAGCCACAAACGGCAATGTTGCATTCGAGCAGCCGTCTCCAAAGCAAAATCCTGATTTCTCTCAAGAAGAGTCAAATCTAGCGTCGGCCAAAGAGGAGCCGATTGACGACACAGTTGCCGCGGATGGAAATACTATGCCTGTTGCAAACAAGACATCTCCCAGGGCTAGTGCGGCCGACGAAACTGAGGGTAAAGGCAAGGTCACTGCCTCTGCCTCTGATTCTACCAATGGAAAGTCTGAAAAGGACGCAGAGCAGCCTATCTCTCCATCATTGCAGATTCAAAAGCAGCTTGATGGGTCCCCTGACGAAATTTCCGCAGACGTGAAGAGGGACCCCGATACTGAAGAAGGTGACAATATGCCAGATGCTGGTAACGACATACTTGGGGACGAGTTTGCAGCAGATGCTCCGCCGGCAGAACCTACGGAGGAGGTCATTCTACCGACCGTAGCATTGGAAGTAAAAGGCACTCCCGCTTCTTCTCAGGCTGGCTCTGAAACCACAATGAAAAGCGCCATTGCCACCAAGGCTGAGAGGAAGCCTTCGCCATCACAAACCCTTGCACCCGTTCCTGTTGTTGTATCACGGCCCCAACCGACTCCAGTCGGACGTTGGGCCCACCTGACACCTTATATTGACGGCGAATACACCACATACCCCGAGAAAAAGGAATCTTCGCCTGAAGACGAGACACCAGCCGACGAACCAACAGCTGAGGAAAGGGACGCCGATAAAGATGCAAATGGCATGGAACCCATGGTCGAGGACAACGATGACGCAGCGGATACTTTTCAAGCCGAGGCACCTACCCCGGCGTTGAATACGCCCATCCGAGGCTCGCCCGCCCCAGAGTCCATGGAACCTACGGCGTCAAACTCGCCTGCTCCTGCTGCAGAAGAAGATGATGGCGAAGTCTCTGATTCTGATGACAATGGACCCCGACGCTACTTTCGTTATAGAAAGCTACGCGATGCGGAAGAGTATATCTCAGCTCTAGAAAAGTTTGAAGACATGTCAACGGCCGAGTTGTACGATCTCATTGGGGCTGTGAATGTGTCTATGGTTCAATGGCAGACTGAGTGGAATAGACTGGGTAAAATTGTGGATGACTATGAGAATTCTCTCCGGCGTCGAGTGGCCGATTCAAAATACGAATCAAGAACACGAAATCTTCACCAACACGGCATCAATTACGAAGAACCTGAATTCGTTGTCAAGGGGTACAAGGCCAAGGAAAAAGAGGTTATGAACGAAACTCGTTACCTTCAAGGCCAGGATCGTATCATGGCAGCCGCATATGGCTTTGAATACGATCCCCACCCATCCAAGATTGGGCGTCAGAACCCCGAGACCCAACAGGCAGGCATCATGACACGAGGACGCTCACTCCGAAACCAGCCTAGGCAGACGGCAAAGGCGACTGAAGCCGATGAAGTTACCGGCAAGCGAACTCGCAAGCCCGTCCAGTTATTCGATCCAGCCGCACAAGATGTTAGCCGCAGCTCCACGCCTGCTCCGACAAGAACCAGGCGACGCAAGACTGGGAACGGCGATGATGACGCGGTCGCCTCTAGCTTCAACGGAGACGCCAATTCGGATGTGGAAGACCCCCCTTCGAGAACGAAGCGCCGACGCACTGGACGTCCACAGACTTCTGTGCCGAATATGGGTGAGGAGTATGGTGCCTCGCAGGATATGGCCCAGGAGGACGAGTCCGGCCGCCCCAGCCGCCGTGGTCGTCACCGGGCTGCCATTCGATACGACGATGGCTTTGCTGAGCAGGAAATGGACGATGAACAGCTGCCGAAGCAGCCAAGGCGACATATTCTCACCTTGAAGTTTCCACGCGGCACGGACTTTAGCGGACCTTCGTCCGCCATTACCGACAATGGCGACTCGCGACCGTCCACCGCCTCCTCCGATTCGAGCTCTCACACGGCCGAGTCGTCGTACTCTTTCCGTCCTAAGCGGCAAAAGCGCTTCCGCGACGAGCAGGAGGAAGCCGAATCCGCTGGCCAGGGCCCTCCTAAGAAGCGTAGTCGCCGGGTCACCGACGAGGCTCCCGCTCCGGCCGCCAGCCTCCCCGCCGGAGATGTCTCGCCCACCGCGGTCCGCAAGACGCCCAAGATCAAGGTTGTGCGCGTCGCGCAGGCGAGCCGCACCGGGACACCGTCTTCGATTGGCGGAGACCCGGAGGAGCCGCGCAAGGACTACAAGCTGATGACCAAGTCGGAGAAGATGTCGGCGTCAATGAAGAGTAAGGAAATTCCCACCCCCCTAATCATTACGATTGAGTCGCTAGATGATCTAACATGTTGACACAGGTCGATGGGCGAATGGAAACATGGCTGGTGCTGTTGAGAAGCGCAAGGCAACGCTCGCGGCCAAGAAGGCCGCGCAGGCCGTCGCCGATCAGAAATCGGGCACGACGACACCCAAGGGGAATAAGGCCCCCAACAAGCCAAGGAAGGACGTACCGCCTCGACAAGGCGAGCAACCCTTGCCCCCGAGCACACCCGCTCTGGGTTATCCTTTTGCGGCCGCTTAACTTGAGGCGTATAATGTGTGTTTTCGAGGATATTTTTCTTTTTGGAGAGGTGCTGGACTTGCGGGCTTCGTCGTAAAAACACGTGGCCAACGTCCAGCAACCTCGTGTATACGAACCGCGCGTCTGGGTTCTCTTAGTTCCCTCTTTTTCCTTTCTGTCTCCTTGCGTCCGGTTTTTTTTGTCCTCATGTTTAGCATACGAGCCGCGTTGGCATTCATCGTGCCACGCATTCATGGCTCTGGACTGGCGTTGTTTTCTTTTTACCTCTTTTTGTATCTTTGTCTTTTCTTTTTCCCACTTGGTTCGCAGTTTCAAGTCTCTATTCTCTGCTGGGTAATGTTTTTGTCTCCACCCAACAAACCTGTGGTGGTCACTTATTTTTGGAACTTGGGAATGGATGGAATAATGTTTTCAAGGGTCGATTGCATAGTTTTGAATTAAGCGACAATGTTACCTTGCTAACTTATATGTCGTGATGTGAAACATGTGGTGAATGTGTGTAGTCGCCTAGTCGCTTGTGTCATCATAGCCTGACTTACAAACAACTGATAGATGCCTTTTGGGTTTGGTTTCCGTAAATCACGCCGTAGAGTCACCCACCTTCATAAAATAAGCCAATCGGAGTTTATTGCCACTCTGCTCTGATTTGCTAATGCAAAATAGGTCACAAAAGATAAAGTCATGCCTACAAGCTGCGATTCCTTGGTTTATTCGACTGTCCAGGGTAGTAGTCTGGTTCGCCTGCATCAAGTGGGCCGCAGGAATACACGATCGATCCGGCCGCACCAGCCTGGCCTAGGAATATTTGAGGACAGACTTACTAGCTGCCCGTGGTACGTCCCATACTTACGGCCAGTCGCATAATAGACGCAATGGAAGCAGTTTGGTAAATTTGTTTTTGTGCTCGCAATTGATGCGATATGGTATAAATCTTCCTTGCACGCCGCAATCAGAATGCAGAGCCGGCCATAGCCCGTACACCACCACTCATCCTCTTTCATATCTGAGGTAAAAAAAAAGAGAAGAGAGGCACCTTGGTATACGCAGAATATCCTTTGCGCGCCAAAAACCCGCATTCAGGATCATCAACAGAGTTTTTGCCAATGTTTCTCATTTTTTTTGTTCATGAATAGTGTAAAAAACATTTCGCCATTTACCCCTCCGTAGTATGCCGTTGTATAAAAAACCCGACTGTAATTTTTCCCTCTTCCCTCACAGCTCCTCGACCTTGCCTTTACATGACGACGCCCGAGTTGGAGGCGATACGGGGCCACAGCTCCGCGGCCTCCTTGCCGACGGGGCCGGTGATGGCGGAGCCCTTCATCTCGCCCTTGGGGTTGACGATGACGCCGGCATTGTCCTCAAAGTAGAGGAAGACACCGTCGAAGCGCTTCCAGGGCTTGGCCTGGCGGACAATGACGGCGGGGTGGACCTTCTTGCGGAGCTCGGGCTTGCCCTTCTTGACGGTCGCGACAACCATGTCGCCGACGCCGCCGGCGGGCAGACGGTTCAGGCGGGCACCGATACCCTTGACGGCGATGATGTAGAGGTTGCGGGCACCCGAGTTGTCGGCGCAGTTCATGACGGCACCGCTGCGAGCTGTGTGTTAGCGCATTGTGGGTTATATTTCGCGTTGTGCGCTTGGCGGAGGGGTCGTCGGCGAGGGGTGGGCGGCAACGTACACAGGGAGACCCAGGGTCATCTTGAGCTTGCCACCGGGGGCACCACGGCTGCACGCAGTCTGTTAGTACTTCTAGATCGCAGGTATGAGGTTTTGCGTCGCCGCGCTGCTCTGCTCGCAAGACTGCTTCGATACGACGTCGGCGGAAACTGGTTCGAGACGAATGGTGACGCAAATTCGATACGGCGGCGTAAAACGACATCTGGAAATTCGATTGCAGCGACACAGTGCATCCGTCGTCCTGTTTTCCATGGTTGCAGCCATATCCGAGCACAAGTCGTAATTTTCGCTGACCCAGCCCATTCGTCGTCGTATCCGGCTAACCTCAAAATGTCGCCAGCAGCTTGTCGTCCAGATCTCCTCCTCTTGCACATCGTTTGTTTCGCTTTTGCATGTATTGTCGAGGCAGAGAGCAGCCGCGGGTCGAGAGAGAACTTACGAGATCTTGGCCATTGTGAAGGGTTGTGTGTGGCGTTAATTCGTGAGGGAGAAACTGCCGTGTCTGGGATTGCGGTCGTGATCGAAAGCTTCCAGGGCCATTCGGGCGAAAATTTCCTGTGGGGTGAGAAACCCTATGTGGAAGCGAGTGAACTTGCACGTGACGATAAGCCGCTTATCCAACCCTGCGTGGGGCGACTTTAGCTGGCATGCCGGTGTCAAAAAAAAAGGCCGGACAAATAATAAGTCTACAGTATGTACACTCTCTGTAGTTGATGTACTGAAAACCCAATAAAGCAAGATAAGAGGGATACAAAGATGGCAGTATTCCTAATCGGCGGGTGAATTTGTCTCTCTTGTGGCTGGGTGTGCAAGAACATGCCGCGACCCAGCAGTGTGGAAGTTGCTTTGAAATTAATTCTGGAGACCGAATATAATTGGGCTATAGAGAAACACAAGAGTCCCAGAAAAAGCTCGAGATAATTTTGTGTGTGTAAAGCCCAAAGTGTTGAAATGTCATGTCTGCCGCCGATGTATGTGTACTCTCGCAGTGAGCTTGTTGCATGCCTTACGTACATATTTATCAGGCCTGAACCTGAGCTGGCCGGCAATCGAACATTCAACCGCCTGAGCGATAAATACTAGTATTTCTCTTTGCGGAGATGTCCTTCTCTACTTGATATGTCTGATAAACTGAGTCACTGCCGGCTGTTGCTGTAGTTGGCTCTTCTGTCTCGTGTATTGCGATCTCGACTTTGCCTTATAGTAGCAAATAACTTCCTCTGGTTTCAACAAATACCCCCGCCTGGTTAGCTCAATCGGTAGAGCGTGAGACTCTTACGAGAGTACAACCATCTCAAGGCTGCGGGTTCGACCCCCGCATCGGGCTTTTCCTATACAAACGTCAACTGACGCATTCTTTTTTTTGTTTTTGCTTTTTGCGACCAATTCGATGATAGACGCAGAGAGGCAGCCTGATTGATTTTTTTGGTTCAAATTTTGAGGTAGCTCCGTGTCATTGGTGTTGGGTGAAGACTTCTCCAATCTGCCACTGAATGGTGCTGCTTTTTTCTAGCCCTTGATCAAGTGCAATTCAGATTCTACTATTGAACCGCTATCAATTCAATGACAAGACAAGACAACCCCTTTAATTGATACTGCTACAACTCGGGTTGCTGTTATAGACCCATTCGATTTGCAAAGGCAGAACATGCATGTATGGAGGCTGAAAAGTCTCCATAAAGCCTCCGTACGCTGATTTATGTCCTCCTACCTAAGCAACCGTGCTTACCTGGTGCGTTTTTTTATATCTTTTTGACGTTGATATGTACTTCTGCTGAAAGGTGAGTTGTAAGTTCTTCAGTCACTTTGTCAAGGGTAGATCTGGCTCACAAGCTTGGTGGATAAGGCTGTACATGTCCCACTTATTATTGGTGATACAATCCCGAAATACTGTAGTTATTGAGACAATCAACTGTTTAGCCAATCAAGTTAGCAGGACTGATTTTATCAAAGACACCATCAAACAGCCAATGAAAACAACTACGAATGTAGAGTGCTCTGTAGCCAGCCAAAGAGTGAGAGAGTGCCGACTGCTTAAGAATTGCCTGTGATTGGCAGGCAGAAATCGTCGGGGCCGCCGAGGGAAAAATTTAGGGGCTCTTGCCCCTGTGAGCAGAGCACGCACCAGCTCCAGCGCCCCCCGTCACTGCAGGACCCGGCGCGCCAATCAGAGGGCACCTGAAATTTCCTACCTACATATCTCCCCTTTAATGGTCGCCAGCGCAGTTGACGTGTCCGCGTCTGCCACAGAGTACAAGGCGACCTGCCAAATTGTTCATCTCACCAAAACTCTTCGACACCTGCAGTCATCCAGCCACCCGTAGAGGCATTCACAGCCACTTGGACCAGCCACTCGCTACATTCTGACGCTCGTGTTTCGCCGTCTCTGGCTGCCTGCTTGACGCCCTCAGGAGCCAACGCGTCGTCTCTCTCCCCACCCTTGGACTGTGCAATCAACCCCCGAATCGCCTCCTCTTACTCGCCTTTTCACGCTGCCAATCATGTCGGACAAGAAGAGCGACGACTACTATCCCGGCCGCGACAATGGCGAGAAGGAGCGCTTCATTCCTGCAGCGCCCGCATTTGCCGCTCGTGAGGCCCCGGCTGCTGTTTCCGACTCACTCAACAAGATAAGCCAAAGCCCGGGTCTCTCTGTCCTGGCCTACTGCTTGTCTTCCATCAGTATGACAGTTGTCAACAAATATGTCGTCTCCGGCTCCAAGTTCAACATGCCTCTCATGTACCTGGGCATCCAGGTAAGATGGCCCGCGCACTCGGATACTCACCCAGCAGCTTCTGACTTCCCTGCTCTTAGAACGGTGTCGGTGTTGCTGCCATCATGGCCTGCAAGCAGCTCGGGCTTATCACCACTCTTGCGCCTTTTGATACCGAGAAGGCCAAGAAATGTAAGTGAAACGACACATGGCTGCCTCCTGGAGAAAAGCGCACAGTTCTAATGCCTCGCAGGGATGCCCATTTCGTTCCTTCTCCTTGGCATGATCTTTACTGGCACCAAAGCTCTTCAGTTCCTCTCTGTCCCCGTCTACACCATCTTCAAGAACCTTACAATCATTGTCATCGCGTATGGTGAAGTTTTGTGGTTCGGCGGCAAGGTTACCTCGATGATTCTGCTCTCTTTTGGCATGATGGTTATCAGCTCCATCATTGCTGGTTGGTCTGATGTTCAGTACGCTGCTTCTGCCTCCTCCGATGCCCTGTCTACTCTAAATGCTGGCTATGCCTGGATGTTTCTGAACGTCATCTGCTCCTCGGCCTTTGTTCTCGGCATGCGCAAAGTTATTCGCAAGATGAACTTTAGCGATTGGGACAGTAAGTAATGATCCAAGAGATTTGTACTGCAGCATGCTTACAAGCAACTAGCCATGTTCTACAACAACTTCCTCACCATTCCTGTCATTATCGTCCTCACCCTCCTTGTCGAGGACTGGTCTAGCGAGAACCTGGCCCGCAATTTCCCCGTGGAGAGCCGCAACAACCTCATGCTTGGCATGGTCTACTCGGGCCTTTGCGCCATTTTTATCTCATACTGTTCAGCCTGGTGCATTCGCGTTACTTCTTCCACTACCTACTCTATGGTTGGAGCCCTCAACAAGCTGCCCATCGCTGTCAGTGGTCTCGTCTTCTTCGATGCCCCCGTTACCTTTGGCAGCGTCTCTGCCATTATCCTTGGTTTCGTGAGTGGTATCGTCTACACGTGGGGCAAGGTGCAGATGAAGGAGCAGTCCAAGATGAGCCTCCCGACTACCAACCGACCGGTCATGAGCGCTAGCTCCAAGAGCAATAACGATGCCAACTCATAAAGCGCTCCGACTGGACAAGGTCATGAAGGACGGAGGCAGCAGCACAATGCGGTAGAGGGGACTGCAAACCCCATGGCCAATATGTTGTCCTTCATTCGTGATCTGCCGCGATTATTTCAAAATGATAGCGAACGGCGTCGGCTCTCAGCGTCCACGGTGTAAAATCACTCATGTTTGCGGCTTGGGACATTTGGCATTGACATCTCCCATCGGGTTGAAGCGGGAGAGGGATTCTTTTTTGTTTCATCCAGGCGTTTGCTTATTTCATGCATGCCAGAGGGACCAGATGGCATTTTGGCATACGACGAGAATTGTATTAATTACAGGCGGAAAGATGATTAATTTGGGAATAGACTTGACAATTGCATGTACAATTGGCTGGACGGCGCTTGTCCCGCCTGCATCAACGGACCGTAGGCCTGCGCACCCATACACCCAACGGAGAAAACAATCCAATCAATCAAAAGGGGTTATTTGACTTGCTTAGCAATTCACCGTGCTCGGCTCGGCCTTGGTGCCAGAATGGTTTAGCTCTGTATAGTTACAGCGCACTATTTGCGCATCTCCAGTGGAAGTGGAGAGTCGTGCCCGCCTGCCGTGCTGCCGTCTCTGTAATATTATATTGCTCCTCGAAGTGTCCACAGCCCTACTGGTAACTAGAACCAGAGCCAGAGTTTCGTGGTGGAATAGATCGGCTAGAAGAACGGGGGTTTTCATGGCTGGGCTGAAAAACCGGAGGGGACAACGAGAGCTGACGACAGCCTGGTTGGCGTTAGATCCTGCTGAGTTAGCACACGCTCATCTGCTCAACCCACTCACTACACCACCTTGACAAATCCCCAAGCTTCGACCGTTTGCGACTTTCAAACTCTTCCTGCAGCAGTCTGGCTCACCTTCTGTTGATGCCGGATAACCCACCCGTATCCTCCGACAGGTTGCCCACGGATAGCGATCGCGACCCTCTCAATTCCTGATTCGTACCACGTTCTCGTGAAACCCGGCCCGCGGCATCCGCTCAAGAATCGACACCATTGGCTCATGTCGCACCGGCAGGCAAGACCCTACTGCAAGCGCCCGTGGCCACCCAGCGACCATGAACTACTTTGAGGACTATGATGAGCCAGGCGCTGACGGCGGGCCAGCGAGCCACGAGCCGCCTGCCAACATGGCATCGCCACCATCGCCCGCCCAGCCCAGCCAAGGCGCACCGGGCATGGCCCGCGAGCCCCGATCGTCTGGCAATGTTACGATATACCAAACCACAGGTCCTGATGCCCACAAATCGGCCATCCTGTCGTCTGGGGGAGCGGGACCTGCGCTGAACCCGCGCTCCTGCGTAACCTGCCGCCGGCGCAAGGTGCGGTGCGACAAGCAGATGCCCTGCTCCAACTGTCGTCGCGCCCAGATCCCCTGCATATTCCCAGCGCCAGGCCGCGCCCCGCGCCAGCAGAAGCCCAAAGACCCCAACGCGCCGCCCAAGAGCTCTAGCGAGCGCGAGGTTGAGCTGGTCAAGCGCCTGCGCAAGCTCGAGGGCATCGTCGAGGAGCTGAGCGGACAGATTGAGGTGGAATCTGGCAGCGGCCGCCAGGCGCACTCGGAATCCCCACGCGTCGGCACAAGTGGTGACGCCTCCGCGCACAGCCAATACGCTTCCAGCCTGGATTTCTTTGCTGGGCGCCCGTCTAGCGAGGGTGCCCACGACACGAACCTAGACGTTTTGCGAAAACGAGACATTGGCCAGCAGTTTGGCCGGATGGTACTCGGTGATCACAAAGGCACGACCAGATATGTTAGCAGTGGCTTCTGGTCTAAAATAAACGACGAGATTGATGCCATTCGTACCGAAACACAGCGGCTCACCGATGATGACGACGAGTCTGACTACGATGAATCGCCCATGCACACACCAGATCCGTTGGGCGCTCTCGCTGACCATCACTCGTTCATCTTTGGTTATCGATCCGCGGACGTTGATCTCAGTAAATTACACCCACTGCCCTCGCATGCAACATTCCTTTGGTCCGTGTTTCAAGAAAACGTCGAGCCTCTAATTAAGATTCTCCATGTACCAACGATTGACGCTTTGCTACGAAAAGCAAGAGAAGATGTCTCTACGCTATCCCCTGCAGATGAAGCCTTGGTATTTGTTATATACTTTTCCGCCATCACCGCTCTTGAATCAGAAGAGGTTCAGACAAATTTTGGGGCCGAAAAGTTCGCTCTTCTCGCGCAATACCGTTTTGCCGTGGAGCAAGCATTGGCCAAGGCAAATTTCTTGAACACATCTGAAATCACTGTTTTGCAAGCCTTTACCCTGTTTCTGCTTGTTGGGAGGCGACATGACGATAGCCGATTTTGCTGGTCTCTGACCAGCCTGGTTGTTCGCCTTGCGCAGGGCATGGGCCTGCATAGGGACGGCACACACTTTAATCTGCCACCCTTCGAAACGGAAATGCGAAGGAGGCTGTGGTGGGCCCTCGTCACCCTTGATCTTCGATCTGGAGAGGAGCTCGGCACTGACATGGTTATACCGGACGGAGGCTATGACACGCAGCTGCCTTTGAATATCAACGACGCTGACATCAGCAAAGACTCGACAGAATTCCCCGAATCACGCGAAGGCCGATCGGACTGTGCTGTCGCCGTGGTCAGATACGAGATTTGTGCCATGGCTCGCCGAATCCATAGCGCATCCTCTGCCATGGCGTTGAGGTCGCAGACGAGCAGCATCACCGAAAAAGAGCAGATGCTCATCGAGGTATACCAGCGAATTGAAGACAAGTTTCTTCGACACGTTGTCGACGAGATGGACCCCTTGTACTGGGTCGTTGCGATGATCACCCGGGTCATCATGGCAAAGACGTGCTTGGTGATATACCACCCCCTTCTGTTCCCTGGTGCTGAAGAGCAGCTATCGAACGAGGTCCGTCAGAGGCTTTACGTTGCCGCGATTGAGATTATTGAGTGTAATCATAAGCTCAGCACTGATTCCCGCTGCAAGCAATATCGTTGGCTATTCAAGACTTACACAACCTGGCACGCCATCTCCTACGTACTGATGGAAACCTGCCGCAGACCTTGGACACCACTCGTCGAGCGTGCCTGGCATGCTGTAACAGGATACGAGGGGGACCCGGTTGAGCTGGCCAAGAAAGCAGATCATGCTGCGGTCTTTATCCCACTGCGCAAACTATTTGCACGCGCGCGACGGCATCGTGTAGCCGAGATTGGCAAGCTGCGTGCGAACCCAGAGGAAGCACGCCGTTTAGACTTTGCAGAGCGTATGGATCCAGAACCTGCTCGTTTTGGACCGGTTCCCGGCGCAGAGCATATAATGGACCAGGCGAGAGAGCGTTGGCGATTACTCTTAAAACCAGAGGGTGCCAGCACGTCCCCTTGGGTAGGGCCAAGAGCAGTGACTGTCAGCAGCATAACATCTACAGACGAAAGCTCTCAAGCAACGCCAGCGCGTACCGGCTCGAGCATGGTCCCTGGACAGCCGACGGAGCCAGACCCGATCCCAGCCACCAATGATGTCAATTACGCAATGGACTTTGTGGACGTACTCATGTCACAGCACAATGTCCCAATGGTCGACTTCTGGGAGATCAGCAACATGGACCCAGATGCTGTCGACGCGACTCTAGAGGCCCAGGGAGCCGCCCTACAGAACCCAGCCATCGGAATGCAGACAGCAGAGGGTGGCAGTGGCCCGCCCCTACTATGGGCTGACCCGTTCTCTACCGCAGGTATCAAGTTTGACGATGTCTTGGCCGATGATGCGGAGATGGGAGAGAATTTCAACTGGCAGGATTGGAGCCAGAGTATTCGCGGGCTGGAATTTGGAGCTGCAACCCCGATCCGGCGTTGGCCATAGACACACGCTGTAATTTCACAGAACGACAATAAGACATTGAGGACCAAGATGTCATCTTACCCCCCCTTCGCACTCGCAGTTGCGGAGCGTTAGTTGCGACGAACTATGATACCCCGGTGAGCCTACAAGGCGGATGCCTATGGACTGGGACTATACGGAGCGTGTGCCCAAACAATGTAGATGCTTTCCCAATAAATTAAAATAGCTCTTGCAATATTCTCATGTACATTTCTACCATTCTTTTGTGCAATTGCTCAGTTCGTTGCTCCTGTGACGATGTGCCGTCATTTGGTGGGGCTGAAGCTCGATCGCATGTGCCTAAAAATTTCCGGCTCGAAAGTGCAACGAACAGCTTCTAGACAGAGCAACGAACAAGCTCAACCCAACAACGGAGCGCGCAAGATGGACCCCAGTCGCCGAAATATGATAAACAATGGCGGGCCTTCGAGAAGTCGCGACGGCACCTCGCCGAGATACGACTCGCACAATCGCGTATCGAAATCATCGCGACCGGCACCTTCCCAATCAGCCAGCAAGACGGCGGCAAGCTACGTCTCGAGCGAGGAGCAGGCGCGCCAGTTTGTCGCCGACGAAGACAAATTTGTCTTGCGACAGTCGAAAAAAAAGGCCGATATTCGGGTTCGTGAGAACAGAGCGAAGCCTATTGACTATCTGGCGTTTAGCCTCCGATACATTGATGAGGAGCGCGACGTCTTCGACGACGAAGAAGGCGATGATGATATAGATGTACCCGAGCCAGCGGATGTTGTTCAAAGCCTTTCATTGGAAGGTCTGAAGGAATTGGAAGCGGATATAAAAACCTACCACGTGCTGGAAACGGAATCTCGGAATAGGGAATATTGGGAGGCATTGCGCTCGCTATGCAAGTCGCAGAAAGCAAGGCTTGACCCCTCGAAGCACGATAGGCGTGTGGTTAGCAGCGTGGACGATGACATCAACAAGATCCTGGCGCCAAAAACCTACGAGCAGCTGGGCTTGCTGGAGACGCAAATAAAGACCAAGCTACGATCTGACGAGGACATTGACATAGACTACTGGGAGCAACTTTTGCAGAGTCTACTCGTTTGGAAGGCCAAGGCCGTCTTGGCAAGAACTGTTGAGAAGATTACCAAGAAAAAACTCGAGCGAAAGGGCCAATCTTGCGGCAAGAAGAGCATCGATACGGGAACGGCACAAGCACAGACACAAGCACTGTCCAGTCAGGCGGCGAACGTGGCACCCTTAGAACAAAGCGGCAACGCAGATGCCTCACAGGCTACACAAACACTCTACGATAGGGAGGCTGCCCGGGGCGTTTCAGAAAATGAGGAGGTCTTTGCTGCGGAGGAGGAGTTGCCAGGCACATCGAAGCCGCAGTGGGCTGGAGAGCACCAGGTACGCAAGCCAAGATACTTCAATCGCGTGCAGATGGGCTACGAGTGGAACAAGTACAACCAAACGCACTATGACCACGACAATCCGCCACCCAAGGTTGTGCAGGGCTACAAGTTCAACATTTTCTACCCCGACGTCATAGACAAAACCAAGGCACCGACGTTCAAGATTATTCGGGAGCACGGCAGGAGGCGGGGTGAGTCCTTTGCGGCCGCAGGCGAGGAAGATACGTGCTTAATCCGCTTCATTGCGGGACCGCCGTATGAAGATATTGCCTTTCGGATTGTGGATCGTGAGTGGGATTATAGCGCCAAACGGGACCGTGGGTTCAAGAGTTCTTTCGACAAGGTAAGTTTGATTAGGCAGAACTCGGCCGAGCAAAAGTGCGATAGGTTGTATCTCACGGAAGCGGCGCCGTGAGGAGCCGAAGCAGGCTTAGCTAACGTTGTCTCGACTCCAGGGCATTTTGCAGCTGCATTTTCAGTTCAAAAAGGTAAGACCTGCATTTCATTGCCGGGACTGCGTCCCATTGTACCGGAAATTATTGGGGCTGACGTGTTTGCTCGAAGATCTTCTACCGAAAATAAGGACAACAGGCCACGGTGGCGGCCACGCGTGTGGTGTCTATTCTGGGAAACGTGAAGGGCACAGTATGAGCATCGAGTGAACTCGTACAGTCTTGATATGATTGTGGGAATTTGATGACGGGATAGGGAGGGCGATATGCTGCCGGCATGAGGCTTGAAACTGGGCAATGGCGGCCACAGCGGTTCCCGTTGATCGCATCTTGTACCAAAAGAAGAAGGAAGGGAAAAGGAAAAAGAAAAGAAAAGAGTATGATGTATATCAACCCCTTGAATGGTGACGATATTGTTTCGAAGATGGGTTGACTATATGGGAGGGTAACCTACGCTCCGTGTACCACTGATGCTCTTCTAGAAAGTAGGACAATGGGCATGGCAGGGGGGAGTGATGAAGCTGGGTGGCACGAAAGCAGTTTGAAGTGTAGGTCTCAGGAAGCATCTATGGTGATTGTGCAGGCAAGGACGAAGGTAGAGGAAGGTAGAGGCCAAGGTAGAGACTAGGAGAAACAGAATGCTGGTGCCTAGAAGAAAAGAATGCTGGAGCCTAATCGGGCGACTGTGTTTTGTGCGCTGAGGCTTACATACGTACATGCGGCGTCGCCGGGCTCTGCGGCCAGAGGATGGGATTCTTTCTTGTTACGGAGCCATGGCGGTCTCCAAGTCCTTTATCGGCGTTTGGGGGCCTTGTTTCAAAAGACCCAAAGGGGATTCTGGCTGAATGGACTGGTCCACAGTGGGTGTTGTTGAGAGAGAATCTGCGGGCTTCCGTTGAACACGCTGCTGATCTCGGCGTGCTGTGCAAGGTGTGCGGTGGCGGCGCGCCCCGCGTTGCCGCAGCAGTGTGGAAAAGAAGAGAGCAGCTCAGGGCTGCTGCTAAGGCAAGGAGCCGAGATGCTTTCCTGCAGCTTGGAGAGGAGGTCAAGATGAGTGTATGTACGGGTTGGGCCGACGAATCAAGGGCTCTTGGTCCGTCGTCGTTTGTCGTTGGTAGAGTGTAGACGGGCGGGTATTTCGGCCCTGTCAGGATGCAGTGTTGTGAATATGATTTGAATACATGTTGAGATAAGAAAATAACGAGAATAAATAAAATAAATAAAATAAATAAAATAAATAAAAGTGAAAAAATTGGCGAGAATCAGAGAAGCTTCCCTTCAAACGTAGTGCGCCTGTTGATGGATGGATGGGCACGACATGCCAATGAGAGACGGCGGCTATTGTCGCACAAGTAGTGCAAAGCTAGTAGTGCAAGCCATGGTGGCCAACATTGCAACTCGTCGGTGATACACAATACACAATACACACATCCATTGTTGAACGGGATGAAGAGGGGGCGACGTAGCACAGCGAACCGGTAGGCCAGTCGCCATCGCCTGTTTTTTTATTTTGCGGTTTAATTTGATTATTATTTTGGCGACACCAGACATGGGCAGAAGTGTGTGGTTTGATCAAAGGCTGGTCCGTGGTCGTGTTGTGAAGCACGTTCGCACAGTCTCTCCCCGTGCCGGCTTTGCGAGTAATTTTGAAATTTGCTGCGTCTGGAGCGGACAATGGCTCCCTCCTCGTCGGCCTGCAGACGCCGGGCAGCGCGAATGGGAGCGCGCAGCGAGACAGAGGTCGGCAGGAAGACGCACGCACCAGGGTTGTCTGGTTAGTCTGGGGGGAGAGAGAGGGTGAGAGAGAGGGTGAGAGAGAGGGTGAGAGAGAGGGTGAGAGAGAGAGGGACAGAGAGACAGAGAGACAGAGAGACAGAGAGACAGAGAGACAGAGAGACAGAGAGACAGAGAGACAGAAAGACAGACAGAGAGAGACGGCCATGGCAGGGATAAGATAGACAAGCCCGCGCCCATTTGGGATACGGAGCACGGAGTACGGATACACACACACACACATACACACAAGGAAAGGAGGGGTTCTAAAGACGTCTCTTGGTCTCCCCGCGCACCGGCCAGCCCGATGTCCATGGTATCCATGGTATTTGATGAAGAAGAGACCGAGAGACAGGAGGGAGGGGGGAGCTCAGACCAGAGCTCAGCGGGATGGGATGGGATGGGATGGGATGGGATGGCGATGGGAAGAGAGCGAGTGGTCCCCTCCCCTCCCCTCCTCCCCCTCCATTTCTACTCTGTACGGAGTATGTATTCACCAGATGCGCAGCCTTTTTGCTATCTTCACACCCGACAAGGGGGGCCCTAGTTCGTCTCTGCGCCCACACACACACACACAACACAACACAACACACACACACACAAATCCACCACCAGCCCAGCATTGTCTAGATCTGGGCCTGTACCATCCCTGGGCCCTGCAGCCGTTGTGGAGGGGCGGGCCACACTTCCCAGCACCAGAGGCAGCGCCAGCCAGAACAGGGTTGGCACTTGTCTGAAGATCTTTCTTTTTAATTTTTAATTTTTTTAATTTTATTTTTTATTTTTTTACACGCCTGGGCTCAGTTGTTCAACAATAGAAGCAATTTATAATCTAGTCCCGTCTTCACAACCTCCGTAGAGCTGCCCGGCCTGGTCGGACGGACGGGCTCGCGCGGGATCCACAGCCTCTGCTCCTCCTCGTCCCTCGAGAGCTGCAGCAGAGCCGAGCAGCAGCGCCTGAGTGAGTTGTGTGAGTGTGTGTGTGTGTGTGTGTGTGTGTCTCCGTCTGTCTGTCTGTATGGGCGGGCGCTTTTTCGCCTGTTGTTTTCTCACTTATAGATGTTGCCCGTTCTCCCCATCTACTTCCCCTTTCCCCCCCCCCGATCATCATCTTCTGTTTTTCCCGGCAACACATGAACACAATCTGTTTCCTTTGCTAAATACAACATACAACATACAACATACAACATCCCTTTCTACTTTACCTCTCTCTCTGTCTCCCCCCCACCGTTTCTTGTCTTTCATTCTGTGAAACGACATTGTCCTCCCCCATCTCCATCCATCGCCTGCCATATCCTTGAACGACTTGCCTTTTGGGCAAACTTTGGACATCTTTTCGGCCGGTTACTCCTCCTTTTGCTCGCCACACCCAGCTCATCTGGCCCGTTGTGTGGGCAAATAAGAAAAAAACGCCCAGCTCGCAGAAATAAGAAAAAAACCCCCACGGCGATATCCCGGCAGACAAGGCCATGAACACCCTTGTACCAATCAGCAGCTTGGGCGAAAGCCATATGAAGCTGGCCTCCCCGTCCACATCCCCCAGACTCATCCAGAATCCTTCTGATATTATAAAATCGGAACCCATTACCCATCTCCATCTGGCCAAGTGGAAGGCGGAAGACGACCTCATGGTCAAGGCGAACCGACAGACACGCGACTGCAGCTCGTCCGGACCCTACTACTGCCAACAACAAGCATCAGACCTCGATGCGAGAAAGTGCGAACCCATGTCTCCACCAGACAACTACTCAATCACGTCCTCCCCACAAACCTTTGGCTGGCCACCGTCGTCTGATTCAGGAGAGAGCGAGCCGTGGACGCTGCACCACCACGAGCTGCTGCCCGATCATTCCGGCTACGCCAAGTCGCCCTCGTCGCCTGCGAGCGGTTGGGACTGCGCGGTGCCGTACCAGTTCCAGAGCGCCCCTACGTCGGCCGGATACTTTGGCGATTGCGGCATCCCCTTTACGGCCGCTACGCCTCCCCCCATGCAGGCCAGCTACTCGCACTCGCCCGTCTTTGAGATGGCCTCGAGCTACGGCAGCCCGCACTACCCACCCAGCCACTTTGCTGACGGCTCACCGTCGCAGCAGCAGCAGCAGCAGCAGCAGCGCCCGATGACATGTGGTGATCTGGGCTCCCTGGTGCACGAAACGACGTCGCACCACGAATACTCATCTGCCGTCATGGCAACGCCGCCCAGCGAGTACCAGGACGGCAGCAAGGGCAAAAACGACATCAACAGCCTGCCGTACTCGCAGCTCCTGTACCGAGCGTTTATGAGCTCCAACACGAGGAAGCTGTCTCTGCGCCAAATTTACCAGTGGTTTGAAGACAACACCAACAAGGCGGTGAACAACAAGGGTTGGCAAAACAGCATCCGCCACAACCTGAGCATGAACCGGGTATGTACTCGTACAAAAATGACAACATTTGTCAACTGGATTGGTTTTTTCATGGACTAACAAGGAAGCAAAAAAGGCATTTGAAAAGGCACCGCTCAAGGAAGACGGGACAGAATCAAGACGGGCGACGGAGTGGGTGTTGGCCGACTGGGCACTGCAAGAAGGCGTACAGAGCACGACACGGTATCGCAAAGGCAATATCCGGTCGAAATCACACGGGTCGGAGCGCGACCGGCTAGCCAACAGCGCATACTCTGGGGGTCGCAGAGGTGTCATGGGATACAGCGGGCGCGGGCGGGAGAGACACTATAGCCATCGAATGGCGATGCATGGGCTGGCGCCAGAGTCACACCTTGTGTATGGCGCTGCTGGTCCTCCTCCTCCTCCTCTTCCTGGCGCACCGCCACCCGGGCACCTTGGGACTTGTTCGACTGGGTTTCCCGAGGTGGAGGGCTACATGACGGCGGCGGCCGGGGGGCTCTGCTACTCGGGCATGGAAGTGCAGGAAGGCTACGGCGGCGGCGGCGGCGGGTTCGCGCAACAAGACGAGTCGACGAGCTACAATGGATATGCCATGTACAGCATGGGCGAGGGGACGGCCATGGGCGAATATGCCATTGTTGGCGGCGTTCCCGACGGCACCCTGGCCGGAACCCATGTTGGTGGCGTTGTGCCACCAACATCAGTTGGGGTTCAATTTGGGCCTCAGTTGTCGTCGACTTCGTCTGGCCTTGTCATGGCCAACGAGCAGCACTCTCAGCACCATCATTACACGCATGCCGAGTATGATACGAGACAGGGCATCAGTCTCGCTCCTCGGGGGACACACGAATAGGGTCCTTTTTTTTTTTTTTTTTTTGGGATATGTTTCTTTTTTGGTTGTTTTGCAGTTGCTTTTTTAATAGAAGGCATGGGATGGGCATGTGGATGATGAGGTGTGATGGAACCAGCATTCATTCCCCCTCTATGGTGCTACCTGTCACACGATCCACACGCACCAACCAGCCACTGCATTGTTGGGCGGGCGCAGAAGGAGGGGAGGTTGACTGAATTTTTTTTTTTTTTTTTTTTTTTGTGTTGCTCTTCTTTTTTTTCCTGTTCTTCTTTTACCTTTTTTGACGAGACAATGTTACAAAAGACGCCAAGGGTTCAAGACAAGACGATGATACCAAATGACGGCGGGAGGGAAGGAGTCGGGGGGACTCGACTAGTGTCTGGATGAAAAATCTACATTTCTTGTGTTTTATCTTTCTTTCTTTTTTTTTTTTTCACTTTCTGGAGATGTGTTTCTCTCTCTTTTTTCAGAGACGTTTTCTCTTTTTTCTCGAAATGTTCTCTCTTGTAACATCATACATAGACGCGTTGGCCATGGTTGTTTTTTACGATAATACAGCTTGATTTAGACATTCTCTTTTTGACGGCAATTTATTATACACTAAACATGTCCATTATTATGGAGCACTTTACCAAGACCAACTGTCGGTGAATTGGGTGTACTCTGTACGTAGGCGACAGACAGGGCGCATCATGTTGGTATCTACAGACTACAGAGTACTACCAACTAGGTAGGTACTAATCAAGGTAGTTGGTACATAGCTGCCAATTGTTGGTGGCTTGAGTTAGTTCGTTGTACCAGTATAGATGGACACGAAAAATACTCGTCGTGCAGCCTTGCCTCGCATATCAGCCATATCAGCCTTGCTCCACAGATGGCACCGAGTATCTACGAATAACTCGTACCAGTCATCTGTATTTTTACCCATGTGGCAGCCTCTGGAGCAGCAACCAACCGTCCCGTGCCCCCCTCAATGAGCGCAGAGGCCCAGGGGCAGCAGACGGAAATAACTTGATGGCATGCAAGAGGACAAAGAACGCTTCAGGTACGAGTTGCAAGAAAAAGACGGATTTAGCTGTCAGACTCGTGTAGGATTGGCTTCCGAAGCACGTCGTTTTCTTCCATACTCCTATTCAGTCAATTCACATTCAGTCACCCATTCGGCAAAAGGTGGCTGCGACACACGACAACGTATTTCAAATCGGCTGTTGCCGAGGACGCGGTGGCTTGAAACAATTGCTGTGGTATTTGTGGCATCTGTGGTATTTGTGCTCGCTTAATCACTCATCATCATCGAACATGTGCGGAATGGCATGATGCAATGCAGGCAGGGGGGGGGGGGGGGGGGTAGGAGCGAATTGCAAATAGAGATGGACGACGGAATGCGTCCAATCACTGGCCAACAGCATGACCCGAAGCGGGCAGCAAAAAAAAAACGGCAACTCGGTAGCCCGTACTCCGTACAATACGAATTGACGGGGGCCAGTGAATTGGGATGTGCTGCCAGGAAACGTGCCCAGGAAACGTGCGTGTGGGAATGACCGGGGAGACAGGGCGGCCACAGAACGACCCGACGACGGGCGCCTGGACCAGCCTCGGATACCGAGTTGAGCAACTCGATAGAAGGCCAATCGAAGGCTGAAGGAAGGAAAGCAAGCCATGGGTCTTGTAGCCGTCAACATCTTGGCTGGAGGGAAGAGAGAGAGGGGGTGGCAGGGCTGGCCAAGTATCAGGGGAGGGGGGAGGGGGTGTGGGAAACGCACTGCCTGGTCGTCAATCATCAACAACGTCATTCCTTGGCTTGCCTCCAACGAGCTGCATCTTGGTGTGCACTACAAGTCGGAGCATTTTGCTCGACTTGTCGACTTGTGTGTGGCCCGAGTAGGCAGTGCCCATGTCCCCCCCCCCTCCCTCCAACAAGTCCAAGACGATGCTAGGCGAACAAGAGACAAGGAGAGCGGCCGCAGAATGGCCTGTGCTTGTCCAAGATTTGACTAAAGAAGAGAAGGAAAAGGGCAAGCGGGCGCACTAAAACAAGCCACCATCTCGACTTGTCAGTCAACCATGGCTTCTTTTAGCTGGGCCCTTTTTTTAAGTTGGTGCATCCAACGCCCGCAAGCCCCCGCCGCCGTCTTCCTCTCTCCAACCTTTTGTTAGCAGTACGGATAATTTGTACTCTGTAGAATACTTGAATATGTACCTACCTACCTAGGTAACTACCTAACGAACGTTTCCTCTCCAACTCTGCGTGTGGCAACCACCACGCTCCCCCCCAACCCCCAACCTACCGAGTTTTAGCGTCTCTTGCTTATTTTTAAGTTGTCGATATCCACTACCTTTTTTAGAACCAGCATCGCCCTCTGGGGCCGCCCCCCTCAAGTCTCTCTTTAAAAAAACCCGAAACATGCATCCGCGATTTGGGGGGGAGAGGGCAGAGGGGGCTCTTTTCGGGTTCGAACTGGAGAAGCAGGGCGGGCCTTGGCTTGTTTCTCGCCAAAAACTCACTTGGTCCCCTTCTGCGTTGCTTTTCCCGCTCCAGAGATAGCCCTTGGTGGGCCAACGACTAGTTAGTAGATTCTTTCCAAAAGGGTTTTCGACAGGGCTACGTAGGGAGTGGACTCGGCACCAGGGGGGAGGGGTGTGTCGCCGCCGGCTCGTGACTGGTTCGGTCTGTCTCAAGGACTAACTAGTGTAGGATCTGAATAGAAAGAGAACAATACCAAAACCCTGCGGGGTCGGCTCTGAAGTGGTTCTTCCCAAGGAAAAAAAAAAGCACTCGATGGCGCCAGCAGCGCAACTGCTAAAAATACGCCGCCCTGGCGCTGATGATGTCTTGACCAACGAACCAAAGGCAGCCGCCAAAAAAAAAAAAAAGAACCCTGGGTGAAGAAGAACCCTTTTTTGGTTTTTGCGTTTGCCTTTCCAGCCGCCCCCAAGAACAAGTGGCCACTGTTTCAGGACGGAAAACCTGGGCAGCTTGCATGCCCCCAAGGTTATTATTAAAATACTACTTACTAGTTACGGATTGCAGATGGACTGATGTGCTGATACGGATATTACCAAACGCACAAACTCGGTCCATCAGCCGCTGCCTCGGGTCCGCGCGTGGGGTCCCAAATGGCCCGCCTTCTCCCTCCAACAAGGGACAAGGGCAAAAAGGGCCAATGTTAGGGCGGAAAAGACGAGGCCCGGCCGGCATCTTGCCTCTTTGCTTCTATCAAAAAGTTATCCGAACCTGCCTGCATTTTGCATTTGAGTCGTCTCTCGTCCAAAGCAACCCAGTTGAGCAAAAGTGCCCGCCTCAAAACCCGTCCCGCGCCCCCCCCCTTTCCGTTTGCCCGCTTGGAAAAAGTCGGGAATGCGAGCATGACCACAGCTGCTGCCTGCTCCTTTTTTTTTTTTTTTTTTCCTGGCCTCAGGGTCCAGCTGGATGGATGCCTTTCGCGCGCCCGTCTGGTTGGGGCGAAGAATAAAGAAATGGGACGACCAGCAGGGCGGGGGGGAGGGGGGGCGTCTGGAGGAGGGCTCGAAGATCGGTACAGCCGCCAACGAGCGCACCTTGCTTTACCCAGTATAGTCCAAAATGTCAAATGGAACGGCGTAAACGGGCGCCGCTTGTCGTCCTCGTCTGACCCGCCCTTCAAGACAACAACAGACGCACACGCTCAACAACAGACAACACACGCCCCCCTGTTGACCCCAGTCCGAGTACGTGTACAGACCTGCCCGTAGCGCCGAGATTTTCTTCAGAGGGTCGATGGAGAGGCAGGACCGATGCCCCCCCCCTCCCCCCCCAATGTATGGCACAAATCGTGTCTCGTACGCGGCTGACAATCGGTGATGGATGGGAGGGAGCGCCCGGGATTTTCGCTTGCGCGGGGGGAAGGGCCGCCCGTTGAGCGGGATTACATTACGGGCGACTGTTTTTTAACCGACAACCTCAGGGCGACTACAACCAACCGACCGGCCACCCTCGGTGCAAAGGATAGATGCGTTTGCGTGCCACATGCGGGCGATGGGAACATTCATCATTTGGAATTCAAAAAAAAGAAATCTCAAAAATTCGTACATTTCGGCCGCGCGTAGCCAGCAAACGAACAACAAAACGGCTCGACGGCTGGCCTTTTCCGTGACATGTTCGTCCCAAAGAGACGTCGTCATGGGACGCAGTAGTCGGACGATGAAGCCAAACAATTCCAGACAGGTAGAGGAACTGCAACAAGGAAGACGTTGAGACTAAGACAGTCGGCTCTGCTGGCAGGTATGCCATCTCCCAGAAACCGTGATACAACCATCGTGAGCGAATAGCGGTACCCTCAGGAGGACAACGACGAGCACCACTCCAAGTTCTACAACAAGGAAGACGTTGAGACTGAGACAGTCGGCTCTGCTGGCAGGTATGCCATCTCCCAGAAACCGTGATACAACCCATCGTGAGCGAACAGCGGTGTCCCTCAGGAGGACAACGACGAGCATCACTCCAAGTTCTACAACAATTCCGTCTCCCGCCTGATCCTGCCCTGGTCCTTGTAATTCTAGTCTCTACTGAAACAATAAAAAAAAAGCAAAGTCTCGTGCCTCTGGCTTGACCGGTCGTTGAACGGACTGCACGCATCGTAATCCACCCTGTGTGCCTACACGGTCCAAAACCGGCCAAAGTGTGGTTCTACAAGAGACCGAATAGAAAACAGCTCTTCAGTGGCCTTGTCTCCATGCAGTCATCCTACATCTGTAAACAAAAACCTTGAAAAAAAAGAAAAAGATCATGAGAGCGCGTCACGGTTACGCCAACTTGCTAGCACCAACGCTGCAACTCGGCGTTTCTTCTTTTTTTGCCCCTGCCTTGCTGCAGAACCCACGCGCAGGCGAGTTGGGCCCGTTACACCCCAAATGCTCGGCCAGTTTCACTAGACGAAGGAAGCAGCACGGCAGTTTTTTGCAGTCGGCCCGTGTAAATGAAAAGTGGCTGTGGCAGGTGAGATATGGGGAGGGGAGGGGGGGGGTGTTGTCTGCGTAGGATGGAAGAAACGTTTCACGCAATGGACGGTGTAGAGAGTTGTGTGTATCACATCGGCAAGAAGCCAGAGCAGAGGAGATGGGGCAACGAACGAGAATGCAGTGTACGTTGTTGTTGTTTTTGCTGTCTTGGTGAACCGTGGCACGGAAGATTCGCCAGGGAAGGGCCCGACTGTCAGCGCGGACTCCTGGTCCAAAGAGCCGAGAATCAGTTCATCGTGTTCCGTCGAGACTGGTGGACAAGTTTTTGAGACGGCCATTCACAACCCGTGCGATGAAAGGAACTATAGCAACGAAAAAAAGAACCGAACCTTTGTACCATACAAGCAGGGGCGCGCTCGGCAGGCTCAGAACCGTCTCTTCTTCTTGGCCGGTCCGGCAGCGGCCTTTCGCTCCAGCTCCTTCTTGAGCTCCTCCCGCTTTCTGTCGGCGCGTTCCTGCGACGTCTCCCTCTGCCCTGCAGCCCCCGCCGACGCACTGCGCGAGGTGGTGGTGGCCGTGCGACCGCGCCGCGCATCACCAGCAGCACCCGTGGTCGCCGCCTCTCCCGCGCCGCCGCCGCCGCCGATCCGCTTCCCAATGACACCCAGCCTCTTCTTGGGGGCCGTCGACGACGAGCAGCCCGCCGCCGCCGCCTCACCACCCTTTAGCGCGGCAGATGCATGCGCAGCAGCAGCAGCAGCAGCGGCGGCGTCCTCCTCCTCGTCTGCATCATGCACCGCCGGTTTCGGCTTCCCGCCGATGCGTCCCAGACCGCTCTTTTTCGCGCGGGGCGGAGATGTGGCCGCAGGCGGCGATGACGCGGCGCCGTCGGGGAGAGAGGCCGTCTCGTCCGCGTCGCTGGCCGTTTCTGACGCCGTCTCCTGGTCGTCGACCGGAGCTGGCTTGCTGCGGGGGGGTGGTGGGCTGGGTGCCCTGGGCGGCGATGGAGGTGGTGCCTGTTTCTTGCCCCCGATGGCCCCTATGCGTCCGGCTTTCTTGGGCTCCTGAGAAGACGTGTGCTGCTCTTCTTTGATGGCCTTTGTAGAGGACTGTTGTCTCGAGGATGCAACCACCTCGTCAGCCGGCGGATCCTTCTTTGTTGGCTTGAGTCGTGGTGGTGTAGACTGAATCTGGAACTCGTCGTCACCGTTGTCGCCGTCGTCATCTGTATCATCTCCCATTGTCACGTCGTTGACGTCTGGGGGAGAGGACGGTATTGCTGTGTCCGGCGCTGCCATCTGGTCTTGGGTCGGGGGACCAGTGCGATGTGGTAGGCTTGATGTGCTACTGAAGCCACGCCACCAGCCATCGAGGCTGCCTGTTGTAAAGTTCCTTGACGTATCAGGTACTGCGGCCGTGCCACCAAATACTCTTTGTACCAGATCCATCACGTCGCTGGGCTGATCAGCATTGTTCTGGAGATCGTCATTCATCTTATGCTTGTTGAACGGGGCTAGACCCCTGATCTTGTCATCTGCCGCCTCTCGCGTCACCTTTTTGCGACCTGAAAGCGCAGTAAACACATGTTCCAGGCCCGTGCCTGTAGCTTCGAGCTTGTCGGAGAGCTTGGCAATGACGGCATCTTTGTGTTTCAAGGCCTGTACCAACAAGTCGACTTGGCGGCTCTTGGAGTATAGGGTCTCGACCAGCGGGATTGCGAATTCGTTTGCGACGGCGACGGATGATGATTTCTTGAGATGAAAGGGCCACTTCAGAGGCTCAAAGCCAGGGAGCGGACATGTGGCGAGTAACTGTAAGCCGTCTTCCCCTGCCTCTGTCAACGAGCCGGGAGAAAGCGTGACTGTAGCTTCGTCGTGACCAGGATTCGTCTCATTCAAGGCACTCTGTAGTGTCTGGAGGAACCTGCCCATGTTCTCTGGCGTGTCGCTTGGGTCGATGCTGGTGTTCTCACCCCATGCTCTTATGCAGATGGCTTTCCTCTCCATTGACTCGGTCCATACATGAGCCATGTCGGTCACTTGAATACAATATTCAGACGCCTTTGTCTCAAAAGTGACCAGCAAGGGGGGTAATCCGCCGTCCTCTGGAAGCCTCAGGGGCCTCCAGGCCTTTGCACCCGCCATACTGGACTGCCGCCGCGGCTAACGAATTTAGGAGGTCCCCAAAGCCTAACTGGAGGCAAAATGAATAGGCACAATCCCTGGATTATGGTCAGGTAAGTATCCGCCGCGGCCTCGTTGCAATTGTGTAGTTGTTGGGAAGCAATGGGCGGCCGATTGGACAGCGGTCAGCGCGTTTGAGCGGCTTCTGTGGAAAATGGAAATAAAGCAGGTGAAGCGTGGGTGGTGAGAAGCGATCTGAGAAATACAGAGGCGTCTACAGGTGCTTTTCAAAATCGGGCTGATGATGGATCCTGCCTTTTGTGCCTTGCTGCCGTCGACTAAGAATGTTTATGGAAAAAACTGGTGTTGATGAGAAGCGGGCATCTCAGCGCCATGAAAGCCTTGGCAGAGATTGACAGGGCTCCAGGGATCCTTCAGTGGCGGGCTAGGTGCGTGGGGGCACGCGCTGCAGATGGCTGTACAGTGAGCCTGAAAAGATGAAGTATACTTATACTATTCGACAGAATAAATTGTATAGGAACGATGCAGTCAATGAATCAACACGTCTCTCCCAAATCCAGTATTTTGGTTACTCAAGACCCCGTTCCGTCCTTGTCACACCCAGCCCGGCGGCTGCTAGTCCAGGAGCGCGTAGAAGAAGACGGCAATCTCGCCGCGGCTCTCGGACATCGCGCTGTAGAGATGCTCGTCATAGCCCCCAAAGACCATGCCGGCTTTTTTGTAGAAGCGGCAAGCGGCCACATTGTTCGACTGGCCCTCGATCCGAACCGCGCCGAGACCAATCTCACGCGTCCAAGCCTTGACTGCGTCGAGCAGCCGCAGCGCATTGCCGCCGCCTCGCACGCTGGCATCGAGTCCGATAAAATCCAGCACGACCATCCTGTTCCAGTTTTTGGACGCGACGGCGTATCCGTACACCCGGCCGTCCTCGGCCCTGAGGACAAAAATAGCCTTGTTCAGGCCATCGCTGCCCTGGACTTGCTCCTCGTCGAAGCCAAAGTCCTTGACTCTCTCGGGTATTGGCCGTGTTTGAAAGGGCAAGTCATTTTCCAGTTGGCTGATGGGCTTGGCAACTTCAGCCCGAATCGTGAAGCTAAAGTCCAACCCTGCGATATCTTTTTGTGTTAGCTGGTTGACTCTTTCAAGCTTCAACCCGCTCATGGTGGTGACACTGTCGAGAATGGAGTAGTCTGACGGGGGCTCGGTGTTGGAGAGCTACCAGGTACTCATATTATTGTTGATGCTGATTGAAAGGCAACCGTGGCGATCCCGCGCTTCTCATTAAATGGCAGAAACAAGACTCGCCGTGAGTCCACGAGTTGTGCTAGTTAACTTATTGCTTCCAGCATGTTCGAATCCCTGAGCGTACCTACGTTTCGGCGAGCCCAATTTGGAATGGCCACTACCTTACTCACAAACTGAGCAGACAAGCAACCCCCATCCATCTTTTCCGCATAGCTTCGACCGAGTTCTGTCAATTCTGGCTCTGAATTTTTATCCCATCATTGACTACGACAGTGCCGTCGCCTGGTGCCTACAGGCTGTACTGGGGGCCCGGCCAAGTTGACTATGATAACAGCAATTTTGACCCGACAAACTCTTGCAGCCGGATATGGAGCTCAACGATACAACAAAGTCGAATAAATCAACTTTTTCGCCATATCATTATCTTGGAACTGACTGCACTTGTTTTTTTGGTCGAAAAGCAGGTTGACGAGCGCTGGTGTCGATTTAAAATAGGCTTTCTGCTGCGATGGGCTAATAGTACAAAATTAGCCCTGGTCGGGTAACAACGGCCCCCTTGGCCTAATGGCTAAGGCGCAAGAGTGCGTACCCGCTTAGATCTTGTCGTTGTATCTCCAGCAAGCTAACCTAGCATAGCTTCTATTCTCGAAATCTTGAGATTGCCGGTTCGAGTCCGGCAGGGGGTGTCTACCTTCCTTATTTTTTGGGTCAAGTTTTGACTCGGTTCTTTTCAAATCTTTTATCTTTTTAATATCCTCTTGCCCGAACTTTTCTTTCCATGTACAAGGCCTGGCCTTCCTTGGTTAAGTACTCAGTAATTGGAATGTCATTTTTAGTTCAAGTCTGTTAGCTTCTGACAGCCCTGGAGATCGCTCCCGATCTGCAATGCTGTGATGACGCATAGGAAATCGAGGGCCCTTGGCATCCCAATCAGTCAACGCTCAAAGGGGTGAAGACGATTGCCCTGTTCCGATTTCCCTGCAGCAGCTCCTTGTTTGACATCATAGACACGCTCCCGTGTTTCTTCTTCTTCTCGGCGAATTGGTTCGCATTTGTGGCTGCCCCATCTCACCTCCCGTTTACTTTTACTTATATGCCTGTCTGCTTCCGCGTGCAACTGACCCGACGCGCCTGTTTCGCATCTCAAATTGTCGGTGTCTTTTCAACGCCTTTGCGATTACAGGCATTGACTACTAGAAATTTCAATACAATGGTACCAAGCGCAACCAAGCGCAAGGCTGGCGCTGCGCCTGCAGCCAAAGCAAACGGGAGCAAAAAAACCAAGACGATAACTTACGATGCCGAGCTTCGCGAACCTCACCATGCTGCTGAAGTTGCTGAAAAACAAGGCATCGTTCTCCGCGATTACTACCCACCAGAGATGAGCAACACAAGAGCGCGCGCATACGCCGAGGAGGCCCTCCGCCGCCCGATGGAGAACCTGGTCAAAGCCCAGGGCGAGACAGCGGAGGCTATGAAAAAGGCTACCAAAGGTGAAGCCATTGCTCACTGGTTCAAGACTGATTTGCGCTGCACCGACAATACCTCACTTGCCCTGGCAGCCCAAAAGGCAAAAGAGATGGACGTGCCGCTTGTCTGCTTCTACTTGGTCAGCCCCCAGGACTTCAAGGCTCATCTCAGATCGCCGGTACGAATCGACTTTATTCTCCGCACTCTGCAGGTGTTGAGAGATGACTTGGCCAAGCTGGATATTCCGCTGTATGTTGAGACCGTGGAAGAGCGCGCCGAGATACCTGGTCGCGTGCTTGAGCTGCTTGATTCGTGGGGCTGCAATCATCTGTGCGCAAACCTGGAGTATGAAGTTGATGAGCTCCGTCGCGAGACCAAGCTATTGAGGCTACTTGCTGAAAAGGGCAAGTCGTTCGAAGCCGTCCATGATACTTGCGTGGTTCCGCCTGGTCAGCTTCGCAGCGGTACAGGCAACCAGTACGCTGTGTATACACCGTGGTATCGCACCTGGATGGCTCACATTCACTCCAACCTCGATTTGCTAGAGCTGCATGACTCCCCGCCAAAGAATCCTGCATCGGCGCGAAAAAAGTTTCAGAAACTATTCAACTGCGAGATTCCGGCTGCGGCCAAGGGAAAGGAGCTTTCGGCAGAAGAGAAAAAGCGCTTTCACGCTCTCTGGCCCTGCGGTGAGCATGAAGCCAAGGCTCGCCTAGACAAGTTTTGTGAGGAGCGCATAGGCGAATATAGCGAGAAGCGAAATGTGCCGAGCGACAATGGCACCTCAAGTCTCTCCGTGCACCTAGCGAGCGGCACAATCAGTGCCCGGACTTGTGTGCGCACCGCCAGAGACAGAAATAAGTCAAAGAAGCTTGATGGCGGCCTCGACGGGATCAAAGTCTGGATCAGCGAAGTGGCATGGAGGGACTTTTATCGCCATGTATTGGTCAGATGGCCGCATGTTTGGTGAGTACGCAATCATAAAATGTGAGGTATTTTCGCTAACGAGTTCTCTACAGCATGAACAAGCCATATAAGCCAGACTATGCGGATATCGAATGGTCATATGATACCGAGCACTTCAAGGCCTGGTGCGAGGGCAAGACTGGGTTCCCCATCGTGGATGCTGCGATGCGACAGCTGAATCACACGGGCTACATGCACAATCGCACCCGCATGGTGGTGGCATCCTTCCTCGCCAAGGACCTTCTCATTGATTGGCGCATGGGCGAAAAGTACTTCATGGAGCACCTGGTAGATGGCGACTTCGCGAGCAACAACGGCGGCTGGGGCTTCAGCGCAAGTGTCGGCGTCGATCCGCAGCCGTACTTTCGCATATTCAACCCTCTTCGGCAGAGCGAGCGATTCGATGCCGACGGCGAATATATCCGTCACTGGGTGCCAGAGTTGAAAGACCTCGACAACAAACAAATTCACGATCCGTACGGCCGCGGCGCGGGGGACAAGGCGAAAAAGGCAGGATATCCGAAACCGATTGTCGAACACAGTGAATGCAGGGCGCGGGCACTGGCTGCGTACAAGGCGGCAGTGGCATAGAATCGCGATGGTGCTGGGGTTCGCATCTGTTGTATAATATAATTATAAAATGGAGTGTTCTAAAAGGAGTTAATCATGCACTGAAACAAGTTGCATTCTCGCATGTCCGACCCGTATCTGTACCATGACAAGCAGTCTCGACTGCCACGGCTTTTATGAAGGCCAATAATGATCTGCGGCTTGGAGACTATCAGAGTAGTCCCAGAATTCTCAGCAACTGCAAGGCGGCATCACAAGGAGCCCTGCGAGCCAGCCGGTGCGAGAAGACTTTTCTAGCCGGGAGCACAGCACCAGTCACGCAATCACTTCCCAGGCTCGCATGTTTGTGGACAAGTTCGTAATGTTTTTGTGTGTCTTCGAAATCGAGCCGAGACGCCTCGAATTGGATTGTGCTAAATGCAGGCCAACTCTAGTTTCAACAAATGCATCCTTTCCCGAAACCGAACCCAAACTGTTCGGATCGTTAGCATTGCTTGTGCGGCATGCTGGTCCCAGTTCCGTCACCCGGGTATTATGCACCTATCACTCTATTTTTTGTTTCTTCATTCGTTTCCGTCATATAAACAACCCCGTTTATCGCTGAGCGCTCCAGACGTTCTTCACAATTCCGTCACGCTGGGTGAGACGGTTCATGGCGTCGTCGGACTCGCCCATGGCGCGGACGAAGCCGCAGAGGGCATAGACGTGGTTCTCGCCGGGGATGGCGCGGCCGTTCTCGTCAACCTTGGCAATGGAGATCTGGACAGAGCCGTGATCCTTGGCCTTGATGATGCGGTTGGTAGCGCTGCACTTGCGGGGGACGTAGCTGTAGATTGGGGGTCGCAACATTAGTACAACGGGTATAATCTTTCGCCAAATCGTGTTCTGCAGTCGAATTGCTATTGCTTCGGGGGTTTCGGTGTTGTCTTACAGATCGACGATCTCGCCACGGTCGTTCTCCATCTTGACGGTGTTGTGAGGGTGTTTTCGGGGGTGTGAAGGTAAGTCGTGATGCACTGATGGGACAGCCTCACAAATCCGGATCTCGAAATTTGCCCTAGCGAATAATTTCGTGGGGCGGGGAGGGCTTTGTGTGCGTCACATGACCTATCATGTGACTACGTGGCGGTCTCGCGACCATGTTGAGCCAATCAAAGCGCGCAATCGCGCGCCGACACCAAATCGGAGGCCTGGCAGCTGGGTACCCACTTTCGTTGATCTGAAGGTTTCAAAGAACCTGCGACGAGCAACACGCGACGCAATTGCCTCCGCCTCAAGTGCACATTCGGAGGTGCTGCTGGAGGAAACAAAGGCAGAAACGATTCTGCTGCGTCTTACGGGTTCGAGATGCGCTCTGCGCACTCGACCGCATGTGTCCGGCGCAATGGCTTCTCCTGAGATGTTCCTGTCGTCACCATCACGTCCAAAGCGCCGAATCGCAACTTCTCCACTCGTCATATCCTCCTCCCCAGATCTTCCCTCGCTTCAGGAGTTAGGGTCGCGACCGCCAAACCCCCCATTATTCAAGTCGACTATCCAGACAGCACCAAAGAACGAGCGCTCAAGAGTCGGTTTCACTTCAGCGCCAGATCCCGGGCCGCAGACGGTGAACCGGTCACCAAGCCCTCACAATCCTGTTCATGAATCGCACTATCGATCGCCTACAAAACCACGGCCACAACCATCCCTCGCGAACAATGATATGGCTCCGCGGCGTGCTAAGGAGGGTGCGGCTTGTCGACCCCTGCTGCTTTCATCGTCTCCTACAATTATACCCGAGGCAGCTGTAACTGAGAGCAGATATTTCAAGAAACCAGCCATCGATCCTCCTGAAGCCAAAGTATCTACTACAGCTATACAGTCTGTACCTCATGATGCATCTCTGAATCTAGAGCTTGCCCCCGCGAGACGCCTAGATTGGACCCCGCCGAAACAGAAACCGCCGAAGTCTATTGAGCCAGACAGTAGCGATCCGGGGACAAACCAACCAGATTATGAGGAGACTGGGGAGGATGGGGCACTTTCTAGGGTTCTCGAATCTTTCAAATGCGATGAGGTATCGACCGCGAGTACAGCTACGCGATCCGACGAAGACGGTAGCATTTTCCGGAAACGCAAGTTGATCGACGCAATGTCAATGAGATCTGAACAAAGGCCTCCAGTAGCTCTCGAGCCTTCTAACGTGAAGAAAAAGGCGGCACCGAAAAAGAAGCCACGGACTATCACAGGACTAGCTACAGCCGCATATAAGCTTGCTAGTCAGTCTGAGCCCATTGTTGGCGAGGAGAAACGGACCAGGAAATCAACAGCAGAGAATTCAGCTGCTGCTACAAATATGCCGACAGATGCGCCGACGAAGAAAACGAGGAAGCGTACTTCCAAAGCCCCAAGAAAGACGAAGAAGAAGGAATCGCCGCCCAAGCCAATACTGTTGTCACCAAGCGCCGCACTTCGTCAAGTTGCAAATCAAGACTTCCTTTTTGGAACATCAAGTCAACTAGCCCTAGAGCAGTCGCCAGGATTCTTACGAGATCTGGCTACGGCAATAAAAGCTTCCAATGAATTTGAGTACATCTCACTTTCAACGCCGATTAACAGCGATGCTGTGGAGCCCCCAGAGCCAAAGCGCTCGCTTTGGAACGCGGCGGCTCGCGACGAAGATGGGGATCTCTTTGATTTAGGGATTCAAGAACTAGTTCAGAAGTCACAAGATTTACCCGTCCCTGGGGCACAGGCTGATCCGTTTGGCTACGTCAAAGGAGCCAGCTCTAGCGGAGATGATTCATTTCTTACTCTTTCTGACGCATTGCGCCCTCAAGGGTCACCTCGCGTGGGAGATGTTGATGCAAAGCGGCCTAACCCCGTGCCTTTGTCGCAAGACGCAGGATTAATGCCTCCCGCTCCAAAACCACTGGATTTACCACCTCGCCCGGATTTTGCGCTCTATACTGATTCACAACTGGCCAGCGAGGTCTCATCGTATGGCTTCAAGAACGTACGCCAAAGAGGGGCACGAATCGCACTTCTAGACAAATGTTGGCAGGGCAAGAATCAAATTGTCGCCAATCCAGGGACAAGATCTGCCTCGACGCTCACTGGTGCAAGCGGCCGCTCACCCATCAAGTCAGGACGAGCAACATCGTTGGTCAAAACACCTGCTCGCCCAGAATCATCGCTGGCCAGCGAATCACAGCCGCAAGAGCCACCGCCATCAGCCCAGCAGCCAATGAGCCCGCCAAAACGGCCCCGCGGCAGACCGCGAAAGGCGGCAATACCAACGCCATCCTTGTCGGAATCTGTTTCACTTTGCGCTGCAGCTGTGCTGCAATCGGGCTCTACATCACTGGCCCCTAGCACTCCAAAGCGAAGCAAGGCCAAGAAGTTTGTCGTCGAAATACCAGACTCTGGATCAGAAGCTGATGAGCTTGATGCCCTGTCTGCTTCTCCGTCATCGGTGCCGGATGAGACCTTTTCTCCTTCGCAGGGCGTTGACCTATCTCTGTCCATGGAAGAAGACACAGAACTGTCCATGGTAGATTCAACTTGTGACAAGCCAGCCTCTTTTGAGTATATTGGCAAGGCGGTTACTAGCGCACCAAGATGCAAAGATGTCAATAATCCATCTTGGCATGAGAAGATACTCATGTACGATCCAATCATCCTTGAAGATCTTACTGCATGGTTGAACTGCGGACCGCTTACCAAGGTTGGTTATGATGATGAGGTCAGCTCAGGGGAGGTGAAGAAGTGGTGCGAGTCGAAAAGCATATGTTGCCTCTGGAAGGTCAATCTCCGAGGAAAGGAAAGGAAGCGATATTGACGAAGTCTCAACTCCGTGTTTGTTTGTTATAAGTGTTTCATTGCATTTAGCGTGGCGTTGGTCTAGGTTTAAAATATTCCCACCGTACATGGCCATTGGAAACAGAGCCGTTATTTTTTCCCTAACCTATTGAGTAGATTTATTGTATCGAATGCAAACTCGACCGGTTACAACATTGTAAAAGAAAGCAGCTTAATTATGTTGAACTGTTCACAGCAACAACAGTTGGCGGCGACGGAGCCAATAGAAGCTGTTGTGGGGCCGCTGGCTCATCTGAAATGTCCGGCACAAGACCGGCGGCGTACCTCGGTTCCCCGCCAGCAAGCGTCGAGCATACATCGGAGCACGCCCTAGGACGGTTATGCTGCTAGTATAGCCGGTCCAGCGATACCTCCTCTTTCATGAATTCACATCTATGCATCGTCGCAAGACGAATATCGCGAACCAGCAATCCCCGAGTTGCCGCTACAAGACTTGTCACCACAGCCACCTCAAGCTCCAACGTGTCCGTCCCGGTCGTCCCCGTTCACGCGTGCCCGGACACGCCCCGCGCTCGCCAGCAACGGCGGCCATTCTCCAGCACCGACACTCCTCGCAACGCCGCAGCGGCACCCCTATCTCCCAAACCGCCTTGCAAGATGACCAAGGACGGCAGCGACGAGCTCCCGTTGCCGCGGCCGAGCGCCTCGGTCGTGCTGCTGTCGCCCTCCAACGAGATCCTGCTGCTGCACCGCGTCAAGACGTCGTCGTCGTTTGCGTCGGCGCACGTGTTCCCTGGCGGCAACGTCGACCCGTACCATGACGGCGAGGTGCCGCCCGAGGGCCACCCGGACAAGCACCGCGACGGGCCGGCGTACCGCTTGTGCGCCGTCCGTGAGACGTTTGAGGAATCGGGCATCCTGCTGGCCAAGAAGGACGGCCAGCTGGTGCAGATGCCGGAAAAGGAGCGCGAGGAGGCGCGCAAGCTGATTCACGCGCGCAAAATCAAGTTTGGCGACTGGCTCCAGTCCATTGGTGCCACCGCAGACACAGGTACGTGGACCTAGAATTTTGCGAGGAGACGGGGTCGTCCGAGTCCACGATGCTGACAACTGTGCCGTCGCGTATAGAGTCCCTCATCCCCTACACGCGCTGGCTGACGCCGGTGACGGTGCCGAAGCGCTTCACGACGCAAATGTACCTCTACCTGCTGCCGCTGACGCGGCACGACGTGGCGACCAAGACGGTGATCCCGACGGCGGACGGGGGCGTCGAGCACACGGCGGCGCTGTTCGCGTCGCCGCAGGCGTGGCTCAAGCAGGCGGACCAGGGCGCCATCATCCTGTTCCCGCCGCAGTACTTCATTCTCGACACGGTGGGGCGGCACGTGGGCGGCGGCCGGCCGGGCTCGCTCGAGGAGGAGTCGCGGCGGTTCATGCAGCAGCGGCGGAAGCTGCTCCGGTTCGTCAGGGAGGTGCCGACGGCGACGACGGCGCTCGGCCGCGCGCACCCGTCGGCGGCGGTGGCCTGGGCTGACAAGGTCATCAGCCCGGTGCCGCTGTACATGCGCCCGGGCGACGGCCGCGCCGTGCTGTCGCTCAGCTACCCCGGGCCGGAGCTTGAGGGCTCGGACCGCGTCGGCGACTTTGAGCGCGTCGTGCTGACTAGGTTCGGCAAGAAGGGGCCGACGGGCGTCGAGGTCCGCCTGCGCGAGGAGGTGCTCGACGAGGATGCGCAGCCCAAGGAGGGCCGGCTGGAGAAGCTGTGAGGGAGTGCGGGTTTGTTCTTGGAGGAGAAGGTTTTAATTTAGGAACCTTTTTGTATGTAGATATCGGAAGACGTATACATAGAGGCTCGAATATATGTACAGTACGAATTAGGCTGGTGGAGAATGCTCATCTGTGGTTCTGATTCTTTGGCAATGCCATGTCGTCAAATTTAAGGATAAAACATGTTTGAGGTTGGTTCTCCGCAGGGTGTGACTGGGGGAGAGGTCAATTGACACAAGTTGCAAGAGATCTGCTTCTGGGTGGTGCTTCCGGGTAGCTGGTAGTGTATGTAGGTGGATGAGGAAGTTTTACATCGCATTGTGGCTATATGATAATGTCTAGCAGACTACATATTTTATCGAGAGATGACACTCTACGGTGCTTCTTTGTTTGTTCATGGAAACTGGATTTTGGTGGATGCACATGATAGTTCTGGTACAGCTCAAGCATCCTGCGTACCTTCAACAACGTCATTGTGCGCCGGCGCCTGGTTCCGCACTCCAGACGGGTACAAGGAAGAAAAAAGCCAAAGCACGTCGAATCCACCAAACATGCACAATATTGAAGCTAAAAATCCAATAGAGACTGATTTCAGCATCCACACCAAGCAGCTGTAAAAAAAGAAGCTTGAATACAGCTTTGCGTGCATTTGAGCAAGTTTCCCACAGCCAGCCCCCGCGCCCCACGGTCAAGCCCGCGTCTAGACTCACACGGATAGGATCCTTGTCCACTTGTCACTTTTCAGCCCTGCGCAGGTAAGCATAAAAAACGGACGGGCATGAATGAACGAGTTGAGGGAAACAAGAAACCAACAAAGCAAGCGAGCCAAGACGAGAAAATGGAGACTAAAAAAAAACGTGCGAATGTTTTGGCTCCCCCGTGTTTCTACCGGTGTTGTGCAGCCTGTAGGAGCCCGGCATGGAGCCGGCCCCACCACCTCCGGAAAGCAAGTTTCAAGCATACAGATTAGTACAGTGGCTGCATTGAGCAAGCCTAGATAAATGCGATGAAAAACTCCCTCACTCATCACAATAATCCTTTTGTGGCGGCCCTGTAATTTGTACATGGAAGGTTGCTACGCAGACAGTACCATCAGTTATTAAAACACACTTTCGGAGCTGGTGGCTCCCCTTTCCCCCCCGGGCTAGTGGACGCCGCGGCGCACATACCCCCCCCCCGGGGCACCGCTTGCACAGAGCGGCAGCGGCGCCATGTGCGGTGATGATGCGGGAACCTCTTTCGACAAAACGAAAGGTGACACGATGTTGAGCTGAGGACCCAGACGGGGAATTGGTGCGCTAGTTTTTTTTCTTCTTCAACCGGCTATATAGATCCTCTCCCGCCCACAGCTCTCCCACGCCTTGTCCAAACCCTTTGACAAGTCCACTCTTCCCATTGAACAAAACAATCCCACCAAACCTCTCAACATGTTGACCCAGATCGCCCTCCTCCTGGCCGCCTCCCAGGCCGCCACGGCGCATTTCGGCCTGACGCAGCCTCAATGGCGCGCCAACTCTCTCGCGGCCGAGAACGCGGCCAAGTACAGCCAGTGGACGTATCCATGTAAGTCCGGCGCAGGCACATCCCTTTTTGTTTTTTTCCCAAATCCCCCGTCATCCAAAACCAACAAAAACTGACCCAACCCGTCACACAAGGCGCCGGCGTCCCGTACGGCGCGGGCAACACCACCGACTGGCCGCTTGACGGCGGCGCGCTCGAGCTGGAGCTGCACCACGCGTGGACGTACGTCTTCGTCAACCTCGGGCTCGGCGGCAACACGACCAACTTCAACGTGACGCTGACGCCGGACCTGTGGAACTCGACCGGCAAGGGCACCCTCTGCGTCGACCACCTCGTCGTGCCCGCCGGCATCGCCGACGGCACCCACGCCACCGTCCAGGTCGTCACCTCGGGCGCCAGCGGCTCCGCCCTCTACAACTGCGCCGACATCCGCTTCTCCAAGGACGCCAAGCGCCCCGACAACGGCACCTGCACGAGCAAGGGCGTCACCCTGACCGAGGTCAAGCCCCAGAGCGCCAACGCGACGACGAGCGCCGGCGCCACGCCCTCCGCGACCGCCACCGGCAAGTCGGCCGCGCGCCCGGCCGCGGCGGTCCACGGCGGCGTGCTGGCGACTGTGGTGGGTGCGGCCGCGCTCTTTGCGCTGGGCTCGAGCCTGTAAATGTCAAACGGGAGACAGGGATGGATTTAATGTACATGAGTAGCCAAGATGCGATTTTGTAAATGAGAAGAGATATATTTTTCAAACCCAACTCTAATCTCCACGGGTGGATTATGAAACCAGTTACGTGTATAAATTTGACAGTACGCCATCCAAATACGCCAGCGAGCCACTGCGCCTTGTAGAACATATGTACAGGGACCTCTACAGGTAGAAACACAACGAGGGGTATCGACAATATAGTATTAACAGGAGCATGGAACAGTATGTACTGCGTAGCGGTTAGTCAAAGGTTAGTCAAGAATTTGTCATTCGTCCAAAGACATACCTCGTCGTCCATGCCAAACGTGCAACGTAGATCATGCAATCATGCAAAATGCTCTTTGCCCGACAATGTAAAAAAAGAAAAAGAAAAAAAGAGTAACCATGTAACAGAAAGACCCATGCAAACATGTGAACACGTAAACCAACAAATGTCAAACATGTAGTAGGAAATGCAACAAAACGTCGTTAAGCAAAGGCAGCGATGGGCTCCGTGGTGAGTTGCTCAAAGACCGAAGCCATGGTGATGCGCTGAGCAGGGTTTGGTGTGAGCATCTCCTTGACGATGCGCTCCAGGCGGTCCTCCTTGTTGAGCACTTGCGCCGCATCGTGAACCTCAGTCAGCCAGGTGCGCATCTGCAGGATAGCGGGTTGGCCGTTGCCGTACTTTTGCACTATCTGTGGGTTATTGACACCAGCAATCAGCCAGTAGAGCTGATTGTTGCCGCTCTGTGGCCTGGCGCGGCTCTCGGGCAGGGGTAACTTGCCCAACAGGTATAGCATGGTGACGCCCATGGCCCAAACGTCGGCGGCCGGCCCGCGAAGCTTCCGCCCGATGAACTCGGGAGGAATGTAGTACGGCGTGCCACCACCGCCGGGTGGGCTCGAGCTCACGGTGGACATGCCAAAGTCGCACAGGACGGCACCACGGTCCAGGGCGTATAGGATGTTGGCGGGCTTGATGTCGTTGTGGACAAGTTGGCGACTGTGGATGTAGCTCAGAGCGCCCGAAATGTCTCGCAAGATGCGGGCGGCGTCTTCTCGTGATCCGATAAAGTGGTCATCTTGCCTGCTTCTCCAGCGGTTTTGAACCGTCAGATCCTTGGCGTCGACGTGCTCCATGTACAGGGAGAGAAAGCGGGCGTCGCCACCGTAGTAGCGCACGATGGAATGGTGCTCTAGATTTTCTTGCGTTTGGTACTCGCGTTGCCACATGTCGGCTTGCCGAATGACGTTGCGCTCATGTACGTTGGACTTGTCCGAATTGTTCATGACCGTCTTGAGTACCTTGACGGTAACGATGCTGTTGGGACGTTTGGAATGGCGGCCTACAAAGACGGCGGACTGGGCGGTGGAGGCAATGGGTTCCTGCTTGATGAGCTGGTACTCATCGAGCTCACATATGCCTGTCATGTAGATTGTGTCACCTTGCTCGGCCTGAAGCAGGGCATTTGTGTTGCTTGATGACAGTTCCTTGCCCGACCTCTTGGTACCGTTCGGTAGCGAAAAGACGAGGGGATCTGCCGACGGGTTCAGAAACATGACCACGCCGTCTGCGGGGCGACCGTCGATTTGAGATGCCCGACGCTTGGCACGCTTGTCACCCTCATCATCCTCATCAGGAGTGAGGGCTCTCTTGCCGCTAGTGGAGACTAGCGCCGAGCTGCCGCGGGAGGAGGTGCTCTGGCTATGACTCAGAGATCGTTGCTCATAGACAGAGATGGGGCGCTTCTCTAGAATTCTAAAATCCAAAACGGCCGTGTCGTGAACCCTGATGCGCCAGGTACCAGGTGCCAACGACTTGGTGACGTGAGGGTAGACCATGCGATAGTCGTTCAAGGAGGGGCTGGCGGGTGCTGCCTGGGAGAGGCGGACGAGGGCGAGGGGGACCTCGGAGCGGTTGACAAAGATGAGCTTGTCGCTAGCGGGATCAAAGTAGAGCTCGCACCAGAGGGAGGGACGGGCGAGGCCGTCATCGTCGGCAAGGTCGCCGGGGATGCGGACGGAGAACTTGATGTCGCGGGCGGTCTGGGTGACGGCCAGGACTTTGTGGGAAGGCTCTTCGGCGGAGGCGACCTCGGCGCGGAGAGCGAGCCAGCGACAGTTGTCGCTCGAGGGGGTGACGGGAATGGTGCTGGGCAGTTCGGCAAGGGGACGGACGAGGAGGCGGATGTCTTGGGGGTGGTGATGGTCCTCGAGCAAGAGAACGTCGAGCGGGACGTGCTCGTCGGGGCCCGGGCTGGGGGTACCGACGTCGACGGCTCGGACGCGGGCGCGGGCGTCGAGCTCAGACTGGGAAAACGGTTCGGTCCTTTCCTCCGTCGCCTCTTCCCGAGGCGCGGTTCTAGGATCTGCCATTGTGATGGTTCTGAATATTTTCTGAAGCGAGAGTGATGCCTGACGCAGGTGCATAGTGTGGCGCCTCAGGATGGTAGACGTGGTGGTGGTGGCAGCTCAGCAGCTCAGCCCTGCCGGTAGGGTAGGCCTGTACCTCAGGCCTACTCGAGTCTCGTAAGCAGGTTGCGAGGTGGGAATTGGGAGGACCAGGCTATTACTGGTAGGTAAACTGGTAGGTAATAGACTTTGAGCAGAAGTGATGGGAAGAGGGGACGGGAGCGGGCCAGGCTGTGGCTGATCCAGGTGAGGGGCTGTACTAGCCAAACCTATCGCCTATCCGCCTGTTGGAAGATGGTGGTGATGACGATGGTGTGGTTGTCCGTTGGTTGATGTGTTGGCAGCATACAACTCGTAGGAAAATGTCCAAAAGAAGAATTCAAAGGAGAAAAAGCGAGGCAAAGTCCAACGGCCAAGGGGACAATAAATGCAGGAACAGCTCAGTGGTCACGACGAGGACGCCAACGTCAGATGGGCAACGAGAGACGGGCGGCTGGTGGCCTGCTGATGCACCCTCAGCCTCACGCTGGACCGAGTTTGCAAGTCACTAGCAACGGGTCAGTGCCAGGCCAGCGACCAGACAAATGCAGTTTCAATGTGTGCGTGCAAAGTTGCAGAGGTAAAGAGACGGGCGGCCTGGGGATCTGACGGGTTAGCCAGCTGCTCCCACCGGGTGGGAGTCATCACAACGGGCTGACAATTAGTTACCTGTGGCTGAGGTTGAGCGGCTGAAGTGATGGCTGTTGTAACAGGCATTCTATTGGTGCATACAGAGAGAACCCTGATTAGATCAGCGGCAACCCTTTTTAGCGACGGTACAGCCCGTGGGAGATGTAATAGCATGTAGGAGAACAAAACACCGTTGTGTGGTTCAGAACTCAATCTTTATCCGTATCTAGGTAGAAAATCTTCATCGTTCATTTTATGCTCTCACTTGAGCATTTTCAACACCACGTAATGACCTCTCATGGAACACGTTAGAACCCTTTTTAGCATCTATACAAGGGACCAGCCCTCACAATTGTGCAAAGAAAATCTTGGTACCGTGTCAATTCCGTTACGACACTGTAGTCAAAACGTTCCTTTCCATTCCTTTCCACCTCGGCCACCTGCCCATCCGCCCTCCAAAATTCACAGTCAGCCTTGTTCACCCGGTTCTTTCATATGTAGACACTGTGCATCTCACTGTGCCAGCCAATGCCCTCGTCTGTCTGCCTGCGAGGCATCCAGTGTGGCGTTGCATCTCACCCATTTCCCATCCCGCCTGTTCATCTTTTCCTTCCTCACTCCCCAAACCCCGTGGTATGTATCAGCGTTGCATTGCGAATCCGACATGAGTTGCATAACACCATGGCATTGAAATCTTGTCGTCATTGCACTTGCAGCTGATAGTGCCATGACGGATCGCGAGCCGACGAACGGTCGAGTGACTGAGCCTTGCGCGCCACTCACGTGGTTGCACGCGAACCGCCGACCTACTCGACCTTTTTTGTCGTGTCTTTTCCACAACGCTCAGATACGACCTTGATACTGTCAAATCTGCGTTTGTGCAACGGTCCGTGACGTGCCACGACAGACTCGAGAATCTAGTGTAGATCCTTTATTCCAGTTGACTAGCTTTTGGTCGCGCTGTCGGCGCAAAACACTCGTTCCCCTGACAGACGTTGCAGGAGCAACCGCTGCCTGCTCTGGTCTTGTCCCGTGACGCGACACTACGATTACGAGGAGCACTGTCGTCGCCTTGAAGCGCCGTCTGAACGCAATAACTTGCGGATGTCAAAACACCATCCTTGGTCCAAGACCGCGTTCTACGACGACACAGTCAACAGGCTGCCCTCAAATCAGGCTTGACCCCTCATTCTGTTCAGTAACTACCGCACGTGCTCGAGAGTTGCGCCACAATCTCATCAGCCACAAAGCAGCACCAGCCACAGCCACTTCTCGAAAAAATCAGAATATGCAGGCCGCCACCAGCTGCAAGCCGCCATGCAGGCCGCCACCACAACGCCTCCTTGCCTCTCGTTGGTCATGGTCTAGCCTGACATCCACCCGCATCAAAAGCTGAGCGCGCTAGGGCCTTGGGCATGCAATGTCCCGCGCCTTATCAAGCTAGCGCTCTGCAGTGCTCCAGCGCTAATGCAAACGGGCCCTTGCAGTGGGGTTTTCCGTGCCACTTGTCAGACACCAGTACCCAATCAAAGCATTCACCGCTGTTTGCCTCAGGCAGCCACGCGCTCGTCGCCCTGCCGTCCATCAACCGCCCTTTCAGAGGGTAGTCGACGCGCCCCCCACAACCTTGGGCTTTGTCGTTGTCAATGAATCCTGAGTCTGTCAACCCATGAGAACTGCCTACTGAATCGAATTCGAGCCCGCGACTTGCACGCTTTTCGCTATATTCCGACTCTGCTTCCCACCGCAATGCATTTCAGTACTGCTACCTTGCTCTAGATGAGCCAAGTCCGCCAAATGACCCTGGGCTTGCACATCTAGACACGTTTTCCCTCTTTCGACATTCTCACCATAACACGTCCCACGTTTGTGGGCAGCACCATATTGTCCGACCGATAATGGACGAACCAGGCTGGGCATGGCCCGCCTGGAAGTTTAACATGAGGAGGGATGACCTCTTCACTTCTCTCCACGACCGATACAACACTATCACCTTCGCCCTTCAAGACCCCGAAGCCTTCCACCTCGATGTCTTGGAGCTCTCTGTTCAGGCTGGTACTGCTGAGGAGTTCCACCAACTGATGGCTGAGCGCAAGGACCAGCGCACCAAGGAGATTAATAACTGCTTTGAGTCTCTCGCCGTTGAAATCATCGCCAACCCTCGGTTGATGGGTACCGATCAGTGGCACCACGCCGTCCAGCTTTTCCGAACCAAATCCTACGACTCTATCGTTCGCTACTTTGCCAGCTACATCCCGGAGGAGTATATTGATGAGCAACAGTGCTCATCACCAGCCTCTGAAGCCTTAACTTCGGAGGGCTACTCTACGTGTACCACCAGCACCAATATTACCGACGTCGAGGACATGTCACAGTTTCTCGACCAGGATGCCTTTTTCCCCAACGGTCCCGTCATGGCCGTCCAGCCCTGCTCCATGGATGTACAGGCCCCCCTCTCTCCGCCGCACTCAGAGGCTTGCCCTTCAGAGGATTCCGACGATGCCAGCCTTCCCTCTACTGGCCGGTCCTCTCGATCAGCATCTTTCTGTGCCTCCGAATCCGGAAGGCTTTCGGGTTTCCTCCGTCATCTATCGAAGGACGATGACGATACGACATCTCAGTCTGACAGTGGTGAAACCGTACTCACGTCGGTTTGCGACTCTGTTGAGACGATATCGTCTATTGATCCATCGGACCACTACAATGACTCGAAAGCCCTACCCATGACTCCTCAAGACGATGAAGATTGGGACATTAACAACCTACCTATTCAATACTCTGAAGAAGAACTCGACGATACCCTCACCTATGATACCCTGGATTCCGAGATAGCAACACCTAAACCGCTGCCGGAAACTACTAATTATCTCGAGCATCCTTTCAAGGCTACTGCCATCCGAGCCTTATCCGCGAGGCGATCCCAATCGCCCAAAGCATATATCAGAAACCGAACCTCAGCGACGGTGTCGCGTGTCAATAGTCGGAGGAGCCCTGAAGAGGTCTTTTCCAAAATACAAAAAGCCCCAACCGAGGCTGCCCGAAGGCGGCCGAGGACCGGAATGGGGCTTGACTAGCATGAGGGGATATGGGTGCTGTATATATGTGATCATACCTGTACATACCTGTATCTTATGACGAATGATTCTCACACGATACTATTTATCTTTGCTTTCCTTTGCTTTTATTCTGCTTGATGATGTTGATTGATATGTTTATCGCGATGCATGTTCACAATGGTTGTAGCAAGCTAACCAATGAGCACGTCTAGATGCATCCATGATTGATGAGTAACGCTCACATTTTACGCGGTAAGTCGCAGCTTGTGTTGCTCTGCTTTCTCGCCCCCCCTGTTGCAACACGAACATACCAATGGCAAGTGAAGAAAAAGAATTTCTGCTGGCTTTTGGGTATTATACCACACGTCGTGACTCAATCAGCGGTCGCTTTTTTTTTTCTCATTTCAGTAGCCCCTTATGAGTAACTCGCTTTGTTTTTAAGCCTGCTCAACCTCAAAGGCACAATTTCTCACTCGATGGCACATGAGGAAAAATGGGGGTGGTGGTGGCATGTCATGTGGACGCGCCGTCGCCCTTGCTCATCACGCGGTCTGGTAATCAGCACATGGCTGTTAAGTATAATAGTCCATGTGTTTTGAGGAGAATTTTCTTTTCGGATCCGAATCTACCTATTTTGACTGCTCAACAGTCTGTGTGTAAGCCAAGGTAACTCACTACTGTTCCGTTCCCACTTGTCCGTCCAACATCCCCGCCGAGCTGAATCTGGCGGCCATCGTTGCATCTTTTTTCTTTTCAACAAAAACCCGCGATATCGTTGACATGTGCGCCCTCCTTGTTTTCCGAGCCCCGGAGCGCGGGGCGTAGCTGGTTTGAGCTTTTAGTTGGCCGAAGGGAAGCGGGAGGAGGGGGAGGCAGGACGATGAAACCTGCCTGAGAACGAAAGTCGGACAGTAAACATCGGTGGCACATCAACCGTTCGTGATGTCAAGGGCGGCGAAGCAGAGGCCAAGGCCCGGATCTCGACGAAGCCGAGAAGAAATCGCCCAGGTGGCACTCTTCTGTTTTCTCCCAGTTTTTCTGGCTACCCACCAGGGCAAGGAACCGATTTGAACTCTCTTTTCCGCAGGAGGGTCAACAGGCGATCCTAAACACGCTTGTAGATCAGCAGTTCTTGCTTGCTCTCCTTTTTTTGACACAGCCTCCGCCCTTGGCGATGTCGCATAAACTGGCACACACAAGTTTCTTCATGCCTCATAAGGCCTCGAAATGGCCGTCATGTGAAACGACACTGGTTGTTTGCCGTAGCAGCGTAGGTTGTTGGCCGTTTTTTTCTTCTCTTTCGCCCAGAAACAGAATTAGTTCTCTCTTGCCAATCTGCCAATCTGCCAAGCCCGGCTTTTGTTCGTGTTGTCTGCAGGATCATGACAAGTTCTGCTACGGGCCAAGGCTCGTCTGCGGGAAGCCGCACGATCTCCGGTTATTATAATTAATTGCGGCTTAGCTGTCACGGATCGTACCCACACTGCTGGCAAACCTCGAGTGGAAACCCCAAAGGCGGCCGATTGTACGGAGTAGTAAAGCCTGTAATAGTAACTAGTTCTTGTAATCTGTATCCGTACGGAGTGCATTGCCTTTGAGCGCGCTTACGTAATTGTCAAAGTAGACTGGGCGAAACGCGGCAGGCCAGGCAGTGCAACGGTCTCTTCTACACGACTTGACGTTACTTACCGAGTACCTATCCTGCAGCCCTATTGATCGATCCCCTGTAATAGGATGGACGGGTGTAAATTATCACTTCGGCCGTAAATATCCCTTTCGAGCGGGCTGCAACCTTGGAGGAGGCGCGGTCTTGCCCCCTCACAGCCTTTTTGGTGCGCGTGTCAGACTTGACACGGCGAGCACGGCCCTGAACATGGGGTCGCGGCCAGGGTTTGTTTGCTCCAGGTTTCGTGTCCAAAACACACTTGTCCCTTTCCTCAGCCCCGAAGATTTTTCTTTAGCTGACCCGAAAGAAGTGGACAATCGATCAGAATATGTGGACATGGCATTTGGTGGGCGCCCTTTTATGCCAATCTGACATCACCAACGACATGCTGTCAGCGAGATTCCGACGACACTTGACAACAGCCCTCCATTTCCCTCACCAGCACCCATCCTTTCGTCATCTAGTAGCTTGGCTAATATCAAGCGCTAATATTTTCAAAGCAGCCTGCATCATGTCTTCTCTCCGACGACTCGAATCTGCTAGAGCTGGTAGCCCGTGGTAGAAGAACGGTCCCTTGAAACCCTCCCTGTCGCCAATCGTGAGGCATCCTCTGTCCCCATTGCGAGTTCCCTCTTCTATTCTGACGGAGAATACTGTTACCGGCCCTGGCCAATCACCTCTCGTATCCCCATACCGCGTATCGGGGGAGAGACACCCTCGCGTTTCTCAGTCGGTGTACCCATCCTTGCTGCTGCTCATATTCAACACCTTGCAGCATGAAGAAACAGGTGACACATCCCCTCACATCGCCCTGAGAACCACCCCATCCCCCATCACACATGACCCCCTTTTGCTCTCTCTGCTGCCCTGGATGCCAAGGTATCGGTATACATGCCTAACAAGCGACGGCCGCGGTGGGCCGAAGCATAGCCTCCGTCGTCGTGAGCCCACTTGGTGATACTGTCGACTCCGTGCAAGCCCAGAATATCGAAATTTGGGGGGAATACCTAGCAGATCCGGAAGGCTCCTGAACCTTTGCATGTTTTGTCCTGTTTCGTGCTTCACGGTTGCTGCTGCAGTGGCCTAGTGACATGTCCACGACATGCCGCGAGCCGGTATCCAGTGGGAAAATGATACCATCATGTATAAATCCTGCCCTGTCCTCCTCGTTACTCTGCTCGAATCCTCTCCATCATCATCACCACTTCCACACCTTCACAACCAGCAGCTCGCCTTCTCTTCACATCTTCTCTCCTGCTGGCCAGGTCTTTTAATACTACATTAACTTTATACCAAAAGACAATCATTACGCCACCTTCTCTTTTCCATACCCCCCAAAACAAACAACAACTCACACAATGGCTCCTGTCAAGTCTCTCATCGCTGCCTCTGTGCTCATGGCCGCCCAGCTCGTCTCGGGCCACGCCGCCATCACGAACGCCGTCGGCAACGCCGGTGGCAGCGGCATGGCTCTCGGCATCGTCTCGTCCACCCCCCGTGACGGAACCCGACGCAACCCGTTCCAGCAGGACGCCACTCGCTTCCGTGGCGCCTCGGCCCAGACCTTTGGCGAGACTGTCGGTGCGGGCGCCAACGACGTTGAGAGCGGCACCGCCAAGATCATGGCCGAGACGGGCGACTCGCTGCCTCAGGTCACCGCTGGTGGCCAGGTCACCATGACTCTCCACCAGGTCAACGCCGACGGCGCTGGCCCCTATACCTGCATGATCAACGCCGACGGCACTGGCGGCAACTGGGAGAACATCCAGGTCACCCAGAACGTCGCGGGCAACCAGCGCGGCCGCAACCGTGACGGCAACTCGAGCGACCACCCTCTCGTCGCTGCCATCCCGGCCAACCAGCAGTGTACCGGTACCGTGGCCGGCGAGAACAACGTCTGCCTTGTCCGCTGCCAGAACCCGGCCAACGCCGGACCCTTTGGCGGTGTCGTTCCTGTTCAGATGGCCTCTCCTGCCGGTGTCGGTGCTACTCCCGCCGCTGGTGGCGCTGGTGCTGGTGCTGTTGCTACGCCCGCCGTTGGCGGTGCTGGTGCTGTTGCTCAGCCTGCCGCTGGCAATGCTGGTGCTGTTGCTCCCGCCGTTGGCGGTGCTGGCGCTGTTGCTCAGCCTGCCGTTGGCAATGCTGGTGCTGTTGCTCCTCCCGCCGCTGCCGGCAAGGGTCAGGCCCAGAACGGCAACGCCCAGCTGCAGGGCGGCAACGCTCAGGCCGGCGGCGCCCAGGCCGAACGCAATGGCGACAACAACGACCGCCGTGCGATCAAGTTCTCCGCATAAGCAACGAAAATTGGGCCGTTTTATATCGAATGATGAAACCATCACCCACACCCCAAGTCCCTGGGCTTGTACACGAGAAGATTCGGGCCAGGAACATGGGCGGCGCAACCTTCAAGTGATGATGATCAGTCCAGGGCAAAAAAGGGCAGGGATCTTGCAGCGGGAATTTTGGCATTGCTTTTCTGGATCTTCCTTGTTTTGAAATTTATAGTTTGCTTTAGCATCCATAATGAAGAAGACATAAAAAATTGTTTTGAAACTACCCTGCTTCTGCGCCTCCTCCGGATGATGAAACCTGATGTGCTACGAAACAGCTTTTGGCGGATTCGAGTAGATTGGAAGCTTCTATAAATACTCTTGAACCCCAAAAATACGGAAACCCAACCTCGGCTGCATTGTGAATCGGCAAAGGGACTCCGTGGGCCTCTAGTCATGATGTACATGGTGCTGTTGTATCAGATAGGAAGTGTAGCAATTTAGTAACGTAATCCTATTATTTTCTCACTTTTCGTATTCTAATCATCTTACAAATAGAGGCTTGGTTAGTGAACTACAGCAAGTTGAGAGCGGCAGCAGCCGTGGTCATCACCCACGGGCGCCGCCATATGCTGCGAATTACCAGCTTATGTTGTTGGACCATTTGATGAACGAGGCTACGGTGGCGCTGAAGCTAAGCCGTGGTAGGCAGCTGCCAATTGCAGCGACGGGCATTCATCAGCGCAAGACTTCTCTAAGAATTAGTAATAAGGCCTTGACACCGAGACATCCGCTGATACCCTTGTGTGGAACATCCCCCGCTTCAGCGCATCACAAGAACAAGACCTGGTCAAGACAGTATTTCACTGTGACGGTAGTGGTTTTCAGTTTCTTGGGGAATCGTGCAGAATGACCGTCAAAAGAGTCGTTCCTCATGGAGAATGGGAATCTCCCATCTCCATTGAGTCGGTCGCCTCTGGCGCACGAAGCCTCAGCGCCCCTCGTGTCTGCGTAAGCTTCTCTCTCTGTCTGATGTAGAGTACTGGACCATATCTGATGTGCCACAGAGCAAAACTGGCCGGGTATTTTTCCTCGAGGGTGACGGGACCGGCAGAACTGCCATCATGGAGTTGACCAGCCATGGCACCGTCGACATTCTGCCCAAGGAATGCAGTGTGGGCAACACAGTCTACGAATACGGTGTCCAGGCGCTCCAGACACTGCCCGACGGGCGTCTCATTTTTTCCAGCAAGGACAATACGGTCAGGATTCTGGATCCGAGTACGTCGAAAGTGACTACGGTTCTTCAAAACTCTCCCATCCTGCGCCATGGTTCTTTCACGGCAGACAAGACGTCGTCTTGGGTGCTGGCCATTCAGGAGGACCACACCAACAACACCCCGTATGGCATCGAAAATTACATTGCCGCCATCCATGTTGGCACTGGAAACGTGAAGCGCGTCATCTCAGGGGCGGACTATTACTTCCAGCCTCGATTCAACGACGACGGCACACGCCTCGTGTGGCTGGAGTGGAATCACCCCGAGATGCTCTTTGACATGGCCCGGCTGTACAGCGCTGATTGGGATGGCGGGGCTGCTGCGGTACGGAATGTGACGCTGGTTGCAGGAGGAAACTCTGAAGGCGTGTGCGAGCCTCATTGGGGTCCCGATGGCGCTTTATATTTTTCGCAAGAAATTGGTGGCCACAGACAGCTCCTTAGAATCGGCCCAGAGGGCGGCAAGCCTATGCATATCGCGCTTTCTGGATTGACCAGCTTTGATCTGGGTGAATCTTCTCTATCTGAAGCCAGGTTTGTGTTTTGCTTTGAATCCCCCGCAGTCGTTGAGTAATGCCTGCTAATAACTGCCCAAGCCGGACATATGTGGCTTTGTCTAGTCGATACCTGCTCGTCAACGCGGTGGCCGACGGCACCTGTCGGTTACTTGGCATTGATCTCGAGCAAGAAACTTGGAAGCATATTGCGCATGATCTAGACATATCTGCACTCGGAGCAGATTGCATATCTAGAATCGACGAGTCGTCTGCCTTGGTTGTCGCAAAAGGGCTGACAACTTCCAATTCGCTCTTTAAGATCGACATCCACAGTCGGGCCAAGAACAAACTACTTCGTACAGCTGGACTTTCTGGCTCCGACTTCTCCGCCGGGTTATTGTCTCTCCCGGAACACATTACCATTGATTCGCGCCGCGAGCCTCGACAAACCCACGGATTCCTCTTCATGCCCCGGAACAACAAATTCGTCGCCGAACAAGGAACACTTCCCCCACTCATCATCTTTGCTCATGGAGGGCCTACTGGGATGGCCAACAGTGGTTTCAATCTGCGAGCTCAATATTTCACCTCGCGCGGGTATGCCTTTCTGACCGTCAACTATGTTGGCTCGACCGGCTACGGCACCGCATACCGCCGATACCTCTATGGCCGATGGGGCGTGTCCGACACCAATGATGTTGCCGATTTCGCCGCACACTTGGTGGAAACAGGTCGAGTCCGGGCCGGGGCGGTGGGCATCACGGGCGGCAGCGCAGGCGGCTACAACACGCTGCAGGCCTTGACGCGGTACCCCACGAGCTTTGCTGGCGGCGTGTGTGCGTGTGGCATCAGCGATCTCATACAGTTCGACGACCATACGCACAAGCTCGAGTCGGACTACGCGGCCGCCCTGCTATTGCCCGAGGGAACGCCCGAGGAAGACAAGGTGCGCATCTACAAGGAGCGCAGTGCGCGGTATCATGCAGACAAGATTCAGTCACCTCTGCTTCTCGTGCATGGCACGGCGGACTCTGTGGTGCCGGTTGTGCAGGCGAGGATTATTCACGATATTGTCAAGAAGAAGGGCGGCGATGTGAAACTGGTAGAGATCCCGGACGAGGGCCACATGCTCAGTAAGCCAGATACGGTCAGGAAGTACCTAGCCGAGGAGGAAGCTTGGTGGCGCAAGACATTGCTCAAGGTGTAAAGGAAGGACCGGTCGCGGAATCTCCCCATTTTAGTAGTTATTTCTCGCATCTTTAACAAAGCTATGTCGCCAATCCTCTCCCGGCATAGCTGTCAACAATGCAGGAATGATGCGAAGGACAGATTACTATGACCAACATGATCACGGTTAGGTATTGGTGGACCGCTGTGGAGGTCTAGATTCCTGAGCTCCGAAGTGCGGCGTGCGCCGGCTTCCCTCATGCGGTCGCGTCATGGGCGGCCAATGGATTGGCCGCTGTCCCTGACCTATATGTCCGTCTATTCTGGATACCAAGCCCCTGTGATATGCAACGACCGGTACCTGGAGCCCGCCTGGCGCCGCTAGGGTTCGCGTAATGTAAGAACTAACACGGGCTGCTTACGGCCACCGCCCAAATCTGACCAATGCCGAGTGCTGCCGGCACCGGATTCCCATGACAAACACACGTGGGAGTCGAAGCGCAAGGAGCCTAACCGACGAATTACTGTCATTGTTCCAGCCGGGATCTGGTTCTTATAAGACGGCAAGTCGCCGAACCCCTAGTGTCGGTACCCGTCGTTGGCTGACAGACGGTTGGTACATTTTTTTTTTAGCTGGAAACTGCCATGCCCCAGAAGAATAGGTGGTAGACGCCCGTTCAAGGCCAAATTGACCTGAATTGACAAGCTTGCCCATCTCCGAGTCCTGCCTTGTCTGCATCTACTGTCTGATTGCACTTTGTCAAGACACTCACGAAGCCGCACCCATGACACAATTGGCGCGAGAAAACCTGTCTGGGACCCAGTCTCAGGCAGCAGCGGTGATTGTCATCGGCGCTGGTGTAGGTGGTCTGCAGACAGCCTGCAAACTGCAGCAAGCCGGTATTTCTTGCCTGGTTCTCGAACCGTCGGGCCAAATTTGCGGCCAAGCTTTCAGCAACAACTTCAGCGTCGAGCACCATCCACGCACGCATGCTCTTGCCACGGGCTTGGGACTTGTTGATGGACTGAGATCAGTGCAGGGCAAAGCCACGCTCGAGAGCTTCGCAGCCTTTGAGCACGACCAACAGCCAGCTGTACGTCCACGGCAGAAACGAGACGTCATCCATCTATACAAAGATAACTGATGTGCGACTTCCTTTAGCTCGACGCCGAAGACGCAGCATCGCTCGTCAAAGTCAAGACGATCCTAGACACCCTTTCGCTGCGGCGGGATGATCCTCAGAGGGACGTGGACATGACGGTTGAACAACTCGTTTCCTCCTGCGGCGCCACAGATACCGTGGCCGAAATGGCGAACCTATGGACTCGCACCATCTTCGGCCTTTCCTCCAACAATGTTAGTGCGTCCCAATTTCTATCACAGTGTGACTCGTGTGGTGGCCTCGGCCCAGTTCTCGACAACATGTATGGCTTGGGCGACAACCTTGCCGTACCCGAATTGTCGCATCAGATTGCAACGGCAATGGCCCAACATCTTAGTTCGCGATCTCTTCACCTGAACCAAGAAGTCGATAGAGTTGAGCACGGGGACGAAAATACTTGCATAATTTACACAAAATCGGGCAACGTCTTTCATGGAAACAAGATTGTGCTTGCTGGCTCTCTGTCCAGCTGCAGTTCGCTTGACATAGCGCCACCTCCTGCGGCCGTGGCCCCTTGGGAGACGATGAAAGAGGAGCAAGGATTCAGCACCACAGTAGATATCGTCTTTGACCATCCTTGGTGGCAGCAGCGTGGCTTGTCCGGCCACGCCCAGGGCCTGACCGGACCAATCGCTCAGGTGCGCCCGTCGGGCCTCATCGCGACTGATGGTCTCTACGCCCTCTCCTGCCAGGTAGCTGGCGAGCAGGCCCGCGGCATGTGGCTGTGGCTCATGTCGGACGAGGAGCGCGAAATGCTCCTCGTGCAGCATCTGAGCGCCATCTTTGGCGGGGCTATTCCGCGCGCGGTGCAAGTCGTCGAGCGAGACCAGGATGCCCTGGTCAGCGGGCAGCAGTCCTTGCACCTGGCCGGAGAGAATGCCGGCCAGCGGGGCCGGCATCGGTGGACTTCCGAGGGCAATGTCCACTTTGCCGGCGCCGATACCAGCCATGTCTGGAGAGGATACTTGGAGGGCGCATTGGTGGCTGGAGAGAGAGCTGCAGCTGAAATCATGGCCGTTGTCGGCGCGGCAAAGCCCATGGAAATGGCTCCCCGCTTGTGAGCAACGACGTGATGACATGGATATGACTTTGGTTGAGTACGAATAGAGAGATGCAGTTTTGATGTTACTCAATAGATGCTCCGTCAGCTCAAAATCTGAACCGGCGATGCCCTATGGCTTACACACGGCGGAGATACAAATGCCAACTGGTACAAAGCGAAACGAGTAAACCGTGAAACGCGACAAGATTCAAGTTTACAAAATGGCTCAGATCGACCTATCTCCTGTTATGCATCCGTTGCCCGCGGTCCTAATAATAACGCAGTTCCAGTCCGGGTAATTAAGCTGAATACCCGTCGGTTCCCCGCGATTGCTGCTCCCCCACAATCGAGACTGTCAACAACACCAACACCATGCCATTTCCTGTATGGATCTACTCTAACGGGAGTAGTCAGATCATGGTAATGGCCTCGAGCTATTCGTATCTTGTTTGGTTACGAGGCCGTATATATCTAGACGCCAGTGTTGTGCCATGATTCCGCATTCAATATAGGCAACTAGCTATACATATTGTTTTTGTACAATTTTATCTAGCTACAGTAGCTTAAAAAAAACAAATGACAATAAACATGGTTATCAATTACTGCAGCGTAAAAAGAAGTAATGATGTTGAGTTTTTTCACTCAAAAAATGGACGCGCCACACTTTTGTAGCGCCTATACCCCTTTATATCACAATACACCCCCCATCTCTTTCAGCGTGCTCGGACCTGGAAGAGAGGAACCTTTTAGGCTTTGTTCGCACCATGGTTGACCCTCTTTTTGCTCCATTTTTGGCAGCTGGGGTGCTCTGGCTACTAAAACTGCCTGATTTTCGTGGGATTCGAACTCGGAGGTATAGGCTCAACAGCAATTTTTAGTGCAAGTTACAGCCTTCCTCAGGAAGGCTCCCGGGCTCACTGTTGAGTTTTTTCACTCAAAAAATAGACGCGCCATACTTTTGTAGTGCCTATACCCCTTTATATCACAATAAATAACTGCATCACGTGACAGTAGCAAAATAAAGGGGCCAAGCCAGGGAGCAGAATTAAGTTTCTGCTTTGGAGCTTTATTTATCCTGCCTGACTGACTGACTGAACATTGCCGAACCACCTACCATGGCAGCTAAGTTGGCCAGGAGAATGGTCCTTGGGACATGTCTCCTTATCTTGTTCTGGGTGCTTTTTTTTCGGTCGGCAGTACGCAACCATGTGCGACATGAAATTACGAGCGCACCACTGCCACCACTCGACTTTTTAAAAGCAACTTCGGATCGCTCACAAAGACACAAGGAGTATTACGCCTCGGCAGCAGCGCGTGACTTTTGCGCAGCCAGTGGTTATTCAGTCTTTAAGCCACGCAGTGTCTCCAATGAGCGAAAAGTATATGACCTTGTCATGGTGAATGATGAATTGGACTTTCTAGAGATTCGGCTCTATACACTCTACGACTTTGTCGACTACTTTATTATTGTGGAATCGCCAAAGACTTTCCAAGGTAATAACAAAGCCCTTGTTATCAAAGAGAACTGGGACAGATTTCATCGCTATCACGACAAGATGGTTTATCACGAGTTGTTTTTTCCATCGTCATTCTCCCCAAAACGTGCATGGGACTATGAAGATCTACAACGAGACGCCATGTACACCCAAGTTATGCTTGAGTTGAAGAAGCAGCAAGCTCCAGCCAAAGGGGACGTTATTATTGTGGCTGATGTTGATGAGATTCCCCGCCCAGAAGCCCTACTCGTGCTCCGTTCTTGTAACTTCCCAAGACGGCTTACACTTGGCTCTAAATTTTACTACTACTCTTTTCAATTTCTACACACTGGGCCGGAGTGGCAACACCCAGAAGCGACATACTACCAGGGATGGCGCACCATCAAGCCTACAAACCTACGCAACGGTGACGGCGGTATAGCGCCTTTCCGCGGCTATGAAAAGGGAGTGCTAGGTAATGCCGGGTGGCATTGCAGTAGCTGCTTCGCGACAATTGAGCAATTTCTTAACAAAATGGCAAGCTTTTCTCATGGTTGGATGAATGCGGAGGAGTATAGAAATAAGGACAAGATTGCCGACGCAGTAAGAAAAGGCAAGGATTTATGGGCAAGGAAAACTGATACATTCATTAGGATCAGCAAGAATGAGGACACGCCTCCACTAGTAACTCAGGACTTGGAACGGTTTGGTTATATGGTAAACCGAGATGGACCTTCGGCGGGATTCATAGATTACCCATAGCGGCAGAATGCATCCACATTCATTTGCATTTTGAAATGGTATTAGATGATTTGCAGATGTATAGAAAAGTCCAAAGTGCTAGACAAAATTGGATACAGCACCAGTACTGGTCTGACAACTCCCCACGAAGAATATCAGTGCTGAATACTTTGAAGTCTGATATCCCCAATCGGGAATTGTATTTGCAGTAGACTCGTTATTGATAATTTGAAAATTTGCTATAAGCTATAAGCGCCAGAGATGGAAGATCTGGCAGCTAGTAGTGTGCAAGAAAGGTCGCAGGCCGTAGCCAGTTTTCGAACAGACCGCTTGTTTGCTTAGATGATCTGCAGCGGAGCATGAGACCGGGGTTGGTTACCGCTACAACCACATCTCATAGACAAGCAAGTGTCTCAGGAACCTACAAGGATATGCAAATTCTCCGACCGCCATCCCCTTGGCTGTGCCTGGAGGGCCTTCTCGTGGCTACTCACCAACATTCTGTCCGAAATACAAGCAGTTAGTTGTGTGCCCATTTGTGTCACTGTGCAGGATGCAGGTGATATGGTTATCACTTCCATCAGCTTTTCCGGTACTTCAACAAGTTTTAATGCCAATGCCTAGCCGACCCCTAGCGGCGATTTCTTTCTTGGATGAGGCTACTTCGGCGCCTTCACCGAGATCTCCATAGATGGATGGCCTACGCAGAGCTCGGCCGGAGAGCTGAATAATTTAGCCTGGCCGATTGTTGTTGAGCGGCCCAAGCGGCTTCTTCCTCCCCCGGCAACCCGGCTCCGATGCACACTAGAGGCGGGGTCCCAGAAACCCCATAAGCTATGCAAGTTCCTGTTACGTGACTGACTGACTACCTGCATCTGACTAGAAGATGCCGAGTCAACTCAATCATTTGTCCACTTTGAGAGCCTGATTTGACGTCGTCTTACGACGCCCACGCTTCAACGAATCGTCGGTCATCATGTTCAGTAGCTCAAGCTTGGCGGACGTAATGGTAATGTAGGTCTCATATAGCATACAGCTCAGCTTAGGCCGTAACGTGACATGCCCAATATCAGCATCTGCAAGAAGATGTGCTATTCCTGAGAGCGCATCACTTTGCAGCCGACTCATCGTTTATGCAGGAAAGGCCATTTCCCCAATATTATTTATATACTGTTCGAAGGCCTTCTCCCAAAGTCTGTGCCGCCCTTTACTTCACCGTTGGACATGGCGACTTCGTATTGAAAGTCGGGCTGAAACTCAGTGTAGAGCGTTTCCTGCTTACTATTAGTCCATCTTGAGTGCCTAAAAACGCGGAAATCCTTACCGCATTGCCCTCGTACTTGTACGTATACGCCGCTTCCGGGTCACTAATGTGCCTCTTTTCAAGTCCGGCCGCTTCCACCATCAACTGGATCTCGCACGACCTCTCCATGACGGTGTACAAGTAGGCAGCCTCGTCGACGGTGCCACCGGCTGTCAACAGTCCATGGTTCTGCAGGATGACGGCGCGGTTCGTGGGCCCCAGCGATTCCGCGATGCGCGCGCCCTCCTCGTCCTGCAGCGCGACGCCGCCGTAGCTGGAATACACGCTGTGGTTGTTCCAGAACCGGCAGGCATCTTGGTTGAGCATGTCCAAATGCCGGCCAAAGGCGGACCATGCCTTGCCGAACTTGGAGTGCGTGTGGCATGCCGCGTCGACGTCTGGGCGGGCCTTGTGGACGGCCGAGTGAATCATGAATCCGGCGGCGTTGACAGCAGTTCGGTTTCCACCAATTACCTGGCCATTTTCATCAATACGGACCATGTCGCTGGCCTTTAATAGACCAAAGTGAACGCCCATTCTAAGGAAGGTGGTTAACATGATGCTGTCATCGAGCCTCCCACTGGTCTACCTACGGGTTGATCCAAAAGGTATCGGGGTCGACCGGGTCTCTCACACTAATGTGCCCGCTCGCGCCTTCGGTGAAACCCATGCGAGCAAAGACGCGGAATGCGCCGGCCATGTGCTCAAGCTGCCACTGCCTTTTGGCGTATGGATCCTGAAACGATGGGATACCAGGGTACTCGTAGCCTCCAGTAGCTACGGCCGTGAAATTCTTGTTCGACTGGCCCCAGCCACCATTGTTGGCAACCGCCCTGGTCGTGGAGAATGGCGCCCGAAGAGATATGCTGGAAGAGCGCAATTGCCAGGCTCGAGAAGCTACATCAGTGCCGGAGAGGCTGCGTGCGGAGCACAAGTGGTATGATGCGGAGAAACCTCGTCGCGCGATTCGAGTGGCCATGGTGCGGGAATCGTCTCTGTAAACGCGTTCTTCGCTCTCTGATGGTCCTCAAAATTATATACATGGACCCCTCGTGGCGCGCCTTCTGACACGCCAGCGATTCATAACTAGAGCGCCCTCCCCCGCACTCTCGTCTCGTTAGGGCGTACGAGGCACAGCGTGGGGGTTTTGTTCTATGCAATTCGGTATTAAATCTGGTGCCGAGTTGCTTCCTTTCAGGGCATCTCATAACCATTCATAACCATCTCTGCTGACACTCTCCTAGACGCGACAATGGACAGAGGTGAGGCATGTCATTAAATTCGCCGCTTCTTTGCAAAAGAGAATTTGCCTGAAACTTGCTCGGTGACGTAATGTCAGAATACGGCCGTAGAATTAGCTACCGGAGGCTGCGCTACCATAAAACGTGGCTTGGTAAACAGCCCGAATGCCTTCATTTAAACAAATGTCCGGTGGCAAGGGAAATCATGACCGGTGACCTCTCTTTCATGCGCAACTACCGAGACGTGTGGCTCGATTGCATTAATAATTAAATACAAAGGTCCAATTCGGACGGATTTCGGGATTGCCTCGAAACGGTGGCGCCAAGAGCTACATACCTGGTTGTCTCGGCGGCTCTCACGGATACATCAACAACATTTCAGCTGCGGTATGGAGGGTGTGGGAGTAGGTCTTAATTACTGTTTAATAATAGTAGTATTTGACGACCGTTGCCACTGTATGGACCTTTGATGCCAACAAGTGACAGTTAGTTGCCTTGTTTGGAAACTTGTCGAATGCCACCTCATTCATAGTAGCACACCCAAACGCGAACAAAGTACCAAGTATAAAGATTGATCATTCAAGCTAAGCATAAAAATCACATCGTACATGTCATCAGTCATAGTAAAACCGCATTGTAGGGGCCCATGCAGCCACAGCCAGGCCGTGAATACATGGCCCAACCAAGCCCACTCACACATCCAATGCCTTCTCTGAGACGATGTCAGACTTTTCATCACCGTCGCGGTGGAACAAGGCCGCCTCGAGCGATTTGTAGATGGTGTCTGCCTCGCCCGTCCTCTGCTCTCCTTGTTGAGAAAACTCCCACTCGGACCTTTTGAACCGCTCATGCACTTGGTCGACCATGTTGATGAACCTGAATTCCAGATCCGCGCCAATGTATCGCCGAAGCTCCATCTTGAGCTCAATCAACGAGAGCAGCCCGGTAACGTCAATAAACCCGACCATGGTAAAATCAAGTACCACGTGATGCAAGGGCACAATATCGCATCGAATTGGGATGATGTTCTTCCTTCGCCGAATCTTGTCGATTCGCTTGGTGCCGGCCACGTTCCAGTTCCTAGTCGCAGAGAGAATATCGCGGGCTGCGGACCCGGCTGGCTCGAATTGTATCTTGGCTGACTCCACGATGGCGTTTTTGACGCGCTCTGCGTTGGGAAACAACAAATCTTCGGTGAATCTGACCAGATATGCTTCAGCCGGAACGTCAATGCCGTTGCTGACTGGGTGATGCTTTGCTGGAGACCAGTGAACGGTCTCAGTGTCCTTGTGTGATAAGCCAATCCAACTAGGGAAGGCGAGGCGAATCAGTGTGTAGACGATGCTGAAGGCGACGGCAACGGCAAGACCGATTTCGGTCGTGGTGAACAATGTGACCCAGAAGCCAAGCATCGATGCAATAAAGTCAATAAACGACATTCTCCAGTAGCGATAGAATAGGCGAGGGGAAGAGACAAGATGGGCAACAGCCATGATCTGGACCAATTAGCATACATTCGCCATGGAAGAGGCGAAAACGTACAATGATAGCGGAGAGTGTCGCTTTGGGAATCCAGTACAAAGCAGGCGCGAGCTCGTATAGCGTCAGAATAATGAAGCCAGCAGTGAAGAGAAAATTGACCGGGCTGTGGACGCCGCACTCTGAATTGACAGCAGTTCGCGACATGGCGCCGCCGCAGGTCTGGGCACCAAAGAAGCTGTTGGCAATGTTGGTGGCGCCCAGGAAGACCAGCTCTTGACTCTTGTCGATGCTGTAGTTATTTCGCAGACCAAACGCCTTTCCCACGCCGAGATGTTCAACAGCCATGGCGATGAGCGGCGCGATGGATCGGGATGCCATCTTCTGGATGAGCGAGCCATCATGGGCACGCGGCGTGAGCAGTCCATGGGTATTGACCTGAGTGACCTTCCATTTGTATGTCTTGACGGTGAGATCTTTGTTGACCAGAAACGAGATGATGGTGTAGATGACGAGCACAACCACAGCACGACTGGTGCTCAGAAACTTGAGCCACTTGTTCTTTTTGCCCCACGTTCTGCCTACCCATTCGAGGGCATAAAGCATTGCAATCCCTGTAAGCCCAATGCACAAGGTAAGCGGCTTGATCCTGTTCAGGTGGCCGAGTACATCACGGAGAATGGTAACGGTGCCGGAGCCTGTGTCAATACCGATGAGGGAGCCCACTTGACCGAGGCCAATCACGAATGCCACGGCAGAGATCCAGCCCGTCAAGACTGGACCAGACACGAAATCAAGCAGAAATCCGAGTTTGAGCAAGCCAATAGCCAATGCGTAGACGCCGACTAGAAACGCCATGGCAGATGCTATGTTGGCCGGATCGTAGCCCTGCTTGGAGAGATCCGCGACAGCTTCGGCCGTGAAGAGACCGAGTATCGAGGTGGGACCAGACGATACCTCTACTTTACTGGTTATTCCAATGACTCTAAACGCGATTGGATAGTTCTCTGCTTGCCTTTGGAGGTGCCGAGGAAGAAGTAGAGGGCCGAGGGCAGCCAACTAGAGTAGAGCCCATGCTCGACGGGGATATTCGCAATCTTGGCGTAGGCGAGGCCTTGCGGAATCAGCATGACACCAATGGTAATGCCGCCAATGACATCCTGAAGAAGCCATCTGTAGTTGTAGTGCGGCAGCCATTGAGCTACGGGAAGTTTTTCAGCGATATATTCCGCAGTGGCGGACGGGAAGCGGCGACGGATGGGTTCAACCCAGCTCCTGACCCTATTAATGTTCGGGTCGGTCCGGAACGACTCCACGATGTTGCTGCGGATCGTTGCGAGGGACTTCATGATCCGAGTTCCACTCTGATGATGTGCAAAGCAAAGCAGCGTAGAGATGTAGCAAGGTTGGTCAGAAAAAGGGTAGATGGAACTGTGTTGTAGTCGCAGCTGTGAAGATGCGTTATACACCACAAGTAGAAGAAGACGGGCTCTCGACGGATGCCAGCCAATTGTTATACGGAAGCTGGTATGGGTACGCGCAAGTGAGGGAGGCGGAAGCCGCCGGCTACCTTGCAGAGACGACCGGTTAGATCATCACTTGAAAGCGTGCGTAGAGTCCAACTACGGTTGGAACAGACGGCAAAAGAAGAACAACGGTCGATCAAACAAAAACTACCCACGTCCAGGCTTCAGCCATCTTTGGCCGCACACCACTAACACAAAAGGGCAGGCAGGAAAGCCGCCGAGCTCAGGGACGGCACGCCCTCACACACCTGGCGGCGCGAGGCGTCGCTTCCAGGCTGGGACGAGGGTGCATCGGGGGTCTTGGGAAGGGGGGGGGTCCAAGGACGCTCCGTAGCCTGGCGATCCTATATAGATGGCGCCAGTCACGCTTGTCTACTATTGTCCGACCGAGACAACTTTCCAAGAACAATATATCTCTGGCGCGGCAGATGTTTTCATGTCGGCATCAAGTCCAGGGTTTAGCATCGTGCCTCGCAGCCGTTGCCGTCATTGGCCGGGCCTGGATATAGAGGGAGGGTAATGCGAAGGTAGTTGGTTTCCCCAGGCCATAGCAGTGACGATCAAGAGTACACAATGGCAAGCAAGGCTTCGCAGCAACGCATCGAGCATGGGTTCCGCCGGTGGCGGCGCCCCAGTGAGAGACGGCTCCGGAACTACCAACAACGGGGGTTTGTCGACGGACATTCTTGTACACACCGCACGCCACCGCCATGGCGTTCAAAACATGGAGGGAGGGGACCTGTTGCTTTTTGGCCCAATGATGTGCTGAGGCGACAAGAAACGAAAAAAAAACGTCGTCTGCTCTTCCCGCGGAAGCCTCCTTTCTGGAAAGAGGAGGGTCCCAGTGAGACATGATTCTGCGCCGGTGTCCGGATAACGAAAGCTGTGTGGCGGCTTGCGCGGATCGTCTTTTCCCGCCCGCGGCTTGGACGGCACGATATCATCCCAGCGTTAAGCCCGGGTGAAGCAGATGGAAAAGGGGAAAACAAAAGTACGCAGCGGCCCAGCACCACCACTACAAGTTGGAGGGGGGGGGGGGCTCTGTCGCAGCCCTGCGAGGTTGCATTGAAACAGCTTCCTCAGCAGGCGGTGGTGCCGTTCTAGCCGACGCTCTCTGCGGCCCGCTGTCATTGAGAAAGTTCTTGCCAAGCAACGACTCGTTGCTTTTCATGCAAAGGGTGACGACGACAAGGACGAGTAATCCGTGTTAGTGCGTGAGAGGGTAGTTGACTAGCAATACCGAGACTTGTCCGGGGTAAAGAGGAGGAGGGCTTCTGATCACGAGTCTCAACGGTAGTTTTGGTCTTGACACGGCGCCACGAAAAAAAGGAAAGGGTTTGTTGGAAAAAGGTGCACGTTATGGGAGCTTCTTGTTGCTTGGCCATGCTCTCTAGCTTTCGTGGCTTGCGCGGGGAGAAGCCACTGAAAGCCAAGCGCTCCTCCCCCGCATTCTTGGAAATAGATTAACTCGCCGAAAACAGAAAAGTACTTTGTGTTTGCTCTGATCACTAGCTAAAACGTCCTTGGCGGTACCATGGTCGGCAAGTCTCTTGGCACTTGGTAGGCTGTCCCTGTACTGGCAAGCAGTTGGCGAGATGATGGCTCTGGGGTTACATGAGGGAGATACTGACTGATACTGTGTTCTGGGAGGCACTTTGTTCATCATGCGGCTATCCTAAAATAGCATCAATTTCTGCAGATTAATTGTATACATGGAAAGCACTATAGAATAGAGTTATCTAGCATATCCCGTAGTGACTGACGGAGCTTCGTGGTTGTCCGAGGTGTGTGTATCGTCTATCTGTATCCGCCAGCATGGCCATTTGGTTCGCTATTGTTGACTTGTTGGTGGCATTGTAGCCCATCCATGCAAGCCTCCTGGCTTTGCACAAGGTTGGCAGACAGGGGTCCCTGGACAATATCACATTCGTGGCGCCTAGTCTCAGAAGACGTTTCCCCCTCTTTCCTCTTCAGGCTTGCACCGGTGCTTCTTTACATCCCGGAGAGGCTTGCAGAGTACAAGAGGCAAGAGACAAGGAGAGCCTCACTCAACCCCCCCCCACACGCATCTTCTTAACGCTCAAGCTAATGCAAGCAGAAAAGCAGGCTGCGTGCTTGCCAATGGCTAGGCCAGGGTGGATGCTACAGGATCTGCTGCTTTATTTTTATCTCGCCCATGTTCATGCCTGGCCAGAGAGACAGTGTTTCAGCTTCGCCATTCAGTGCTGGTTACGCACCAACCTAACTAATGATACATCCGAGATGGCGACATGTTCAAAAGACGGTCAGGGAGAGGGTGCACTTGCCGATCTGTGAGGGATGTGTGATGAGTAGAGGGCTCCTGAATAACTGGCTGTATGCTGCTCCCCATCTGCCCAGTCAGTCTATCCCCCTTGTCGGCCAACGTTGCTTCACCCAACAGCCAGTTGTTCATCGACCCTCACCGGGCCTTTTATTTGTCCCGCATGACACGCTGACCACGTTTCGAAAAGGCCCGCAATGCAACATGGACGACGACTCCACAAGGGCGATTGGCGATGTAATAATACTCCGGGCTGCGTTGCGCGCGATCTACCATACGATTGGCGCCTTGGCATGCATTGTGCTGGCAATGCGTGGCAATATGGCAAAGAAGAACATGTTCTGAAAAGCTGGTCTGCTAAAAATACTGGTAAATAATTCATACTGCATGTAGCTACAAAGAAAACCACCTGGGGAGACGTTTTGCCACCATTTACAGCTCCTCGCTCTCCTCCCCCCCGTGCGACAGGTCCTTTTCCGGATCGGTAATCTCGTCCTTGCTAGGATTGCGGACGGCATCCCAGAACTTGGCGCCGCCCTCCTTGTCGTCGGCAAAGAGGTGATCGAGGACCATGCGCTGGGGCGTCTCGCCCATCCACTGAAAGAGGGAAAAGTCGCGGAAGCGGTCGGCGCGGAAGATTTCGAGCATCTCGAGCGGCTCGTCGCCAATGTTCTCGACAAAGTGGCCCATGTTCTTGGGCACGATGCCGACGTCGCCGGCGACGTAGTTGAAGGTGCGGGCGTTGCCCTCGGCGGCGAAGACGGTGACGCGCGCCTTGCCGCGGATAAAGTACGACCACTCGTCGGCGACGGGGTGCCAGTGCATCTCGCGCAGCGCGCCCGGCTCGATGACGGCGTGCGCCGCCGCCACCGTCTTGGAGATGGGAAAGTTGGTGCTGTCCGTCACGCGCACCTGCCCGCCCGACGTCGTCTTGGGCGTCTGCGCGAGCATCTTGTGCGTGAACTGGTACTCGGACCGCTTGACGTGCCGCCCGCGCGGCCGCTCCTCGTCAATGGCCCCCGGCTGCGAGCCCTGGAAGATGTACTTTTCGCTCTTGGGCAGGTGGTCAAAGACTTCGGGCGCGAGGTGGAAGTTTTCGGCAATGACGCTCTTGGGCGTGTGTGCTGTGTGCGTCGTGTCAGTCATCAAGTTGTCGTGGGAAAGAAGGGCAACGCACCCAACCAATCAGTCAGGATAAAGGTAGACTCTTCAGAGAAGCCGCCGTCGTCGAAAATGAGCAGAAACTCGGTGCCGTTCTCGCCCAGGCCCTGCAGCGAGTGCGGGACGCCGCTGGGAAAGTACCAGAGGTCGCCCTGGTTGAGGTCGTCGATGAAGTTGCCGCCTTCGTAGTCGAGCGCCGTGACGCGAACGCTGCCCTGGAGCACAAAGGCCCATTCGGCCTCCTTGTGCCAGTGCAGCTCGCGGATGACGCCCGAGTCGAGTCTCATGTTGACGCCGGCGAGCTCAACGCTGGCGGGAAGCTCGCGGACCGTTGTCTGTCGCGTCCATCCGCCCTCCTACAAGGTACCCCAACTGTCAGTCAAGTGCGCCCGTCAGACATGATTGCCAAGGCTACGTACCTCAATGCGCGTGTGCGAGTCGGTAAAGCTCCAGCGCATGTTGGCGACGTTGCCGTGGTCGGTGCTGGGCGGGCGGACCAGGTCCGGGCTCTGGCGGGCGCGGTCGCGGTTGACGGGGCCGAGGACGCTGGCGCCGTCGCCGTTGCGCCAGGGCAACGGGTCGAGGTCGTCCTGCTCCGGGTCGACGTAGCGATCGAGCTTGTCGCGGTGGCCCGGCGTGTAGGGCCGGTGGTGGGCGCGGCGGGCATACTTGTCGGGCAGCGCGAGGCCGTTGAGGAACCGCTGCTGCGGGCTGTCCCTGTGCGGCAGCGCGGCGGCCAGGCCGGCGAGGAGCAGGTGGCACGTCGTGAGCTTCATGCTGTCTGTGCTGGGCAGCACTTGTGTGTAAGAATAGGCTGGTGTAAGTGGTAGCGTAGCGATAGTGATGATTGTCACAGAAGAGAAAGAGATGGAAGGGACAGAACGAACAGTGTCTACGAGGCAGGAAGCTTTTTATCTAGGACGGCTAAGTCGGATGCTAGCTACGAGTCGCTTCCGCAGCTGGGGTTGGACAATTTGGGTTTGGTTGCGTGCTTGACGTAGCCTCCCTCGTCTGAAATAGCTAGAGGGGATGGGCATGGGCGAGATCGGGATGTGTGGTGTGGTGTCGCGTGGCGCCGGAGGACAGAAGAAGCCCCGGGGGGACACGGCGAGAGGGGGATCGGCCAGCCTCGCATTAACAAATGCCGCGGGCATCAAAGTAAAACAACCTCCAACTGAGGCTGGCTGTGGCGTTGGGTGGAAGACGCAGCGGAGGTGTCCGAATTGATGAATGGTGGTGGCTGCCGTCATGGATAACTACCTACCTACCTGAGGTAAATTATAAAGCGGCAGCAGTGTTGCAGTGGCTGCAAAGGGGAAAAGGGCAATTTACAGGGCACTCAACCCACCAAACTCCTAGACTCCCTACAAGCACTTTCTGCTTCCTGGCTGTGCTCTCTCACGTCTCCTGTGTTGTACCGCTGTAGATGGGTGAATAATTTTCTTAAAAAATACCAAGCTCATGACGATACAATACTCATCAGTCTGGAATTATTTCAACTCAAACCCCCCTCGTGCGGGTATGCTAACTCGGCAAGTGCAGAGCACACCCCCGGAGCCAAGTCCGGAACACACCGGGAGACTCCCTACACGCCCTATAGTTATAGTGGGGGAGATCCCTACACGCCCTGTAATGACAGTGGGCTCTACCACTAAGGTACCTACTAGTTAACCCCGCTCAACCACTCCAGTGGGAATTTTAGCAATTTTAGCTTGTTAGAGTCGGCTTCTTGGTGGCTTTCTTTGCATGTGCTGCTGAACAGAGAAAACGCTTCTCGCTGAGCACGTCAGGAGTATTTTATTTGTCCCGCATTCTCTTCTTCAGCACTCTAAGGTAATTATTAAAGACAATTCTCGACATACCTACAAGTCGTCCTCCCACCTACCTGTCCAAAACAAACCACCCACCACCTCCACCTCCCTATACAAGTGCCTCACAGAAACAACTCTCATAAAGCCGGCATCCGGCCTCTTGCTCGTCCGTCTACTTGTTCCAATACCCCCGTCACGGACATACAAAACTCACACCACTTTCCGCTGTCAAAATCGAACCACTTTCTACCAACCCCATTTTCAACGGGGAAAAATACCCCGTTGAACCAATTCGTTGCTATTACGGCCCCTGCTATTGCCACCAGAGTTCCCAGCCTAGCCTCGGACAAGCGCAACGACGCTTTTGGTCTTAAAGACTAAATACAGCCCTTTCTCCCGCGCAGCCAAACTCACCTTTGTCCCATCTCGCTATCCCCCCCCCCTCATTTTTCCCTCCCTTTTCTTTGGGTAACTGCCGTGTTGGTTGTTCTTTTGCGCCTTGTCATTTACACATACAACCAAAAAACCCGACATGGCAGGCTACGGCAGCACTGCCGCCTCGCGGCCCGCTCACGGCTCCGATCCCGAAGCGCAGCCGCTGCTGGGCAAACTACCGTCGTCGCCGGGCGCCGCCGGCGCCGCCGGCATCACCAAGATCCGAAAGACGCTCCACGACGACGTCTCGCTGTCCTGGTCCGACGTCATGCTGCTCTTTTGCTACGTCGTCACCGGCCTGCTCGACAGCGCCTCGACCCAAGTCTGGGGCGCCTTTGTCTCGATGCAAACCGGTACGCCGGCGAAACTGCACGTTATCATGTTGAACCCCAACCACTAACACACACGGCGCGCCAACTCGCTAGGAAACACCGTCTTTGTCGCCCTCGGCATCGCCTCCCTCTTCTACCCGCCCGTGAGCCCACGCCTGTACCGCTCCGGCATCTCCCTGCTCGCCTTTTGCGTCGGCTCCTTCCTCTTTGCGCGCTTCCACCGGCTCGTCTCGCCGACGCGCCGCTGGGTGCTCTGCGCCTCGTTTGCCGCGCAGGCGCTGCTCACCGCCGCCGCCGCGCTCGTCGTCTCGCACACGCCGCCGCCCGCCGGCGACGACGCCGTCGACTGGACCGTCCTGCTGCCGCTCGCCCTCATCGCCTTCCAGAGCTGCGGCCAGGCCGTCGCCAGCCGCGCCCTCCGCCACAACGCCCTCACCAGCGTCGTCCTCACCAGCATCTACTGCGACCTCTTCTCCGACCAGCACCTCTTCCGCCTAGACAACGTCGACCGCAACCGCAGGGCCGCCGCCCCGCTGCTGCTGCTGCTCGGCGCCGTCGTCGGCGGCATCTTTGCCCACTCGCCCGTCGGCATCCAGGGCGCCCTCTGGACTGCTGCGGCTTTGAAGCTCGTCATGGTCGTCATTTGGTTCTTCTGGCCTGAGGAGCCGACAGAAGATGACGACTAAGGGTCGGAGCAGCGTGTACATAGCACATTGGCTCTCCCAAATAGAGAAAAAATAAATCATTTTTAGGTTCAGAGTGTTGCAGGCGTTACCCATTCTTCTGGATGGATCTCGAAGAAAGATGCATCCCACAGACGCATATCGTGTCGTTGTCCAGAAGGATATAGGGTAGTCGGCGGTTGACAGGCCGATGACCGGCTCCGCCAATCCTCGGTCGTATCAACCAATTTAAAGGTGAAAACTCTCAAAACTTATTTACTGTAGATTTTGAATAGATTTCTTTTTGCAAAGTTCAATTCTTCCAAGTTGAGGTGTAAACGGCAAACTATTCACGCACGTGGACAAACTAGATATGGATGGACGGGTAAGGGTAGACCGATTGTCTTCAAGCCACCATCTCCAATCTCTTGGCCCGGCCTGTCGCAGCTCAACCTTTCGCAGTTCCATGCTCTTGACCGACGAAATGCACAACTTATATACAAAGCTGCTCCATTTCGATTCCCTAATACCCTTCTCGGACCGGAGCACATCTCCGAGCACGCAGTGACCCCGTGCCCAGCTCCGTTCCCCGCATTCCCCATCTTTGGCGCCGGACACCGGACATTAGCTTGGGGCGGGTGGACAAGGGGCCCCCAACGGTTCATTTATTTTTCTTTGAGCGGGACGAGGAGAAAAAAAAACCCCAGCCTTTCCTCCTTACCGCAAAACTCTTCCTTGGCGGAAAAACAAACGACGTTGCCAATTAAGAGTCGCATTGTTCGCGCGCGTGCTAACGAGGTCATGTCGTCCAAGATCGAGGACGCCGTCATGGCTCATCAGGTTGACGTCGAAAAGGACGTCGTCAAGGAAGAGGTACGTGACGGCCCTCACGCCCGATGGACAGAAAAAAGCTTCCGGTCAATAGCAGCGTAAAACTGGCGTTGCTGTCTCATTTACCACCGTCGTACTTCGCAACTGACCCCGCCGACTACAAGGACACCACTCGCGACGACGTCTCCGACGCTGACAAGCCGCCCAGCGACGAGGAGCGGCGCCTCGTGCGGCGGCAAGACGCGCGCATCGTGCCGCTCTGCGCCGGCATCTACTTCCTGTGCTTCCTCGACCGCGCCAACATTGGCAACGCCAAGGTGCTCAACTCGTCGACGCGCGACGACATGCAGCACACCACGGGCATGTCCGACTACCAGTTCGTCATCGCCCTCATGGTCTTCCTCGTCGCCTACGCCGTCTTCGAGGTCCCGAGCAATATCCTGCTCAAGAAGCTGCGGCCCAGCCGCTGGCTCGCCTTTCTCATGTTTTGCTGGGGCGTCATGACCATGTGCCTTGGCGCCGCGCGCAGCTTCGCCAGCGTCACGGCCGTGCGCTTCCTGCTCGGCATGTTTGAGGCCGGCCTGTTTCCGGGCCTGATTTACTACTTGACGTTTTGGTACAGGCACAATGAGCGAAGTGTCCGGTGAGTTGGCTGTAGACAATGCGCATGCAGAGGATGTATGTAGTTGAGTCAGAAAACGGGATTGGCTAATGTGGCCGGACAGAGTCGCCTTCATTCTGGCGTCGGCTACGCTGGCGGGTGCTGTAAGTAACACGGCTGTTCTGGATCTGATCATGCACGGGCGGAAACAAGACAAGACGAGAAGGAAGCAAATCTAACATTGGCGCGACAGTTTGGCGGCGCCATTGCCTACGGCATCGGCCACATGAACCACGCGGCCGGCATCGCAGGCTGGCGCTGGCTCTTCATCATCGAGGGCATCCCCTCGGTGCTCTCCTCCTTCCTGGTGCTCTTCTTCCTGCCAGACTACCCGGAGACGGCCGGCTGGCTGACCGAGGCTGAGCGGGCGCTGGCCGTCGGACGCCTGCGGCACGAGGGCAGCAAGGGCCACGACCGGAGCATGAGCTGGCAGGATGCCAAGGCGACGCTGACTGACTGGCGGCTGTACGCGCACTACATCATCTATTTTGCCATTAGCCCGCCCTTTGCGAGCCTCAGTCTGTTTACGCCGTCCATCACGCTGGGCTTGGGGTACCGCGACCTGACGGCGCAGCTGATGACTGTGCCGCCATGGGCTGTTGCGTACGGTACGTATGGAAGGGGCGACTTGTGGTTCGCTGGACCCGGATTTGATCAGGCGCTGACATATTTTTTTTTTTCACAGTTTGTCAGATTCTGGTTGCGCTGTCCGCGGACAGATTCAACGCGCGCGGCTACCATGCCGCGGGCGCCGCCCTCGTCGGGGCCACTGGCTTCATCATCTCGGGGGCGCTGCCGCCGGACGCGTACAAGGCGCGGTACGGCGGGCTCGTCATGGCGACGGCGGGCGCGTTTGCCTGCATCCCGCCGCTGCTGGGCTGGCTGACGTCCAACGTGGTGAGCACGGCGGCGGTCGGGCTGGCTATTGCGCTCAACGTGAGCATCGGCGGCGGGCTCGGCCAGATCCCGGGCGTGTGGATCTACAAGGCGAGCGAAAAGGCAAAGGGCTACCCGACGGGCCACTGGACCAACGCGGGCTTCTTGCTCTTTGTCACGGCGGTGTCGCTGGGGCTGCGCGTGTTTTACGCGCGCAAGAATGGGCAACTCGCAGCGGACGCGGCGCGGCGCGGCGTACCGGCGCGGTTGTACAAGCTGTAGGGAGGAGCTATCGGGAAGCGGAGGAAGTTATTGGGCCGTGCTGACGTGGTTTAGAGATGGTAAGTGAACACTATTTCATGTAAGCAAGGTTGAACGCGGAGTTTGAGGTGATGCAACGCAAGTGGCTGGCGGAAGCCGTGAGTAGAGAAAGTCTGGGTGGTATCTTAGAGTGGAGAAATGTACGTAATTGATGTTAACTTGTGCTCGTGAATGTGAAACCGGTACGGATACATCGGGAGGGTCCGATCTGGGGTTCGTTAAGTGACATCACCGATGGCTTACAAGGTTGTTGATGAGCCGCGTTCAACAAGGGTTACTACATCCTGGTAGGGAGCACGAGCTAGCGAGAGAACGAGGGAAAGCAGGGATAAGAAAACGGCACTTGATGTTTTGCTCGTTGCTTGTTTGTGCTCATGATGATGGATAGTTGGGGTGATGAAATAAGGTTGTTGGCGGCTGGGGTCGTTTGTGAACAGATGGGCTCAGTTCAATGGTGACGTACGTACAGCATGCAAGGCGAGAGTCAGTTGCGAAGAAGCTTTCCGAATCTTGGCTGGACTGGATGCCAACTCGATTGTGAAACTTGGTGGCCGCGACTAGAGTTTGTGGGGACGCGTCCAAGGCAGACAAAACGATAGCGGAGTGTCAACGGTGAGGGCGCGGGGATGCAAGAAGGGTCCCTGCCTACTGGATGGCGCTAACAGGTCAACTGTCAACTGCCAATTGCCAACTTGTAGATATAGAGAACTGGGCAGAGCGTAGATCGCGGCAGGTTTGAGGCGGCCAGGTGACTGTCGAGCCGTGTGCGTTGGCGCGGGGCTGAAGTCGATTGGGCGGGTGCTGCCTGGCGCTGGCAGGTGAGGAGGGTGCGATGCTGACACGATTAGACTGGCGGGATAGACAGGATGATGAGCGAGGCCTGATTGTTTATCGGATATTTGTAGGTAGACCGTTCGCTGGATAAAGCGATGATTATGCACGATGGGTGGTTAGTTGGTAAGGTAGTTGTTTGGTGGTTGCTGATGATGGTGGCTACGACGAGTGAGGCTAGCGCGGAAACAAGAAACGTTGGCAAGTTGGCAGTTGGCCAGCAAGTATGTTCAAGTGACAGTGATGGATAAAAGAAACACCATCTCAACAAGTTATTCAGTCAGTGGTGATGGGTAAGCTGTTGGGCGGAGCGTGAAGCAAATATGTGCAGGCGCTGGTCCCCCACTAGACACTAGACGTAGCAGGTACCAGAATTAGGTAGCTGCGGGGTGCGACCCAGATATGACGTAGTTGGGAGTGTCATGAAAGGTTATCAACCCGCTGGGAGTGGTCTTGACAGTTGGGAAGAGAGCTCATTTGCACTTGTGCCATGTTATCACCTTGTCGGAGCAACCCAGAAGCTTGGCAAACAAGTGTCCAAGGCCCGCTGGCAGTGGAGTCGGAAAGCCACGAGAGCCATCAGCCATCACCAGCACCAGCAATCAATAAGTATGCAGGTCAAAGAAAGTAACACAAAGGTTCTAGACTTGTCGCCGGAATAGACAAAATAAGAGTAAACCCAGGCGTGACGCTGCGCGCAGCCTTGCATGGTGATATCTGACTGAGGGACGGGCAGTCAGAGAAGTGAGGTTATCGGGCGCACAACCTCAGCCGCAGGCATGAACCACCAGAACCACTGCCTCGCATCATGCACGTAAGCTTGGCAAACGGAATTGCGAAAGCCCAGCAACCCAGGTAGGCAACAAGGGCGGCAGGTTCGGGGGCAGCCAGCCGCAGATCTGCAGAGAATCAACAGGTACCTACCTAGGTTGCTAGCACACATCGTTCTGTCGTGTCGCTCTGGGGCCAACGGTCATCTCATGCACGCCGTGGAACATTGTACCAGCCGAGATCTCGTCATTGCATGATGCCAACCAGTAGGTACTTACCTAGGTAGGTAGCTAATGTTGGCAGATTAAGACACTCGATATGCTTGCTGTACCACTTTTGGCAACATCATGGCCATCATTCTGACTTCACAAAGGCAACAGGGCAGAGTTAGACAGCGTTGAACTTCAACTAGTGGTGACGTATCAGTGATTCAGCCTCTGGAGCCCACTGTAAGTAATGGAGGCGGCGCCCGGCTGCGTTGAGCAACTGTAGCGCCCTGTATTTTCAGGCCCTTCCCGTTTCTCAGCGTCTCCCTCCACTTCTGCCTTCTGCGGCTTCACGCTGCCTTCGCTTGCTAATCAAAACCAAACCCAGGAAAGGTTGAACCCCCCTCTCCGTCCCTTTGCCCTCTGCATACCTAGGGATCTAGTCATCTTCACTGGCCGTTTACAATTCTGTGCCTATTCCTTTCTGCTTCTTTCCACCTCGAATCGCCCAAATTCTACTCCTTCTTCTCTTGTTCCTCGCTTCCCACTTCTAGAATCGCTGCAACCCCTCCATCAGCCCAGGCCCGTTTGCCGTACGTCATCCCGTCGACTCCGGCTGCGTGCAAGGCTCTCCTCTCCTCTCTCAACTCAGTAACCCCGCCACAAATCTGTTCAGGCCCAGGCCCAGCCCGCCTGCTCCAAAACCACGCAAAAAGCTCGATCAAACCTCTGGTTTCGATCGCATCTCCCTTCGCCGTCAGCCTCATTTTCGCCCGCTTTTGCTTCCGCGCTGCGCCAAATAGCCTCGTCTTGAGCAGCCTGGCCAAAAGTACAAGAATCACGACTTGTCATAATTCTTAGCGCGCGTGTGCCACCAGACAGAACAGACACCTTCTGTCTGTGATGCCGCCATGTCGACCATCCAGCAGTTAAAGAATTTCATTCGGCACGGTAAGAGTTCTTTTCCGCACGCTCTGCCGCAATAACCCTGCAGCGTACCAAGACTCGCGCTCTACTGGCCGGTCATCGTGGTGCACACTTGTCGACTTGGACTAATCCGCCTTTTGTTACTCTAGGCAAGCAAGCCCGTGCCCCCAACGAAGAACCTGCCCGAAAGGCCGAATCCTCACCCAAGCAGTCCAACACAAACGACAAAAGAAAGTCGGCCTCGGATCCTACTAACGTCCAATCTGCTGCCCCCGACTTGCACTCTGAACCTGCCGAGAAGGTGGCTCGCAAGGAAGATTCCGCTAGCATCCGTGCAAGTCGACGCGTTGACGACGCCAACCTTGCCAAGCTTGTCGCCGAAGAAAATGCCTCCAAGACAAAATTTCCCCAATACCCCGGACTCGAGCGATGGGTCCTTCTCGAGAAGATGGGCGACGGCGCCTTCAGCAACGTCTATCGCGCTCGAGATACCGAGGGACAATATGGCGAAGTCGCCATCAAAGTTGTACGCAAGTATGAAATGAATAACATGCAGGTAAGTTCTTTCAGGCGGTGTGCTTCATGAACGCCGCCCTGTACTTTTCCTCTTGTGCTTCTCTTGCGCATCTCACTACACATGCTCCCCCATTATCCATGAACTTTACCAACTGGGGGGGCCTCGTGCTCTTGATAGGGAAACGATCGGATGCATCCAGAATTCAAAAGAGCGCCCAAGGCTGCCGAGGTGCGACACCACCCTCCCTACCCGGTGCCTCCAATTTTCGTCATACCCCTTTGATTTCCTGTCTTGAGCTTCCCTACCAGTGTCTACGGCTTCACATTGAATCTAGCCTACACGAATTAACTATCAAACTCATGCTAATTATGCCCGTTCTCTAGCGCGCCAACATCTTGAAAGAAGTCCAAATCATGCGCCAACTCGACCACCCCAACGTCATCAAGCTCATTGACTTCTCTGAATCAAAGCCTTACTACTACATCGTTCTCGAGCTCGCTCCGGGGGGCGAGCTGTTCCATCAGATCGTCCGTCTCACATACTTTAGCGAAGAACTTTCAAGGCATGTTATTGTCAAGGTCGCCAAGGCCCTCGAATACCTACATGAGGAAAAAGGTGTCGTTCATCGGTTAGTCTCCCATGACTTGCGTTGCAGCTGCGCCAATACTTACTTTTCTTAGCGACATTAAACCCGAAAATATTCTCTTCAACCCCATCGATTTTGTTACCGCCAAGGTTCAGAAGCCCAAGCAGCCCGGCGACGAAGAAAAAGCCGATGAAGGTGAATTCATTGTTGGCGTCGGCGCTGGTGGTATTGGTGAAATCAAGATTGCCGACTTTGGCCTGTCCAAAATTGTGTGGGACAAGCAAACCATGACGCCCTGTGGCACCGTTGGTTACACTGCACCCGAAATCGTCAAGGATGAGCGATACTCCAAGTCTGTTGATATGTGGGCGCTCGGTTGCGTCTTGTACACCCTGCTCTGCGGATTCCCCCCTTCTACGACGAGAGCATCGAGGTTCTCACCGAAAAAGTGGCCAAGGGCCAATATACTTTCCTGTCCCCTTGGTGGGACGACATCTCCAAATCGGCCAAGGATCTCATCTCCCATCTCTTGACTGTCGACCCTGAGAAGCGCTACACTATTACTGAGTTCCTTGCCCACCCTTGGGTTCGTGCCAGCGGTCCTACCCCACGCGAGGAGCGCAAACCGGAAGCGCCGCTTCGCGCTTTTGACCCCTCAAAACTGGACGACAGGCGAGTCGATTTCCGCTCGCCTGGTGCCGTTAACCTGAGAGAAGTTTTCGATGTGGGCTACGCTGTTCATCGCCAAGAGGAAGAGGCCAAACGACGTGCACAGATTGGTACCCGTGCTGGCCCAGGGCGCCCCCTAGGCGGCTTGAATGAGGCAGATGAGGAGGAAGAAACGGAGGTTGATAACCAGCCTCAAGGTGGCGCACGTGTCCTGGAGCAAGGCATGCGCAAAGCCAGTATTCAGGACCAAGATACCAACACCCGAGGGAGGGAGCGTGAACGCGCGACCAACGACAAGGGTTACGGGCAGCACTCGTCAGCAGTTACGGCTGCGGCCAGGCAACAGGTCCGCGACCGAAATCGCAACAAGGGGCCGTTTGAGCTCAACCTTGACAACGCGACCCTGCTCGGCAAGAGAGGGAAGAAGATGCCAATTGTTGGCGCATGAAGGAATGACGAATATAAGTGACAAAACCACGAATCAAATAAGACGCAAAACGAGCCACCTTGAGTGGCACTCGTTTTTTATTCGATATACACATACCCAATCACAGCAACGTGTTTTAAGGGGAAACACTGTTCGTATTGTGCCGAGGGTTGCAGCCACGGCCTCGTCACCCAGTACACGCCGAGGGTGATGGTATACTCTTTCAGGAGACCAATAACGGCAGTGGTCTGGACTACACCCATGGCCAGGCGCGATGGAGTATTTGGTTTGTCTCGGTTGGTATTTTATTTATTGTTTTCTAGACGAAGCTCAGAAGCCGGCCCACTCGTTCTGCCATTTTTTTTGTTATGCCTTGTCCGTCTCTTTTTAGTTGGTTCTTGTTGGGCTGGTCCTTTTACTCTTCTCTGCTATCACTGCGAATGTGTTACAATGGAACGAATGGGAGAAACGGCAAGATTGGGGCCAGCTACGTCATATAGGAAACTGCCCTAGGCAGTCGTACTGCAGAAATACATGAAAACACACCTGCAGCCATTACAGCTGATGCATCTTTGACTGTAAATCAGGTGTGGGATGAATGTGACTGGTCTTGGGTATCAACACAAATCGCCCACGGTCATATACCGCATTGCATTGACCGAGGCATGCGCGAAGGACTAAAAAACAATACAACCCTCGTGTAACTGTTTGTGACGGCGTTTTCGGTGTATGTAATGGCGTACGGTACATGCGGCGGCCCGGAGCTGACCCCACCAACCCGACGAACAGCACAGCCCAAGTGAACTTCTTCGCAGCGGCAACCCCTCTTCCCTCACTCTGCAAGCAAAGCTCCTTTCAAAAGTGAGAGAATAGGCTTCTTCTTCTTCTTCCTGCTCCCGACAAACACCGTTGGCATGGCGGAGTCTGCTAGCCCTCGCCTGCAAATGATGCACAAGAGGCTCGAGTCGGCAGTGTCCCAGCTCCTCAACGACGGCCATCCGAGCGAAGACCTGGCTACCGACAGGGCGCGGGTCGAGAAGTACATCGACGCGTACGAGGAGGGGAAGCTGTTCTTTGGCCGCGACACGCTCGCCAGCCTGGACCGGCAGATTGACGCGCTGCGAGCGGCGGGGGCCGTGGGCGACTACAACGGCGATGGCGGCGTCGTCACGCTCAAGGATGTGATAGGGAACGAGAAAAGCTGGTCATTGACCCCTCCGGAATGGTGCAGACATGAATGGTCGGTACGAAACGGCAATGTTGCTACAATAACAACCTTGCCCCCTTCCTACCCTCCCCTACCTGACAATACTGTTCTGTATTCTGACACAAGAGCCACCGTGTAGTAATACATTCTGCATCCGGTACACCCCTCACCAGATCATGACGCACATGTCCACCAAGTACCCCGAGTACCTGCTGGAGGCTGAAACGCCGCTCGCCATCGGGTATCAGCACCCCGTTGAGCCCTCTGGGCGGCCTCTGTGCGACCTCGAGGCTGCCTTTCGCGCGCACCAGGCGTCGTGGCTCGCCAGCGCTACATGCAAGTCTCTCACCACCACCATCGCCGCCTCCGTCGCCACCCTCCGCGCGCCCATCAACAAGATCGTCTGCTTCGGCCTCGGCCGCCTGGACGAGTGGAAACTGACCAACACGCCTGAGGAGCTCGCCAAGTCGGTGGAGCGCGCCGCGTGGCAGCATGCCGCCGCGCTCACCATGGCCGAGACGCTCACGCGCGCACAGGGCGGCGGCGGCGACGAGGTCCGCTGCTACACGCAGGACCCCGTGTACGCCGACGTGGAGAAGCAGCTGCTGGCCGCGCTTGGCTTCGAGATCCTTGAGGACCCCAAGGGCTTCCTGGCGGTCGACGACCGCACACTCGTCTTCAGCGTCACGCCCAACGTGCCCGTTCGCCAGATCGTGGCGGACATGGTCTGGCCCGCGGCCATGGTGTGGGACGTGATTGATAAGGACAGGGACGACGAGGGGGAGCGCGAGTGGCGAACGGACATGAACGAGGGTCTGGAACGGCGCATCTCGTAAGTGTAGCCCGCTGTCACCCCTCTTTGCTCGCTATACAGTTGAGGGGCAGATGTAACACTTGAAACTGACTGGAAGCAATAGGCCGTGGTTCACCGACGAGGGTTCGATCCGCATCACGGAGATGGGACAGCATTATACGTTTTCGCCGTTGCCTGGTGACCTGCACAAGAACAACTTTGGGTCGCTTGGGATTTACTTTAGAAAGTAAACGCAAGAAAGTGCGCGTCCGGGAAAGCGGGGAGGTACTTCCTGTTATGTGCACGCCGGGGAAACGAACAGCAAGAGCACCTCGACTAAGACGCCGGCGAGATTCCCTCAGCGCAAGTTTGCGAATAGTAGCATCGTCCTTTTCATCCAAAACTCATACCCGCCCTCGTTTTCGTCCAACCAACAAGTCTCTAGACCCTTTGCTATAAAGAAGTCCTGCATGTTGCGTGGCAACCCGTCGTCTCGCCTTTCTCGGGCGCTGTCCTGTGGCGTTTCAACAGCAAGGGTCTGCCAGACAAAGTTTGTGGCCGCATCGATCGATCGCGGTTACCCTCGTTGCTTCAAACTTGTCCGCTCCGTCGTCGTTCCACGGCAGGACGGCGGCCACCAATTTCGCTTGAAACTACGCTCCCGATCGGAACGACCAGGTACGTACGATGCACCACATATCTGTGCTGAAAGCACCGTCCACTGCAAGCTGTCTTGAAACTCGGCTGTAAGTTACAGTACCGACATGTTCCGTGACTTTTCATGGGAGGCGAGCGCATGCTGAAGCAGTCTCTGTTCCTGATCGCCATGTGTGATGAGACTCGGTCCCCTTGTGAGCCGCGCATTTTAGACGGACCATTGTGCAATCGCCGAAAACCTCTCCAATTCAACTAATCCTTACAGGAGAAACGCGGTTGGATCCAGCATGAAGATCACGCAAGCGCCTCGCTCCCCCCCAAATGGTGTCATGTTTCAAGTCTCTCAGTCGCCCCGTGATGCATAACAAGTGTAGCAAGTCAGTCCGTCACCCACATGAAGGTTGCATAAAAGCTAAAAGGTAGCCAAGTTGGAATATTAGTACCCCACCTTTGTCTTTTACTTTCCTTATACCAGTCCAACCATGCATCAATCAAGAGTATAGGCACTGGCGAGTACCTTGTTGGATGCTACTTGACAGCTCGGCATTAGGGTGTCAGTCAGCAATCATGCGTGCTTTATACAGCATACTGCCGCATACTTCCGACCTGTTGAGAAAGCTAACCTATCATTCTGTTATTGGCCGTTTCTATAGCGTCCATCCGATTGCAGGAATAACACTGCGCGATCCAAGCCATGAACCGCCGATTTCGCTTTCGAAACACCAAAGCCTTATGCATCCGCCCACCCACCCAGGCCAAAAAGAACCCTATCTGTCACGTGCCACGTGCATAGCACTACTTAGGGCACATAAGCCACCCACTCAGCTAGCAGAATATATTATCATCTTGCCGAATTCCCTTGTGCCTAACACTATCTGCACACGCCAGGCGCCGGCTTTGCACGATCAACCAGTCCGGCCGACATTCCCTAGCACAAGACGAAGCCGACTGGTGAGGTTTCGTCCGACCTAGCTGCGTGCATGATGCCAACGGCGCACCACCACTGATCCCTTGCGAAGGCCCGATTCGCAGGCCAGAAGAGACGAATTTGCACGTGTTTCACAGTGGTATAAGTCGACAAGTCGCAATAAGGACACAACTGGTCCGCTCTTATGCGCAGGACGGACTGTGTCAATATTGAGTAAGCACAAAGAACTACCATAGTCCCATGCTATAAGTGCAGGCGACTGTGTTCTCCAAGCTTTTCCAGATCTGCAAACATGTTTCATCACGCACCTACATCCGGCTTTTTCTCATGCACGTCACCTAGCGCCGCCCTTAACAAGGGCTTCTGGGCTGGTCTAGCATTGAGTGTAGATTGCTCAGTGTTGGCCTCTTTTGCAGCCCACTCGCTTCAATGCCAAGTCGACGGCCAAAGGGGCAAGTTTATGGCCACAACGGGTTTCATCTTTGTGCAGCCTGTAGCCACCGTCGAGGGTTGAAAAGCCAAGGGAACTACTTGACTCTTCTGCGAAATACGAAGAGATAAAAACTTTTACGTTCAAGTGTTATAGAGCACCAACTTATGCATATGCTCTAGTTGGGGTACAGTCCACCGCATATTGCTTCACAGACGAGCACAGGCCAGCATCTCCAGACTCTCCAGAGCTTTTCGAGTAGTCGCTGTCTTGGCGCAACGCAGAGCCTCACTCGAAATCAGTGATTGTGCCAGTTCTTGAACAAGAGGGTTGACCTCTCGTGGAGTCCCCAACCTCGGACCCGATGGAGGTGCATCGCAATGCTCCTCCGTCGCGGGAATCAACGGTACCACGTCTACGACACCGGTTCGCGATATCGAGCAATGACCACAACAAAACAGAACAGCTACGGCCAACTATCGCACCGAATTACTTTGAACAAGAGTTGATCTCGGAGTGACTCAGAGATCGAAGGTTGGTGGTCACCGAGGCGCGCCCTTCTCCACCAGCAGATTCCTCCATAATCAATGCCAGTCTGCAAGACTCAGTCTGGGCTTCGGGAACAGAGTACAGATAGGGAGAATTTCCAACTGCAGGCTACACCTTCATGCCGTTCGTTCTTGTTGTGTGTAGCTTCAATTATAAAAGATCCAACGCTTCCGCGAGAGAGCTTCCAAACACCAGCCTAGACAACACACAGCTTTTTCTGGATCACTCGACTTCTTCAACACTTTCCATTCTCCCGGCCCCAACCTCTGCACTTTGAACAAGATGCCTTCAGTCTCCAAGATCGCCTCTACTACGCTGGCCGTAGCCGCCGCCCTGTTTATGCACGGCGCCTCGGCCGCTGCCCTCCCCGGTCCGCAGCGGGCGACGGCCCCGACCACCGCCAGCGGTTCCGGTGCTCTCCCTCCTGGTGCTGCTGCTGCTGCTGCGGCTGCCGGCCCCAAGATCGAAATTTCTCAGGCGCAGATCAAGCAGCTCCTCGCCACCAGCCCGCCGGCTGATATTGCGCAGAAGCGTGATCTCGGCCGGGAAATCATCGATTGGCTCCTTCTTGATCGTTCCGCCGGTTCTTCTGCCAGTGGCGGTCCTGGCGGCGCCGGTTCTTCTTCCGGTGGCGGTCCTGGCGGCGCCGGTTCTTCTTCCGGTGGCGGTTCTAGCGGCACCGGTTCTATTTCCGGTGCCGTTTCTCCCGAGGCCGAATCTCCTTCTTCTGCCACCGATGCCTCTGCCGGCAATACTGAGACCCTCAAGGACGAAGCCGAAAACAGCGCTTCTTCTCTCAACGAAGGGGCTCCTCCTACTCCGGGGTCCGCCGGCCAGAACAGCATTTTCGACAGACCTAAGACGGAGAAGGGCCAGGAGACTACTACTGGTCTCGAGACTGGCGCCAACAGCAGCAAGTTCGGCGAGGATGAGAAGACCGACACCACTACTCAGCCTACTCGTCCCACTAAGGAGACTGATCAGACTGAACAGGCTACTCCTACTGAGCAGACTTCTACTGCTACTGAGTAGATCTAAGACAAGCAGCTCGCAAGAAAGGAAGCGATAAAGGGGGAAAGGTCTAGACATGAACTCTGGCAATAACCTCTACCGTGTACTCAAGACAGAGGAAAATATTTCAATCTCCAGGTCCATAGCAAAAGCCTTTATTATCTCCAGGAGTCCTCCTCGCACGAGATCATGACGTGAAGTGTGGTTGGTGACGTAAAAGAAAGCAGCCACGGAAACCACAGGCCGCCCAGCAAACGGTATGGGCCGCCGAATCGCAGGCAGGCTCTGCTCTATACAAATGGTCGGCGCAGAGCTTCCAGCTTGATGGGCACCAAGACAGTCTACATCTTGTCCTGACCAAGCTCGTTGCGGTGCGCCTAGGAGCGGAACGACTTCGGGGGACCAGTCGTGGCAGACGCGACAGCACATACAGTAATATCTATAAATTGGCTGGGATTGTGGCCTCTTTCCATTTTCCCTGCCATCTTCACCCTTCCCCCACCCTCCGCCCCCTTTTCTCCTCTCATCTACAAATTCTGATTTTGCGAATTCTAAACTACCCAGCCATACACAGCATCAAACCTGCTACATGTATGAGGCATCAATGCCCTTCAGATGTTTGGCTCTGCCATCTGTCAACCTGGCCCACGTCCACAGCTGTGATGATCGTCGCCATTGACACCCGCTCGACAGCAGAAACAAAAGTCGCAGAATCACATGCGGGCGAGGCCACCCGAGAGCTGGCGGTGCTGGCTGCTTCTCGAACCGAGACGACGCGCGCAGCACGCGACGACTGCAGACACGGCATAGGCAGCGGCGGCTCTTCCAGGTCCGTCCAAGCCCGCAGACGGGGCAAGTGATCCCGCCGCCGCACCAGATCCCCCGGGCGGGGCCGTTTCTGGTCGAGACAGGCGACACACTCGGCGCCTGTTTGCCCGGCGACGCAGGGAAACGCGCCGGCAACGCGGAAGAGCTCGACAGCCTCCGGGTGGCTGCAGATGAACGGCTCCCAGAAGCCTCGTGTCAGGATCCAGGGCGCCTCGTCGAGCGTAAACGCCCCGTCGCTGCTGTCTCCGCCTCCCGCGCCGCGGGGACCCAGCGCGGCGATGCGGCGCAGCATCCACATGATGTCGCCGCCAATGAGGCCCTGGTCGCGGCTGGCCGAGCGGCGCACGGCGGCCGCGTACAGGCGCGCGTACTCGGTGACCATGCTGGCCAGCGGCATGACCTGGGCGCGGTTGTCGTCGTCGCCGGCGCAGGAGGTGCGGATCTTGCTGAACGGCGCGCTGTGCACGGCGCGCACGCGCACGCGGTACAACGACCCGTCCGGCGACTGGTACCCAAACGAGTCGTGCCAGTCGCCGTGGAACCGGTACATGCCATGTGCCTGCGCCCGGTGGTAGATGGTGCGCACGCAGTCCCCTGGGCAGACAAGCGTGATGCGCGAGACGTGCCGGTCGCGTCCGTGGTGGATGAGCGCGGCGCAGCCGACGATTGTGAATGGTACGTCGTGCAGTACTGTGCCGAGGCTTTTGATGATCACGCGGGTAGTTTCAGGCGCAATTGCACCGTTGACGACATACACACAGTCGGACAAGGCGTCCACGGCAGCGGTGCCTTGCTGCTCTTGCTGCAGCCGTTGTAGCCCGTGATACTGTCGCTGCTCCAACTCTGAAAGGACCTGGAGACGTTGGTCTCGTCGATTGTAGCGCGCGATCCGGCAGTGGCCGATTTCATTCCCTTCGTTCTTTGTCTGTTTTGGCTCGTCAGTCTCTCCCCCCAGCACGTGGTGTGGCTGCTGGTCGCTGACCATGACCCCTGTAATGTATAGCAATCTTGACCATCTGCGATAAACTGCAGCGTTCTGGGCCACTGGCTACTTAATAGCCAGCTGTAGAACAAGTAGACGGATGGGTTTGTGGTCGTCAGAGAGTAGACTTGAAGGCGGACTTGTAGAAGCTCCCAGAGTTCTTCGCTACCCAGCTTCGTGTGGTGGGCTTTTTGGCGTTTTGTTTGACCTTGACTGCTATACTGTTGCGGAGGGCATTCCGTCTTGTAATACCACGCCTCATGCGATTATTATCAGTGTCGCACAGGCTGGGTTCGGTGGCTGCAAGTCTTCGGGAATGACTCCATGGCTGCATGCAACAAAGAGACCACGTTCTGCGGCATTCATTGGTGTTGACAACCCTAGAACAGGCTGCAATCAAGTATACTCCGTTAGATAGCCGACAGCTAGTCACCAACGAAGGGTGTGGCTGGCCGATTGCCTTGACAAATGGCGGACAATAAATATCCAGGCAGCAATGTCCAGAAAGTCCTAAGAATAGCTAGGCAACCAGCTCCAACAAACAGTCCATACCATATGTAGATACTTTTTATCAGGCAACAGCACAAGAAAAAAAAAATAGTTTGCTAAGCATCTATATTTTTATTCATCTGTTAGCCCCAGCGCCAAAAATGTATCGTACATGTTCTGGGGGTGTTTCACCCATGACGTCCGTCGCGAATGGTCAAACTACCCTTTATAATTCTTCTTCTTCCTCCTCCTCCTCATCATCATCATCATCAGTGTCCATTTTGTTGGCTTCTGCGGCGCACCGACCTCCAGCCTCGCCCTCTTTCTTGGGCATCGTGGCCTCCTTGTCAATCATTTGTCTCGATACTGAAACAATATTATCTTCAATGAGCTCCTGACCAACATCTTCCAAATGTTTCTTTGGGTCGACCTTGCCAACATAACGGGTCTTGAGCTGCTCCTTGGTCAACTCCGTCTCTTCCTTGACGCGCTTCTCGTAGCCGTCGGCCAAAGACACAAGGCGCTCAAGACGATCCTTGTTCTTCTCCCCTTCGACTTTGAAGTCACTCATCTCTAATGCCTCTGTCCAAACGTGCTTGTGCAGGTTCATCAGCATATTTTCTTCCAGCGCTGTCTTGCGGTAGTTGATGCCGATCGAGTAGTAGTGTCTGTTAAGGCCGTGGATGAGCGCTTGGATCGACGGCTTGTTGAGGTGGCCCAGATTACTCGTGCTTTGACGTGGTTCCTGCCCCATCATAAGGAGCTGCGGGTTGATGAGTCGGAAGGCATCAATCACGACCTTGCCCTTGACGGACTGAATGGGGTCAACGACAACAGCTACAGCGCGCGGGTTGAGCTGTTCAAATGATTGTTGTGTGTTGATATCGACAGAAGAAAGCCAGCAGCCGAAGCCAGGATGCGAGTGATACCATCCTACCACAGATTCAGGGCTGGAATATAAGTTAGCACGTGGATGATGCGTGGACTCTTCGGGACGCTTACCGTCCTGTTTGGCGCAGCATGTCCATCATCTTTGTTTGAAACACGGGATCGACAGCCTCGACACTAACGCCAGTTCCAGATTGGGGCATTGCGAAGACATCCATGACCTTGACTGTAAAGTCGTCGACGAACTCGCCCAGCATCAGGCCCATGACTTCCATGGGCACACCAGCGCGACCATGTCGCAACATCTTCAGAAGTGCCAATGACGAAATGTAAACAGTTTCGGAGTTGTCGATCAGGTTCGTGTTATCCTGTACGTGGCGGCCGTTAGCGACTATAACACAAGCGCACTCATTGGGAGCTGCTGTTTTGCTTACCGATCCATGAGCAGGGCCGCCAAGGCCGATCCCACCGCCGCCCAGCAGATTTCTAAAGCGCTCCATTATGATGTAGATTCAGAGGATGCGGTATGACGAGAAGCGAGTATGGCGAAGCAAGAAATACCAAAACTCTGAGAATTGGGGCGTTGATGCTGTGAAGGCGCTATTGGGGAAGCTTCTCGGGGCGCCTGTTTGACTGACGCCAGCCTGGTAGCCTGCTCACAACGAATAGCTTCGCTACAGAGTCACGTGTAGCTTGGTGCTTTGAAAGGTAGTCACTGGTGCGGATTGGTACGGTTAGTGGCTGGTCGGTGGGGGACGTGGAGGCCGCAACAATATTCATCCGCCTCTACGATCGGGCACACAGGGGTGGTCCTGTCCTGTTCCCACCCACCACGCGCCACCAAGTTCGCTGTCGCATTCTGGCTCTTAACCATTTCCCTTCCTCATCACTACAGGCTTCACCCCGGCCTGCTCAATCGGAGCCCAAGCGACGCGGCCAAACGTCCTCACCAGTCTTAGTCTTCTATTTTATCTCAAGAAGCCAGCCCCTCTAAACGATAGTGCTCATATTTATCCCATAGAGCGCATCGCGATGGGCGACGAAGAGTCCAACATGGCCCAGCTGGGGTCAGTGGCCCTCAACGGCTCATCCCCCAAGAAAGTCGCGTATTTCTATGACTCTGACATCGGTAACTACGCATACGTCACTGGTCATCCTATGAAGCCTCACCGCATCCGCCTGGCTCATAGTCTTATCATGCAATACAATCTATACCAGAAGATGGAGATTTACGTGCGTTAAATCGGCCTCGCTCACCTCTGCAAGACACTAACCCATACGTTCAGCGCGCCAAACCGGCGACTCGAGGCGAAATGACACAGTTTCACACCGACGACTACATCGACTTTCTACAAAAAGTAACTCCTGATAATATGGACAGCTACATGCGCGAGCAAGGCAAATACAACGTCGGTGACGACTGTCCTGTATTTGATGGCCTCTTCGAATTTTGTGGCATCAGTGCAGGAGGCAGTATGGAAGGGGCCGCAAGGCTAAACAGGCAAAAATGCGACATCGCCGTCAACTGGGCTGGAGGTCTTCATCACGCGAAGAAGTGCGAAGCCAGCGGCTTCTGCTACGTCAACGGTACGACCATCGCGTCATGTAGGCTTTCTCCTTTTTCTAACTTTTGTCAAAGATATTGTACTAGGCATTCTCGAGCTTCTGCGATTTATGAAGCGTGTACTTTACATCGATATCGACGTTCACCACGGTGACGGTGTTGAGGAGGCTTTCTACACAACCGATCGAGTCATGACTGTCTCTTTCCACAAGTACGGAGAATATTTCCCCGGCACTGGTGAACTTCGTGACATTGGTGTTGGCCAAGGCAAACACTACTCCGTGAACTACCCCCTGCGCGACGGCATTACGGACGACTCTTACAAGTCCATATTCGAACCGGTTATCGAGAACGTCATGAAATATTATCAACCCGAGGCTGTAGTTTTACAGTGTGGTGGTGATAGTCTTTCTGGTGATCGACTCGGCTGCTTCAACCTCAGTATGGACGGCCACGCTAACTGCGTGAGTTACGTCAAGAGCTTCGGCCTGCCTACTCTTGTCCTTGGTGGCGGTGGTTACACAATGCGAAACGTCGCAAGAACATGGGCTTTTGAGACGGGTGTGCTTGTTGGACAAGACATGGATCGTACTCTCCCCTACAATGAATACTACGAAGTACGTTAACGTCAACACTGTACCTAGGTACCGAGCTAACCAGTCACAGTACTACGCCCCCGACTTTGAGCTAAACGTCAGATCATCGAATATGGAAAATTCCAATAGTCGCGAATACTTGGAGAAAATCACTGCCGCTGTCATTGATAATCTCCGGAGTACGGGCCCGGCGCCCTCGGTACAAATGCAAGATGTGCCACGAAAGCCGTTCGGCGGTATGACTGATGAAGAGGAAGCCGAATTAGATGATCTTGATGAAGATGAAAACAAAGATGTGCGAATGACCGAGCACCGCTGGGACAAGCACATTGAGAATGGTGCCGAGTTCGAGCCTAGCGATGACGACGAGCTAGCACGAGCAAATGGCGCAACGCGTCAATCCAGCAGCAAGCGCAACTTCAACGACTTTAGAAAAGACAGTGAAGATGAAGATGCTGGGAATTCTGCCGAAGCTATCGAGGGCAAGGCTGTGGAGGCTAACGTTGAGGAAAGCCACGATGTCAACGACGACACTATCGAGGATCTCGGGGCTGCTGAGCAAGACAAGGAGCCGGCCGTGGAAAGCCCTGAGGAGCAAGCGGATAAGGAAAACACCGATGGCGATGGTGATATCGGCATGACCGACTCTGTCCCTGCTGAAGAAGACGCGAAGATTAAGGAAGAGGACGTGGAAATAGAGAACGCGCCTGCTCCGGCAGCAACCGCTGCGACTCCAGGAGATGCAGAGAAGCCAGCCGACGATCCGGTCGCGGAAAATGACAAAGCTGACGCGCCCAAGGATGTGGAGAAGTCAACTGGTGAAGAGGACGAATCGGAGAAATCTGAGGCCAAAGAGAAGGAGGAGCAGCCGGCGGATGCGATGGACCTAGACGGGGACAAGGAAAAGGAAGCCGAGTCTAAGGTGGCTGATTCATCCTCCTAGTCTGTGGTCCCGAACCACAGAGAAAGCGGCGCTATTATTCTATACCATTGGGTTCAGTCATTTGATAGGTAGCCTTGGATGGCTACATGAGCCAGTCTAGCTGACTGGAGCCTACCAATGGCGGCGTTCGGCGTGTTCGGCACACCAGCGTACGGGACAGATGCGATGGCTGGTTCCTGTATTATAACAAGTATGTTGCGATTGAAAGGAATTGAATTACGTATTAGTTTATCTTGATCTGGATTTGAAGCATGCTCGATCGATTATCGGCCCACTGAATAATGAGTTGTTGGTTAGCAACGAAGCTTTGATGACTGGTGGAGGTGACGCATGTTTTACAGAAGCTCCAAGTGGGGTTCGTCAAGAAAAAAGGCTGCGACTCCATCTTGCATCGTCCCCAAACTTTTTTCTTTGCCACGACTACTGTGCTCTTGCGCCTTTCAATCAACGGGCAATTGTTTCTGCTCCTTCAAATTCCACGGCAATGTCGAGGTAGCACCTGGAATATATTGAGTCTCTTGCACCCACTGTGCGGACTTTCCGCTTCTCAGCAACATCCGACCTTGAGTCATCCACAACGGCGGACGCCCCCCACCATCCCACCAACCTTCCGTCATGTCGCGGACGGCGGGAGGCGACGCCGATACGGCAAAGCTGGCTGTTTGGAAGGAGGCGCTCTACGAGAGATGCAAAGAGGCCGCGCCCGAGAATGACATGTTCTCGCAAGATGACCTTTTGCGGCTCGATGTCATCCCAAACAAAGATCTGATGCTGCTGGCGCGTGTTGTCCAGTCTCTCAGCGATGATAAGCTGTTCATCACCATGCGCGAGGCCTCGGGCCAAGTGCTCTGGAAGTGGCGAGACGCCCAGGAAGCACACAAGTATGTCGAGGCATATAGTCTTCTGGTCGCAGGAGCGGCGTTGTTCGCGCCTGAAACTGACGAAATCTACATAGGTACAAGCAGTGTACGACCGACGAACAAGTCTTGGTTTATTCCCTTGTCGACGATGCGGGCGGCGATGGGATATGGTCGCAAACGCTGCAAAAGCGCCTCAACATGCACGACTCGGTCCTCAAGAATGCGCTGAAGCAATTACAGACGAAGGGGCTGATTGCGCCTTTCAAGAACGTCGAGCACCCCAATAAGAAGATGTACATCAAAGCCTCGATCCGGCCCAGTGACCGGGCGACAGGTGGGCCATGGTACACTGATCAGAACTTTGACGATGCCTTCATCGAGGAGCTTCAGCGTGTCGTCTTCGACTTTATCAAGCGCCAGAGCAGCTACCATAGCACACACGCCGGCTCCGGCGCGGCCAGGTCGCAGGCACCGAAGAAAGGCGTGATTCAGGGTGGTACAGAAAGGGGCAAGAAGCGCGATGCCAGTGAGATGAGCAAGCCGCCATCCAAGGTGTCCAAGACGACCCCTGGCACCACGCCCAGGAAGGAGGCGGCGCTGCTACCGCTGCCCGCGGGCTACACCGGCTACCCCTCCGTGCGAGACATTGCGCGGTTGCTTTCGAGCAGCGGAATCACCAATAATACTATCCTGTCGGAGGACGATGTCCGAAAACTGATTGACGTCCTGGTCTGGGATAACCTCATCGAGCCGGTACGCGTCGCAGGAAAAATCGGCTATCGAGTGGCTAGAGTCGTTAAGCAATCGACCGAACCCTGGGCAGGCCGTGAGGAGCCCGGAGGGCCGGAGCCATACACAAGTCCCTACACAGAAGCGCCGTGTGGTCGGTGTCCCGTTTTTGACCTATGTGAGGATGGTGGCCCTGTCGGGCCGAGCAACTGCGAGTACTTCAAGACCTGGCTTAGTAGAAATGACCCCTGAGAAGAGTCGAGCCGTGCCAGTTCTCAAACTATAATACCCCGAACCAAACTATACGACTCATTCTGTGTTCTCCCAAGCAAGGCGTGGAAGCGGGTCGATTCGACGCAGACAACAAATGCGCCAAACTCCAGAGAGCCGCATGTCGGCGACAAGTTGTTACGGCGTCCTCTAACAACCCGCGATACAACATAGGTACACATCAGCCCATCTCTGCCCATCACCTTCTCGGGTTTAGCTTTATACCTAGGTGTCCAGGTACTTGCTTGTCTCAGTAGCCATCACCTACCTACCTATCAAAGTACTACATGTATGTAGGTTAGTACTCACCAGGAATAGGTAGCTACGAGAAAGGCTTACATTAGAATATCTCTAGATATATTAAGCTTTCAATATAACTTGTACTTCTTTTGTTCATTTTCCTCGTAGCTCTTGTATCTTAATTTGTTCTTTTTTTCCTGCGTTTCACTTTTTTGTCTATGCCAAACCCTTCAATACATGGTTGAGACTATACTTTATGTAGCTATGTGACATTTATGCAGGTATGCTTCACTACCTAAGATCAATTATTAATAAGACCACCGTGAAAGTCCAAACCCAAGAACCGGTTTGAGTCCTAACAGGGCTGCTCTGTTGTGCATATTCGAGGCGCATGTCAACCACACAGTCTTGAATGCAATGCATGTCTGGCAGTGCAAACGGGGCTTGCATTGGTGCCTAGTAGTGGCGGGGATGGGACGGCTTTTGCGGGCAAAAAGCTTAGGCGTGGATCAGAACGCAAGGCGAAATCCTGACTAGAAAGAAAAAGTTCAAGTTGTATATAGATGGCAGGATACTGATCATGTTGACATCTCAGAAGGTTGGCATATATTATGGATAGCTAAATTCGTTGCGCAATCCATGACATAATTTTCAAGCTCCAGACATCTCCCGTTTCAGTTGCAGTCTCGCGATTTTTTGTTCGTCCAGATCCATTACTTTAGAGATGTTTAGAGATACACAGGCTTCAAAACCGTCATTTACAGAGTACCAGAGTCGACGATGCTAGGGCGCTTGCTGTACTTGACAGTACCGGAGCCGGAGCCGGTGGCCTCGAGGGCCTTGACGACGTCCAGGGACTGCTTGTCAGCAACCTCGCCGAAGACGACGTGGCGGCCGTTGAGCCAAGAGGTGACGACGGTGGTGACGAAGAACTGAGAGCCGTTGCTGCGCCACAGGGTTAGTTACGTACTGAGGGTTTAAACGGCAGCAACAGGAATGCTTACGTGTTGGGACCAGAGTTGGCCATGGACAACAGACCGGGCTTGTCGTGCTTCAGCTGAAAGTTCTCATCAGCGAACTTCTCGCCGTAGATGGACTTGCCACCAGTGCCCTATAAGATATAGTATGAGTATGACGAAGTATGTGTTTGTAGCTCGGGTAGATGGGGTCGTACGTTGCCACGGGTGAAGTCACCGCCCTGGAGCATGAACTCAGGGATGATGCGGTGGAAGGCAGAGCCCTTGTAGCCGAAGCCCTTCTCGCCAGTGCAGAGAGCACGGAAGTTCGCGGCGGTCTTGGGGACAACATCGTCAAAGAGATTGAAGTTGATGCGGCCCTTCTGGACTGTTATAAAAATTTGATCAGCGGGGGCTGTGCATTCGACCGCGCGGCAGGAAGCAAGTCGCATCGGGTAGGGCTCAGCGATCCGATGCCGTGCTGAGCTTTCAAGGTTGCCGAGTGGACAACAATGTATGCGAATTGACCTGAAAACTGGGAATATACTAACGCTGAACGTTCGAGGTAGGCTTGCCGTTCTCGAAGACGGGGCCCTCCCACTCAACGTCGAAGAAACTGCAAGAGCCTTGTCAGTTGGAGAAGTCCATCAAGCAAGCAGGAAGGGGAAGGAGCGGGGCATGACTTACACCTTGGAGTTACCCATTGCTGTGGTTGCTGAAAAGAAACGAGCTTTGTGGAAAGTTTTGGAGCAAGAGACAAGCTGTGGAAGAGGGAAAGGTCTGGAAGCAGCAGAGCAAAACGTCCGGCGGGGTAGTAGGAGGGGTTGGAAAAGAGCTGATCTCATTTTGGCTGTCCTGGAGGGGTCAACTAGTTAGCGGGATATTCCGGCCAATTAGCGCAACGGGTAGGTGAAGAGGGGTGGGACCATTCGGAGGAGGCCAGTCACGTGCACTCCCGTCATGGAGCCCACGGAGAGCTTGAGACGGGCGCGCCAGCTCCAGCAAGAGCAGCGCTAGTCTCCCGTGCCTGGTGTCAACGCTCTCACCAACCTCGACAGGCTGGCTTGCGCTTCGCCTTAGTCGTCTTGGTCGGATTATTGAGACAATGCTCCTGGATGCCAAACAAGCCATTGTGTCGCCATACACTCTCAAAGCCCCGAGACCGCCGCCATCTTCGTCACGTCTGCAGCAGCTCGTTCCTTGCTCAGCGTGCCAGATTTTGCGCATTGGTCCAGAGCCCACTGTCGTGCAGGAGGCGGAGGCGGCGACAGGCGCTCATTGGAGGGCTCCAGAGCCGCCTGGCAAACTAACTGGTGGTTGCCATGGCGTGCCGACCTATCAACCAGGACTGCTGTCTTGCATGGCATCACAGCCAGCTTTGCTTGGAGCAGCCTGGTGCTGTTCGCTGCGCCAGCGGCGCAGTCCAAGTGCAGCGCATGCCGATTGATTCCGATGCGACGCAGCTCACTGCCAGGCTCGGATGAGAGGACGGCTCCGGATCGCAACAGAAGGAGAGTGCCAGGCGTAGTCGTTCGGCCATCATCCTCACATCTGTCCTTCTGCTGCCAAAATTCGAAAATGCTTGATCAACCGAAATGAAATGCCACGTACCGGTGAAGCTGGGTCGAAGATTAATGTACAAGGTGTGATGGTGATAACAGAAGGCAGAGGTCAGGGGAAGCTTTGCTCACCGGAGAAAAAGTTTTGGTGAGGACGGCTCAGCACCAGAGCGATTCCGGCCTAAAGTTTCAGGTACCTTCTGCCACCCAAACTTGGACTGCCAAAAGCAACACGATCCAACAGTACCTACGTCCGCGCAAAATAGTAGGGACAATTGTGTAAATATAGAGGGAGAATAATTTATATCTTGATTCTCGACGACTTACATTGCTTCTGATGCTCCAATTCTCTTGCAATCACTTTACAGACGGCCGTGAAAGCTTGTACATCACGTGACTTACCGTCGTAGTTGAGGCACGTCACCGTGTCCAGATCATGGAGACTACGGCCTCCTGGAGCCAAAGACAAGGAACATACCTAGGCTGAAATCGCTGGCCATTGGGGAGACCTGAAGCTCCCGCCAACCCAACCGACCATCTCGATCGAACGGCCGCAGTTACAAGAGCTTCAAGATGGATTTCAACGACCTGAAGTCCACTGTGTCGAACCTGACCTTGTATGATCTCAAGGCCGGGTTCCGTAAGGCGCAGAACGGTATGTGGTAGAGCGAGACACATACGAAGTGCCGCTACTAACGATATATTAGCTGTCATGAACTATACGGAAATGGAGTCAAAGGTTTGCAATTCGACAACCAATTAACAGGCCATCACTGATACCCCCCAAAGGTCCGCGAGGCAACTAATAACGAGCCGTGGGGTGCATCGTCGACAACGATGCAAGAAATCGCCCAGGCTACATTCAGCTAGTAAGTGGCGCAGATGTGACTCGCGATGACATTTATCTGACTGTGAACAGCCAAACGCTCAACGAGATTATGCCCATGATATACCGCCGTTTCACCGAAAAGTCCGCCGAGGAGTGGCGCCAGATTTACAAGGCGTTGCAGCTGCTGGAATTCCTGATCAAGCATGGTTCTGAACGAGTAATAGATGACGCCCGAGGACACATTACACTGCTCAAGATGCTGCGCCAGTTTCACTTCATCGACCAAAACGGCAAAGATCAGGGTCTCAATGTGCGAAACCGAGCCAAGGAACTGGCCGAACTCCTAGGCGATGTCGAACGTATCAGAACTGAACGTAAGAAGGCTCGTGCGACCAAGAGCAAATATACCGGTGTCGAAGGCGGTACATCGTTTGGGGGGGGCTTCTCTGGTGGCAGCCGCTACGGCGGTTTCGGGCCCGAGTCCTCGGGAGGCGGCCCTGCTTCCTATGGTGGATACTCTGGCGGTGTTTATGGCGACGGTGGTGGATTTGGTGGTCAATCCAGTGATTACCAAGAAGGTGGCGGTGCCGGCCGATCAGACCGATTCGAAGAATACGACGAATTTGATGAGGGCGACAAGACAGCGGCCAGCTCGACCCGAAGAGCCAGAACCGAACGCGCGGGAACGAAGAAGACCACCCCCGAGCCCGCCAAGCCCAAGGAGCCCGAGGTCGATCTGTTTTCTTTCGACGAGCCGGTCACAACCTCAAGCGTATCCGCCCCCGCCGCTCGCTCGGGACTTGCTGATCTGGCTGGCCCCAGCAGCACCGCAGCTGCCGCGAACGACGACGACGATGAGTTTGACGACTTTCAATCGGCTACGCCTTCGGCACAATCGGCCACCGTACCATCTGCTTTTGGCAAGCCACTGGCCGCTTCCGCCGCAGCGGCACCCACACAGACTGCCTCCTCCCAAGCATTCGCCGCTCTTACACCGCTGGCGAGCACATCAGCCACCCCTAGCATCAACTACAATGCCTTCGCTGCACCTGCACAGGCCGCTAAGCCCGCCGCCTCAGGACCGAACTACTTTGGCGGCGTCCAGTCCCTCGGCAGTACCCAAGTCAGCACGCCTAACACCACAACGAACTCTGGGCCTTCGACCATGGCCAACACGCGACCGGTCCAGGGAAACAGCAAGCCGGCGACCCCTGCGGGCGGTGGCGATGCCTTTGGCGCTCTGTGGGGCAAAGCTAGCGCCGGCATCAAGAAAACGAGCACGTCGACGTCTGGCCCTGCTCTGGGCCAATTGGCCAAGGAGAAGAGTAATGCCAACATTTGGGGCTCCTCGGCGTCCAACTCTCAGACGCTGGGTGGCTCCGGAGCTGGAGCTGGCGGTGGCTCAGCTTCCGGCGATCTGCTCGGCTAGGAAAAGAACTCTATAAGCCGTTCCTATAATACACAAGCAGAACGAGACGATTTGAACCAATGGAAGGAGTGGGGATGTCGTTTCATTGGGACCGAAGTAGGGTAACACATATTCGGTTAAGGATTTCGATCGTCGAGAGTTTAGGCAAGCATTATCCTTTTTCATCTTCCAAAATAGGTTGTTTTAGATTGGCGTACCTGGTGCTACTATAATTAACCCGTCATCCGATGGACAATCTCTCTCTACCTGCCGATGCATCCTACCCATCCGGCATCTAAAGAAGATGCCCCGTAGGCTGTTAAGCCAAGCAGAGTCTAGACCTGCCGATCCGTACGCGAGGGAATCTAGATCCGGGTGCACGCAGGCGCGGTGGTCCTCCCTGTCATCTCGCCCACTATATGCCGCCACCGCCCCGTCCAACCGCTAACAAAGGTGACGTGCAGTCGTACATGCAATAGCTATGGCCCTATTTCCCCATCCTTGCACACGTTGAAAATAGAACCAGTTCCACGGTGTATCAACAAGCTTGCCACCCCGTTGTGGCGGCATCCCGGTTCGCCGGCGGGCGCTTAAGCGGTGGTGGGCCGTCATTGGCTGGCGTCGGCGCCTGGCGATACTGGTGGGTTGTCTCACGTTGCGAGCGACGCCGACCACTCGGCGCGATTGCCACGGTGCATCAAAGCACGGACATAAAACAATCTGCCGTGTTTTTTTGGCGTGGCATATTCATGATTCGAGGTTTTTTTTGGTGGAATGTCTCGAGCATTGCATGCTGGTGACACGACGTGACTGGGTACCTGGTGGGCTATGCTGGCTTGGGTTTGTAGGAGTGGCCAAGAGTGTCAATGATGTATAAAGATGGCAACCCTCCCTTCTCTGGTGCTGGCTTTGGTAGACAATCTTCAATCCAAACATCAAACAGTTTCTTTCTTTCCCTTTTACTTCCTTTCCTTGTGTCATTTCCTTTTTTTTTCCTTTGTTGCTGTCTTGTCTGCATCATCGCCATTCACCACACTTACACTTACACCAACTCGATCCCTTCCGGACACTGCAAACGCTTACCCAGAGACTGGCTTCTCTCTTATTCAGTTGCCAATTATTCGATCTGTTCTTTTCTACGTTTTTTTTAAATCGTTGGGCCGAGAAAGCCTCCAGTTTCAGCCATCATTCTTTGCCCGATCAACCCGCCTGCTCAGATCCCATTCTACGCCAAGCACTTCCCGCTTCGCACCGTCAATTGCACCTCCCGCCCCCGGCTCTCGCTCCGCACGCCAACCTCCGTTGCCAGAATGGCGGCGCCTCCAGCTCTCGGAGCCTTGGGCCTTACCTTTACCGTGATGCGCGCCATGCAGTTCATCGGCCTTGTTGTCATCATCGGTCTCAGTTCGAGCTTCGTGGCTGACATCGTGGCGTCGTCTTACACGGCGCCTCCGGCCCTCATCGGCACCCTCGTCATTGTAAGTGGACGAACGCAGCTATCAGTACATCAATACAAGTGTGCAGACTAATGAAAAAAAAAACAGGCTTGTCTCGCTGAAGTCTACGTCATCATCAGCTACATTCTCTACTGGGACTCGCTACTCCCGCTGCTCATCGCGACGGCCGCCGATTTTCTCTGCCTCATCGCCGGCATTGTCGTCGCGTGCGTCGTGGGCAAGCCCGTCAGCTACCTCAACTGCAACGCGTTCCCTGCCAAGGGAGGCAACACTGCCGTCTTTCTCAACTCCCTGTTCGCCAACGTCAAGCGGCTGGAGAGCAACACGTTTGAGTGGGTTGGCCCCAGCAAGCCGTCGTGCCTGCAGCTCAAGTCCATCTGGGGCATCAGCATCGCGCTGTGCGCGCTCTTCACGCTGTCGACGGCGACGACGGCGTGCTTGTGGCGCCGTCTCAAAGGCGGCGCCCGCCCCCCGCCCAAGGATCTCGAGTGAAGGTGCGGCCGCGGGAGGCCGGCGGCGAGGGGGGTGATCAGGGAGGCGGACGGAGCACGGGCAGCACCGCGAGGTGCGACCGCGGCGCGACCGCGGGCCAGGAGCCTGGGGACGACGGTCATGGCACAAGCGTACAAGTTTGACGACAGCGACTCGGCGGACGACCTGGGCATCATAAATGTGCCCAGGCCGCGCGCGCATCGCGAGCCGTGCCTCCCCTCTGATCACCACCGCCCTCTCGTCCCGCCGCCTCCCACGGCTGCAGTGGGGGTCAAGAGAATGAAGTCGTCGACGGCGAGCCGGGGCTTTCGGCCAAGGCCCGAGCCTCTCGCCTCGCTTCCACCGGTACCTCCCGTACCTGTGCTAGCGACGACGACCGGTTCTATTCCCGGGACGCCAAAGATGCCTGATACACCTGCGCGCTCGAGGTCGCGGCGCAAGACGCTGCTGGAACGTATCGACGGATGGTGGGATTTGGGGCTTCTGGACAAGAGACAGACGCTGTCTAGAAGCCAGAGCAAAGGGGTGACGGAGCAAAAATTGTAAGAAATGAAACAACCCGGGCCAGCAGCGCAAAGGGGGTCGACGAATCCTTGACGGGGTTGGCAGCGTTGGAGGGAAGACATGGTTACTTGCGACGTGGGTTATGGATTGGTTGTTAATGTTTGAACTGTTGGAATTTTATGTACTTTGCTATCCAAGGGGCTGGATCCTAATCAAAGTTTGCCTGGTGTTTTATTAGCTAGGTAGTCTCAATGATCGACAGCCCAGCCGAATATAAAGAGAATGTTGACCTCAATGTAACCTCGCTGCGTCGCCCCTATAACTGACTCCTACCTAACAGGTTAGTACCTTAGTAGGTAGTTGTAGCCCGTCAGCACTGGCGGCGATACTTTTGGGCGCAAGGTGAGGAAATTATGGTACATTTCAGGGCTTACCGTGTTACTCAATAATGATGTAGTGAAACTCATTTGCAAGTCCGAACTTATTACTAAACTACCAAGGTATTTATAACCTACCACTGGAGTCGAGATTGCATCTCACCAGTGTGCACCAACTCCACTGAGGCGTCAGCCTGGCGCTGCACTACCTACCTAATAATAGTACACTACAACTTGTTGCGCTGCCCCCAGCGTTCTTCTCAACGAAGCAATCTCGCCATCAGCCTGCCCTTTGCTGTCAGAGTCGAGCTATTCCCTGGCCATTGCCCACTTACCGTCCACTGCATCTGTCGCCCACAGTCCGGGACTCGCTCAATCCCAAGCAACCTGCCGCCTCCGTTTGCCCCAGCAGCTCATCTCCATCCATCCTGCTCCCTAGGCAGTCATCGCCAGCCATGTCCGCCCTCCGCAGCCTGCTCTCGGGCAAGGTGCGCTCGCAGTCGGGCTGCTACACCTGCCGGCTGCGCCGCAAGAAGTGCGACGAGAAACGCCCCGTGTGTGACGGGTGCACGGCGCTCGAAATCGACTGTGTCTACGGCGAGCACAAGCCCGACTGGATGGACGGCGGGCCCAAGCAGCGCGCCATGGCCGAGATGATCAAGTTGCAGGTCAAGAAACAGGCCAGCCAGCGGCGTGACCGCAAATACCTCGAGATGCTCGAGGACGGCACCCGCTTGGTCAGCCTCAACGACAGGCCGGCGGCCGCCAATGGCCACGCGAGCGACAACACGGCCGTCTTCTCGTCCGAGAGCGACCGCGCCTTTGACACGTCGCCGAGCACCCTCAGCGGCACGACCGGCCCGTCACCCGACATGCCCTGGCACCAGCACCAGCTCGTGGGCCCCGGCGGCGGCGGCGCGCAAAAGAGTGACTACGACTCGGCCCAGGACACGCATCTGATTATGAACTACGTCGACTTTGTGTTCCCCTACTTGTTCCCCTACTACCAGCCGCCCATCCTCGTCGGCGGCCGCGGCTGGGTGCTCGATGCTTTCCTGCACGGCAACCGTAGTATCTACTACACGGCCATTGCGCTATCATCGTGGTTCTTTGGCGTGCTCCTCGCCGGCGGCCTGGAGCAGCACGCGGCCTGCACCGACAGGATGGCGCGGCAGCTGCACCACCAGATGGGCATCAGCCTCAAGGAGCTGCAAAAGAACATTTATGCCATTAGCGCGAAAAAGGACAAGTTTGACATTCGCGAGGGCCTCGGCGTGATGCAGAGCGTGATCCAGATGCTCATCTTTGAGGTGACGGCGGCCAACAAGGACAACTGGAAGCTGCACCTCGACGCCGCCATTGCGCTCTTCGTCAAGATCCTGCCGGAGCCGGCGCAGTGGACGGAACGGGTGCACGAGCTATGGACGCCCAAGTGGCCGCCGCCCGAGATGGGGATCCGGCGGCCGTGGAGCACCGACCAGGCGGCGCTGCGCTTCTTCGGCGCAAACCTGCTCTACATTGACATCATGTCGAGCATCACACTGGCGCGGCGGCCGCGGCTGGCAGCCTACCACGAGCCCGTCATCCCGCGCTGCCCCGCGAACGCGCTCTCGACGGAGCCGCAGTCGGCGGGTCCGCTGCGGATGGAGGAGTTCTTCGGGCTGCAGAACTGGGTGGTGCAGACGCTGGGCGACATTGCGGCGCTGGACGCGCACAAGAAGGAGCAGCAGCGGGCGGGCACGCTGTGCGCGGCGGATCTCGCGGAGCGCGGCGAGGCGCTGTTTCAGGCGGTCAAGGCCGGCATCCGGCACCTGGACAACCAGGACTACTCGCAGACGCCGGTGGAGCGGGCCGTGTCGGTGATCCGCGACCCGCTGGCGAGCCTGAACCCCGGGTCGGCGGACTACTCGCAGACGCCGGTGGAGCGGGCCGTGTCGGTGATCCGCGACCCGCTGGCGAGCCTGAACCCCGGGTCGGCGGCGGCGCGGCTCAACCACATCATCCAGAACCTCCTCTGGCTGCACGCCGCCTTCCTGTACCTGAGCACGGTCGTGTCGGGATGGCGGCCGGACGACGCCGAGGTGCGGCGGTCGGTCGACAAGGTGACGGAGCTGCTGGCGGACATGCCCGACGGCAAGACGATGCAGTCCATGGCGTTTCCGTTTTGCGTGGCCGGCTGCCTGGCGCCGCCCGCGTACCGGGACAGGTACAGGGGCCTCGTCAGCCGGCTGGGGCCTCTGCAGGTCTTTGGCACGATGCAGGAGGCCAAGAACATCATGGAGTTTGCGTGGGCCAACGGCGCCGCGGCGGACGAGAGCTGGGATGTTGCCAAGTGCTTGAACAGTCTTGGCCACGGTGCGCTGTTGATTTGAGAAACGGAGGGGAGTTGTGCAGTGAGAAGTTGACTAGGTTATTCACGAGCAACGGTCCTTTGTTCAAGAGTGGAGTTGAGGCGTGAGTATTGTTTGTGTTTTCTTGGAGGCTGAAAGCAGCCGAGAACCCTTGTGGGTAGCACATCGTCAGGGGTGGATAGCCAAGCTCTGCTATTACACGTGTAAATTCTGTCAAGTTTCTGTCCAATTTTCTTCTACAAATTACCATCAGCATTATGGCGAGAGACACGCGATAAAAGGGCGTTATCTCATGACATGAACGCGACGCCCGTAGAGGTGAAAGCCCCAAAGTTAATCGGGGTTCCGAGATCCGCTGCAGTTTTGACGGCGGGCGCTATGGATGCTGCATCGTGGCCTCACGAGGTGAGCTAGTTTCTTTTTTTAAGGTTTTACTGGCGCGGCAATATGAGACTCATCAGATCGCTGATGTCTTGTTCCCTGCTTGGTTCATGCGACGATCCGTGTTACAGACGGTGAACAGAGTTTGTCGAGTAAATGTTTAGCTGGTCTGAGGCGTGGGCTGTTTCGTCCCTTATTAGTTAATTATTGATTATCAGAGGCAGATTATCTGCTCGTGTCTGTGCATGAGGCTGCAAGCGCATCTGCCCGGCTGCTAGTTCGCCAGCCACCATCCGCACCCGACCGCCAGACCTTGGTCCCCAATTTAGCGCAAAAAGGGAAGGGAAAAAACCTGCTCAATCCTGCGCTCATGATGCGTGTCAGACCCCGTCCATACCTTCTTTGCCCAGGCTCGTCAGAAGGTATGGACGGGTCTCCATATGCCATATTGCCCAGGGCCATGCTGTATGATGCAGGGCGCACACGCCAACGGCTGGACCACTCGCCGTTGAGGGGTGGCCACGATTTAATTAAGATAATAATAAATAACGAAAAAAGAAAAAATCACACAACACGCGAGCAACTTGCGCTGGAATTGAGGGGTTGTGAGCAGGTTTCTGAGGCAAGGCTAAGATATCTGTGCTATTGTCCGGACCGGTTGCCAGCTTCCGAGATGCTACAAGGTCATACATAAAGCTTGTCTCCTTCCCACCTTGGCTGCTTCCACACACCTTTTTTTTTTCCAGTTGGGTTATCCTTTGTACGAATTGAAAAATTCGTAGCCCGAGCTTCATTTTTTCTTCGCTCTTCTTACTGTTTGTTGCTCTTGTTGCGCCCATCCTTCTCTCACTGACTCGCTCTTTCTGAGTGAAGCCATCACCAAGCTACCAACACAACTACCGATATTCCGCTTTCCTCTACCTCACCTACGTCAAGATGGACCACGGCGACATGGACCACGGAGGCATGGATATGGGTGGCGGCGCCGGCGGGCGACAGTGCAAAATTGACGTAAGCCCGTTGATTGCGTGCCGGACACACAAAGTCTACCAGCCACACGTCTACAGCCAGCGACTAATCACTGTCCCTTCCCCCCTCTAGATGCTCTTCAACATCAACACCATTGGCAGCTGCTTCTTCACCAGCAAGTTCTACATTGAGACCAGCGGCCAGTTCGCCGGTGCCTGCATCCTCGCGCTCCTCCTCGTCGTCGCCCTCGAGGGCCTCCGCCGCGCCACCCGCGAGTTTGACCGCTTCATCGCCCGCCAGCACGTCGCGCGCCACCGCCCTGAGAGCGCCGCCGCCGGCCCGCGCAAGGACAGCTCCGAGGGCATCGTCGCCGCCGCGTGTGCCCCGATCCCTCCCCTGCGCCCGACCCTCGTCCAGCAGGCCATCCGCGCCTCGCTGCATATGCTCCAGTTCGGAACCGCCTACATTGTCATGCTGTAAGTCGAAAGAGGAACAACCCTCGCCGCCTTGGCCACTGGCTCAGGTGCGAAATGCGGGAGTGCAATATCGGATTTGCTAACCAAAGGCGCGCACGGGCAGGTTCGCCATGTACTACAATGGCTATATTCTGCTGAGCATTGTGGTCGGCGCCTTCATTGGCTTCATGGCCTTCAACTGGGAGCCTATTGCTGTCTCGTATGTACCTCTTTCCACCAGGACGTGTACGACGCGCGTGTGTTAACCTTGTGATCATAGGGATGAGCCCAACGGCACCAAGGAAGCCACTGTTTGCTGCGGTTAGCCAAAACGAAGAAGCAGAAGCCGACGGGGGAAGACCTTGGATCCGGTGTATTGTTTTAATGGCTTAATGGATCAATACTCATTTAGCGACTCTTGTTTAGCATTACAGTTTAGGTATTATACATTCATCACAATTTATCATTTTCACAAGATCCATTTCATACTAGAGAACGCGTGTCCCCCGTTACAGCTCATCAGCATGAGCAGTAGGGTTCTCGCCAGCCGAAGTCGCCAGACTCGCGGTGTGTCTTTGCGTCGGTTTCCTCTTTTTAGCGTGCAACTCGAGCGCGAGTAACTCTCTTGGCCGACCATCCGAGCCGCAGCTGGCAAAGCGCCACCAGCTGCCATGGTACGTGCCAACGACGTTGGTCAAGATCCAGCGGATGGGGCCGGGCATGGGCGGCCACTGCGCCCACAGGCCATTCTCAAAGGTGCGGTCGAGGTTGAGGAAGAAGAAGGGGACGACATCCAGCATGCCGGCCTTTGTGACGGTGTTCTTGCCCCACGTCTTGAAGACGAGGGCGGCGGCGGCGGCCTCCTCGCTGCCCTCGGCCGGGGTGTTGGGGTGCGCGGCGAGGGCGGCAATGGTGCGGACCTCGCTGTGCAGGTGGTTGTCGAGCGGCGCGCGGAACGAGTCCATGATGCGGAGCAGCTCGTCGGCCGAGAGCTCGGTGGCCGTGGAGAGGCTCGTGAGGTAGGTCTGGAACTGCACGACGCCGTCGATGAAGGATTCGTGCTCCTTGTGCGTCGCGGTCCAGATGGTCGCGTCGTCGAGCAGGTCCGACACTTTCCCAAAGAGATTGTCCTCCTCGTCGTGGTGGTGCGAGGTGACAAACGAGGCCCAGGTCAGCGAGTACCGCACAAAGTCGTGGGAGAGCTGCTCGTCGATGTAGGGGGCCTGCTGGTAGATGGAGTTGAAGCCGCGGATCAGGGCATTGTGGACGAGGGCCATGTGCGTGGCGCCCGCGGTGAAGAGATCAGTCTAGAAGCGGCCTGTCAATGCGTGGACGGGCGGATGGTCGCGCGGGGGGGATGAGGTCTGCGCATACCTTGCCCGTGAGGCGCTGCGGCGTGGCCACGAGCGCAATGGGCGCGTCTGCCCATTGCGACGCTGGTGCTGAGGTTGTGCTCATGTAGGGCGAGTAATTGAAGAAGCTCGTCGCTGCGAAACATGCTGTCCCAAACACAAGAGTGCCAATCACTGACATGATGGGTCGGCTTTAAATACAAGGCCAAAGAGGGCGGCTGGGGGTCCAACTGTTGCAAGCCACAGATGATGACAATGGTCTGTATGCGAAGTCCATCACCCCATTCTCGGGAATCAAATCACACCAGTCAAGTCCCCCATGAGCCGGGGCGGGATGCTGAGATTACAGTGACTCCGATTGGCTGGAGCTAGTAGAAGAAAGGGGAAGCGAATTGCGGGTGGTAAGAAAGACTGGCCAGTAGATAGGGAAGGGGTTAAATAGAAGGAATGAGGAGAAAAAAATAGAATAGATGACAAGGATAAGAAGAATTAACAAAGTTATTAAAGAAGAAGAAGAAAATTATAAGACCAAGGCAGATAATAGCTTGGCACTTGCCATTTAAACAATGGTTTATTTAGTCTCCCAAGTGCCACACGTGCCACACCCTGTATGCGCTGTAGAAAGAAATCAATTTAAATTTTGTGGCAATTTTGTACCACCTACACAATCAATCTCCATCATTCCAACTGCTTAATCTCAAATGGCGAATAGTTAATTTACAGCCACATCCTTCCTTGGGTCATACTTTTCCAGACTTTCGAGCGGGCCGTACTTTTCGCACAGAAAAAGTACATCATTGTATGCACTATTAAATACCATGTTAGAGTCATAGTCGGCTGCTGGCACCATACGCTCAACCCACGTTTCTCTCGAGATGCTTCCACGATGCCCCGCGGAATCTATCAAGTAAGGGTGGATGCTATACAGACGATTGCGATCATCCCACTCCTCCTTGGGATCAGAGACGGTATACGCTCGCTTATAATAGTGCAAGAACTCGGCATCTCGAAAGTACGTCGTCCATCGGCATCGCCACGTGCCAAATTCCATCTCGTTGTGAGCATAGGTGCATCCGGGATCAAAGACGACAATCTTTCCTGTGCTTTCATCGTGGCCAACGTTGTTTTCCCAAAGATCGCCGTGAACGAGCGCTGGAGCGATGCTTCTCCCGTCAGACTGCAGGGCGCCGAGCAGACGCGGGATAACAACCCCAATCAGCTGATTGCAGGCAGCGTCTAATGCCGGCCAGACGCCATTGGTATCATTGTCGTACTTTATAGCATCCCCGAGCAGATTGGTAAAGCAGGCAGCCCAGCTTTCCTCCCAGGTCACGGTACGTTCCAGCTTCCCAATTACAGTCTTGACAGGGTAGCCAAACATGCCGGTCGGAGACTTTCCGTTCTTGTGCATCTCGGCAATTTTCTCAGCAAAGACTTTTCGATCCGGTACCTTGTCGAAACGCATCTGGTGAAAATCACAGATGTAGAAGAAGCAGGTCTCGTCTGTACCAACATCATATTGCCCCCACCCACAGGGCGCCGGCACCAAACCTGGAGAGGCTTGGTTGATGGTGACAGCCGAGTGGTATTCACCCTGGACGAGGGCGCGAGCTCCTTGTCCAGTGATGCACTGTTGTGCGGTTCGTTCGTAAGCTAGCTGTTCAAAATGAGGACATCATAGATGTGAGCAGTTGCTCTCAGCTCCAGCAAACACACCTTCAAAAAGTAATCCTTCCTGGTACCATCCTCCAAGATGGCGGAAAGTCTAGCGGTCCTCGCCCAGGTAGACACTCCACTCTTCATTGCCTGGTGTACTTGGATACCAGCCGGGAGCACTGACGGCGGTATTTCTGTTAACTAGTTTCTGCACGGCTAACCAACACATGCATGTACTTGCCTGAAAAGATTGCCTTGTGAACTTTGAAGTTCCCGGGTATGTTTGCGTACGAGCTGTCGCATTCGCTAGAGTCAACCGACCCAAGAGCCAGCTCCAGAACAGACTGCCCAACAGTCTCTGTACCAGGAGCGCTGGGAGGCATGCTAAGTCAGTAGCTTCGGCGCCTGTATACTAGGCTTCAACGGCTCGTGACAGGCTCCGGGTGCGGGGAAATATGACTTTCGATTTTGCTTCCTTGGCAATGCCAAGTTGCGGATGCCGACGGAGACTTGCCATGTTGTCAGTCAGGACAGTTGTAGTGCAGAGGGGGTGGCTTGATTCCTACCATCACCACTGTGTGACCTGGCCACGCTGCGTGCCGGAGGCGTTCAATCCTGGGGGCCAATGACATAGCTGCAATGCAAGACTATGAACATGGGCAGCGAGGCCCCATTCCAGGCCATGTCATAGTTGGGCGTGCGTGCGTTGGCAATTCCCCTCAGTCGATAGAACTCACCATGCTTACCGCGTATCGTGGCACGCATCGTGGGAATTATACAACAAGATATTCGGGTGCGCAACATACCAAATTTAGCCAACTGAACCAGCTGTTAGCCGTGTAACAGTCTGCTCACGGCTCGCCAATCAACCTACAATGGTGGTGTACATGATCCAGTCAACACTGACCAACGACATTAACAGCATCAACAGTTTACCAAAGGTACACCATTCAGGTACAGGCTTGGCGATGCTTCCACGCGGGCGGAGCGTACTTCTTTTTATCCCCGACGAGGATCCGGCCCAACATCGTCACGCGACTCGCAAATCACTTATGCGACCGATAGTTACGCAAGTCAAGCCTCAACTACAAGCCAGCACTCCAAGTCGTCGTGGATTTCAGAGTCATCAGGACCTCTTGGCTTGAATGTTGTCTATACACCAGAACAAGGGCATCAGGCAGATATCGTATTCGTCCATGGTCTTGGCGGCACTAGCCGGGCAACGTGGACAAAGGACAAGAATCCAAATCTGTTCTGGCCGCTCACGTTTCTAGCCTCGGACCCCGACCTATGCGTCGCGAGGATACTGACATTTGGCTACGATGCAAATTTTCGCAAGCCGAGAAACTCTCAAGCGACCTTGCGCGATTTTGCCAAGGAGTTGCTCTTTGATCTCTCGGAAAGAAGCCAGCTTAGAATCGGGGAGGTGAGTCTTCTTTCCTAGGTTTGCTTCCGTGCACTTGACTTACATTTGAGGCGTCAGGTGCCATTGATCTTTGTTGCCCATAGTATGGGGGGCCTCATTGTGAAGGAGGTAGGCTCTACATATCTTCTAAAAGCCCGTTTCCGTTTCTGTCTCTTGTGATCCCGGCTAATTTTTCAGCATAGGCATACATGTATGGCCAAACGGACCCTGCTTATGAGCACATTGTTCAATCCATTGCAGCTATCATCTTTCTGGCCACACCGCATCGTGGAACCAATTTTGCCCAGATTCTTAATAGAATTTTACAGTCAGCATCGCTTTCGAAAGCATACATCACGGAACTTTCAAACAACGCGCATGGCCTCAAGAACCTGAACGACTCTTTCCGGAATGTTGTTTCCAAACTTGAAATAGCCTCGTTTTACGAAACTCACTCTACCTCTATAGGATTTAAGAAAGCACGTCTTGTGAGTGCGGGAATGAATCACGATGCAAATACGAATGTCGTGGGCGCTGATGAATTGTCTAGCTCGTCTTGGAGAAAGATCCGTCAGTTCTTGGCTTCCCTGGCGAAAAGTCTCGAGCCTTGGCCGCAGATCATCAGGGCATATGCAAATACGAAAGTCCCGAAGACCCGAACTATATCAGTGTGCGAAACACGCTGTGGAACATGATGCGGAAGATACTCAACAATAAGGCACCGGCCCAGAGCTCCCCGAGAGTCCGTCAACCTTCTTCCGACTTGAAGGACATGCTAGGCATTCAGAATCTACCGACGGCCGACTACAATTTCTTCCAGGACCAGTGGTCACAAGGCACTGGCACTTGGGTCCTCAAGGATCCAGCATTCTTGCAATGGCGCACAGACCAAACTTCGGCCGTCGCTATCTTATGGATCAACGGCAGCCCAGCAACAGGCAAATCGGTGCTTTCGTCCTACATCGTCAATGCATTGGCCCAAGAGGGTATCTGCTCTCAGTACTTCTACATCAGATTTGGCGATCGATTTAAAACAAATGCCGCGTCACTTCTGCGGTCTTTGGCCTACCAGGTTGCTCTTATCAAGCCCGAGTTTCATGATTCTCTACTCGAGCTGGCGGAGGAAGGTATTGAGTTCCCTTCTGCCGACTCACGGACAATCTGGGATAGAATATTCACGTCTTGCCTTTTCCGCATGGACTTCAAAGAGCCTTTATTTTGGGTTATCGATGCGCTTGACGAGGCCGATGACCCCAAAATTCTGACGCGCCTCCTTGGAGGAATATCGGCCGCTGTTCCGCTGCGTATCCTGGTGACTGCTCGAAAAACCCCCGCGATGGATGCGAGCTTCAATCGCTTATCGCAAAGCCACAAAACATACAACATTGATATTGATACTCGCAGGCAAGATCTGCTGTATTATGTCAATCAAGAGCTTGAGATCCCCGGTTCCGCTGAGTTTCGAAAAGATGTTGTTCAGCGTCTGGTTCAAGGTTCGCAAAACAATTTCTTAGTAAGTACTCTGGATAATACATTCCAAGTGAGTGATTCTAATCCTGTAGTGGGTACGACTCGCCATGGAGAAAATACATGGCTCGAATTTCGAGACTGATATCGAGGCAGCACTGCAAGAGCTCCCTACCGGTATGGAAGCGCTGTACGACCGAATGGCTGCCAACGTTGTTGCAGTTGGCTCTGACAGTGCCAAGAACTTGGCCATGTCTATACTTTACACCGTTTGCTGCTCTAAAAGAGTTCTCTTCCTGGGGGAACTAATAGCAGCGGTTGGAGAAGCCTTTGCCGGCGTGATTGATCCTCACCGCGCCATCACTGAGCTCTGTGGTGGTTTCCTTGTCGTCGATACTGAAGGCCGTGTGTTCATGGTGCATAAGACAGGTCGCGAATACTTGACAAAATATGACAACGTATACTTGTACATTGATGCACTTGTCGGTCATACGAGACTCTTCACAAGCTGTATGTATCGCATGGCCGGACTGACTCGCACTACGCGACATCGCCGAGTGCAGGAACCGGATTTCACCGAATACGCCATGGAAATGTGGCCTTATCATCTAGCGTCCATGGCAACAGACTGTCATGAAGCCGCATCAATGTTGTCAACATTTTTCAAGGGCAAAACGATCCTGGCATGGGTTTGTTTATTGGCGGCCAAGAACAGGCTGGATGTTTTGGTCCAGGCATCCAAAAGCCTGTCCGAGTACTGCGAAAAACTCAGAATCTTGATATCTCCCACTGGCGAAAGCCAACACTCGTTGATTTTGGACTTGCTCGACAGCTGGGCTACCGATTTGATCAAGGTTGCAGCCAAATTCGGCAATGCATTGCATCACAGCCCCGAGTCTATCTACCACATGATCCCGCCCATGTGCCCGCAAACTTCTGCTATCTACCAGCAGTTCGGCAAGACAAACCGCGGATCCCTATCTGTATTCGGCTTATCGTCCAAATCATGGGACGATAGTCTGGCCAAGATATCATTCGGGGGCGACACATTCGCTTCCAGTGTTGCCGCCAATGGCTCTGTTTTGGCCGCGTTGGCGCCTAGTGGGAAAGCTTTTCTTTACAACAGCCAGACACTCGAAGAATTACCAACAAGTCCGTTCGATCATGGCGAACAGCTTTACATATTTGAAATGAACAGCACAGCAACTTTGATTGCCACATATGGATTCCGAAAAACAAAGGTCTGGCAAATACCATCAGGTACTTGTATTTCTACCATTGCCAGTCCAAGAGGCGAACCTATTCCCCTCAGTATGCGCTTTGACTCCGACGGGACAACCCTATTTTTGGGTTCAGAAGACAGCAAACTGCGATCTGCCACGATCACTGAGCCGGAACCGGCCTGGAAGATTGTCGCCGATTTCGAAGAGGTCGAGCTCGAAGGGCACATATTGAACAACTCAAACCATATCGCGTTGAACAGAGATTGCACATTGATTTCCGTTGCGTATCGCGGCCACCCACTCTCGGCCTGGGAAGTTGATGGTCCGGTGCATCTAGGCCATTGTTGGCGCGAGTACGATAGTGGCAGTCGTGGTGAAGTAGTTGCGGCATCATGGCTACCTCATACCAGAGAACTTCTCGGCCTCTACACCGACGGCGCGGTATTCAAATGGGATCCTTACGAGCTCGAGATTGGCGAGCTTCAGATTGATGCGTCACGACTTGCTGTTAGCATCGACGGAAATTTGTTCTGCACAGGTAATGGTGGAGGCAACGTGAAAATATACACAACAGGCCAGTTCACATTGCTCTATCAGCTTGCTTCTCCGGATACAGTCTTTCATCTGGCGTTTAGCCCTGATTGCACTAGAATATACGACACCAGAGGGTATTTCGGAAATGTTTGCGAACCTGCCGCTCTTTTAAAACATTCCAAAGCCTCGGTCGCAAGCCTAGACGGGGAGAGCGACATGGTAAGCGTTGCTCCAACCCTGATTAGAAACACATATAAAAAGATAGAGAGTGTCAAAGCTCTCGCATACTCGCCTGTCAGTAAGATATACGCCAGGGTTGCATCTGACGATACCCTCACGCTGCATACCATCCAGCGCGGAAAGCTGCAAGCTGTTGCAACTATCAATGTTGAATGGGATATACGGGAACTCTGCTGGGACTCCGACGGGAGAACCCTTTATACGTTTGATGAAAACATGACCGTGGTGGTTCATTCCCTGCATCGCTCAGAATCACCGGACAAGACACCGCATACCGTCGTTCGCAGCGACACAGCGTTCGAACTGAGCGAGGTGACTGAAGGAAGACTGGTATGCATTGCAGTCGATAATTTCAAAGGATTGATGCTGCTTCAATCTATTCGCAAACTTCTCCTCATTTCAATCAGCGATAACAGAATCACGCACCGGTTGAATTTAACAGTTTCCTCCCAAAGATGGATAATCCACCCTCGCCACGCGAACCTATTACTGGGGCTCTCCAGCGGATCCATACAGGTTACCGACTGGGAGCTCCGGCCGATATTGACTGTCAGGTTCAAGTTTGCATGCTCACGGTCGGAGCTGGATGATGCTGGTCGTGGATGTGGCCGAGAAGCCCGTACACTAGAACGGGTCCTAGTTTCGCCAGACAACGAAACAATTCTTCTGCAAATGCGCTTGAAAGACAGAAAACTGACCCTTTCGCACTTTGGTGTATCTTCTCTTGACCGGATAGTTGAGCATTTCCAAGACGTCACATATCAAGTGGAAGCAGGCGGTTCGGGCGCGACTACTGATGGGATCGCTTCCGATGCCAGACACACCCCAATGGTCGAACTCAGCGACGTTTCCGAAACAATTGCTGCGGGTATCAGTACTTGTATAAGCATATTACCACGCAAAAAGGCTATTGTTATCTCGAGGCGGTTTTCCATTTGCACCATCAATTTACTGACGGGTGGTCAAGAGGAGCACTTCTTCCTACCGAGTGATTGGATCAATCCCGATAACATGGAGCTGGCGACTTTCTCGAGAGAAGAAAAAGTGCTTTTGTATCCGACGAATGGAGAGATTGCTGTCGTCTCCTGCCCGACTGCTTAAGACCGTCACTGCTTGCATTCGTCACACAGCCCAATGGCACTTGATATCTTCCCTGTCTCTTGCGCTTCCTGGTCACTACCATCTATCCTTTTAATTGCCTTTATTATTCGTTTTAGCAGTTTCGAATGATTTTCTAGCCAAACGCTGCTGTCGCCATTTTGCACCAAAGTAAAAGTCGACTGCGAAGAGCGCTGCTACCAAAATGCAAAGGCCACCCATAAAAGTGAACGTCCATCCAACTTTGAAGGTCTGAATGGTCTGTTCCATAAACGCCACCATAATTGCAGCTAGTGCGCAGCGTATGATGTTGCTGGCCGCTTGAGCAGCAGCGGGATGACGATGGTTCTTGTCAACCAATAAAGTGTTGTATATCTTCGAATATGTCAGCTCCTTAAAATCAACGAAGCTTTTCTATCGTTCGTTCACAACATACGCTGAATTCCAACTGCATACATAAGCCTAGAACAAACTGAATAACGAGAGGTATCGCAATATGCTGCCGAGATGAGTTTATGATGCCCAAAGCCGTCCATGGAGTTGTACAGCGTACCTGATCGTAGTGCAAGACCCATCCAAAAGCAACAACTCCCAAAATGTTGACAATCAATGGCATCCACATGAGTCTTAAACGTGCCTTCTCAACGTCAAAGTCATCCAAGTCATCTCCCTTGGCCCGGTCCGTTGGCAACCCCATTCTAGACCTTGAACGACGGTATGCTCTATTCAGAAGTGGCCCCGAGAAAAGGGTTGAGCAAACACCCCCTAGTCCAAAAGGAAGATATATGAATCCTGCTTGCCATTCGGTCAGCCCATACATGGCCACGAAAATGACGGAAAGTGAGGCGTTGATGCAAGTGTAAACTACATATAGTAACCCGCACGCGGTAATGACAGTGAAGTTGTCTTTTCTTAAGAGAATTCTGAAGGATTTCAAGGGGTTGGGGATTTTCAGTCGCAGATTGCCCGTCATTTCAGTGTCCTGTGGGCTCGTGTTGGAGAATATCGGAATGGGGAGCTTCGAGATGGTGGGTGGCGCGATCGATCCATTTCCGACAACGGTTCGACTCGTTTCCGGTAGTAGAAAGACAATCAAAACGAGACAGAAGCCCGAAGTAACGGCCAAGAACCAAAAGATCCAACGCCATCCGGCAGCATAGGAGAGAGCGCCACCAAGCCACCAAGAATTGGGCCTAAACTCGGCGCAATAGTGATGCTGCGTACGGGTATTAATTTCGCAGCTCTTGGCTCAATTGGAGTGAGATCTCACGTAAATGATACGATGCTCACAAACTTCCCTCTCTCAGCTGGTGAAGCTACGTCTGTGATGACGCCATAGGCGATGGAAAAGGTGCCTAGAAGCAATTAATGACGGCACGAGGACGGAGCGCCGTTGGCTGCTGTTACCAGAAATTGCAAGCGCTTGCAATATCCTGAGACCGAGTAAAACATTGTATGATTTTGTAGAAGCGATAGCAATACACACCGACGCATAAAGGCTTAGTGTTGCCACATATACCGGTCGCCGGCCAATCTGATCTGCTGCATCGCCGACTAGAGTTGGCGCGAACATGGCCACGGCCATGTATGAAGTCACAGTCAAGTTAATACTGTCGACGGATACCCCCAAGGCTTTTGATAAGAGAGGAATGGCGGGGTAATAGATGAAGCTACTTGTTGTCGAAAACCAGGCTGCATACGCAACGAGAGCCACAATGCAGCGCTTCTCATTGATGCCAAAGGCCGAGTATGGAGGTAGTGGTTGTTCCTCCATGGCTTGTATTTCGTTTAAAGTTGCGACTGAATGGGCCGTATTCTTGGTAGAAAGTATAGTAGAATAAAGAGAAGTGAGAGTTGAGATCAGATCAGATCAAAGGCAGTTGCGGGGAAGGAGCGCCAGCAATAGCTGCGGGGTGACCTTGACCAAAGCACCATTGCTCTGTTGGGCGACTTTACAAGGGAATTATTTTGAATCTGGATACAGCATTGAATACAAATAAAAACGATGAAAATTTTCAAATAAAAATTGCTACGCGACAAAAGTTGCCAGCTGCGCCTGTTGGCTTGCCGCAGTGCTCTCAACGCTCCGCCACACCTCACTCAATACGAGAGCCCAGCAGCGCTCTTATAACCTCACTAAGAAACAATAATAATAAGCCAGACGATGGTATATTTACTGACTGGCTATTTTTTGTCTGATGGTGAAAGGTCCCGGCCTGCTTACACTGGTTGGCGACGGATGAAAATGACTTGAATCAGCCTTATCAACCTCGACAGCGAGACTAATAGAAACCGAGGTTTATTTGTCCAATGTCCCTTTTTTTTTTGCCCATCATGGATCGGCTCATTTGGCCCGTCTGTCATCCGAACTGCCACACCATCTTAGATTAGCTGCCGCCGCCACCCGACGAACGCGGGGACTCACCCCCACGTAGCAAACCAGTCACGCTTACCGCCATTGTGTAGAACACCTCTTGCTTTCTTTTTTTTTATAAAGACTATCAAACTCTGCGCCCCCTTTCCCTCAAGTCTGAACTAACAAGTCTGCGAGTCAAAGGCTCCCCAGTCTGGCCGCAGAAATGACAAAGCTCAACGAGCTGGTGTCCGCCGTGGACGAGCCCCAGAATGCGGAAAAGCAGTCCAAGGCCGAGCGAGCCTTTGTCGCCCGCCTCGACATTTTCCTCCTCACATTTGGGTGCATTTCTCAAGGTATGTAGTTCATCTTCACCATCACATTATAACAGTCTAACATGAATGGTCTAGTTATCAAGTACGATACTTTATACTCAGCTGTCCAAGCCCACGGCGCGCCTCACTAAACCTAGCCCAACCAGATATCTCGACCAGTCCAACATCAACAACGCCTACGTCTCGGGCATGAAAGAAGATCTTCATCTCCAGGGAAACGAGTTGAATTTGTACGTTCTTTTTTGTTTTTTTTTGTAATTCATCGCAAGACGTTAACCCCCCCCCCCCCCCAGATTTACCACCTATTTCAACGTTGCGTACTGTATCATGCTGATCCCCTCGCAAATCATCATGACCCATGTCCGCCCCAGCTGGTGGCTGCCTTCTGTCGAAATCGTCTGGGGCGTCATCACGGGCCTTTTTGCCATGACGCGTAGCGCGAAGCAAGTCTATGTCCTCCGCGCCTTTCTTGGTCTGTGTGAAAGCGCCGCCTACCCTGGCATGATCACCTTGTTCAGTAAAGTCAACCCCGTCATAAGCCTTCAAAACTATACAAATAACTTAGTACTTAATAACCTTCATAGTGTCTTGGTACACGCCGACAGAAATGGCCAAGCGAATCGGCTTCTACCATTCCTGCCAGTCCGTGGGACAAATGCTCTCCGGTGCGTTGCAAGCTGCCATTATCAACAGCCTTGGTGGCAAGTCTGGTCTGGCAGGATGGAGGTACGTTTCTCAATTCCGTAGACGCAAATTGCTTCCATTTTCTTACTACCTTATAGGTGGCTCTTTGTCGTCAATGCAATCATCACCGTTCTCTGGGGCATCGCAGGCTATTTCATGATTCCTGATATGCCCAACAACCCAAACCCGTGGTCTTTTTGGTTCAAAAGAGTTCATTCCGAACTGGCTCTCAGTCGCCTCGCTCGCACAAATCGGGTGGATGCAAAGCCAATATCGTGGTCTGGTGCAAGGTCCGTTCTTCATCCTCATTTGCATCCAGTCCAAAAGTGTCTAACCTCTCTCGTCTCCCCACAGACGTACATTTACGAACTGGTTGGTATACATTATTGCCTTTTTGTATATCGCCATGGTTCTTGGTACTTCTGGTGCCGACTACTTTGGCTTGTTCCTCAAGTCCGTACGCACGAGTAATGGCGAGCCACGCTGGACGACCACAGACGTCAACGTGATTCCCATCGGGGGCTCTGCGATGACTGTCATATTCGGTACGTCACCTGCGGCCAAAGTCACACGAAAGAAATTAATAGTAGTGATGCAGTCTGGGTTTGGGCTTACATGTCCGATTTCTTTCGCACGCGATGGCTCTTGATTATTCTGCAAGGTATCTCGTCTTCTGCTATTCAGATGTACCCGTTCTCACATCATCTTCAGCCGTTATCGCCATCATGGTTGCCATTATCATGAGTATCTGGACAACCCACCCTCACAGCACGCCAATCTCGGCAGCTTATGCGGCCTATTTCATTCAGCGCATCGCGCTAGGAACTGCGCCTCTGATTTGGGCATGGCTGTCCGATCTGTCAGTATTCATTGCCATTCTTTTGCCCTGACAACCTATTCACATCTTGATGATAGGTCGCCGACAGACCCTGAAGGTCGCACCCTGATCGTCGGCGCCTCAATCGCTGGTTATTACTCCATTTCAGCCTGGAGCCAGGTTCTTCTTTGGCCCGCCAGCCAGGCCCCGTACTGTAAGTCCCCAACGATTTTTCCTGCCGTAGTTCAGAATGCTCATACTGCCATTAGACGACTACGGTTGGCAATCTGCTTCTGCTCTCTGTGCGCTCGTTGTCATTCTCTGTGTTGTTCTACGCATCGTCGACGTTCGCTACCTTGCGTAAGTCCTGCCATCCAATATCAACAAAATATCACCAGACGTTACTAATTCACGAGGGCAGTCCAAAGAGGAAGTCGGATGCGGAGATTGCCGCAGTCGTTGCTGAAGAAATGGACGGCCTCAAGGATGAGGAGAAGAAGTTGGACGCTGAATCTCACGTGAGCCATGTACAGAGCAATGCCACACAAAGGCGTGTCTCGCCTTCTCCGGTGCAGAATTAAGGTCGGACGCTTGTTGATATATATGTCAAACGGTGATGCCAATTAAACAGATTGCAAGGCAAGGAACTTCCAAAAGACTGTTTTAATCCCCAACGCCGTGCCAGCTAAAATGCTCCATATACTATTGACTAGGGGTCTTTACGCAAAGGCGCCAACAAGCGCCATCAATGTAGCTCCAGCAACGACACAGAGATAGGCGTGTAGTCTCTTACGGCCCTTGAGAACCTTGAAGCTCTTCTCCGAAAGAAAGTCCTCGGCCAGCAGCTGTACCAGACCGGCGTAGAGAAGGAGGCCCGCAGAGATGGCGTTCATGACACCCACGGTGATCAGGCCGCCCATGGAGGCAGGGTCGTAGATGCGATGCACAAACAGACCAATGGCCTGCCCGATGGGGGTCGTGACGCCATAGGCGAGGACCATGAGCCACGGGCGCGGCGAGCTGCGGGGGAACTGGATCGCGGCAATACGGCTGCCCAGCGCCAGACCCTCAAAGGACTGGTGGAAGCTGATGGCTACGAGAAAGACGACAAAGGCGGGGCCGGTGGCGACCGACAGCGCCATTCCAATAAAGACGCTGTGGAACAGAATACCAGCCTCGAGTAGCAAGCACTGCAACATTTGGCGCTTCTGCTGCTCAGGTGTCTGTGGAGGAAGACTGCTAGAGTCTGTTCGCCTGTGGCCAGCTCCACGCTTCACGGTTGTGTACCGGCCGGTTCCGTTGCCGTTGGGGACGGGATCCAGCTCATCCAGATCGAGGTCGAGGTCCGAGTCGCCGTCAGCAAAGGCATTGTCGAGGGAATGCTTCCTCGGCCGATTCGTCGTCGGCGTCGATCCGGGCAGCGGCGAGGCGCCGGCCACAAGGCCCTCGGCAGCCTCGGCATCCGGATCGCTTACGGTGAGGGTGTCGGGGCGGTGGTTGCGTCGGTCCGCAAGACCGTTCATGTGGTACTCCTCGTGGTCTTCGCCTTCCAGCTCCTCCCATGTAGCGTGGCTGTGCGAGTGCGAGTGCCCCGCGCCGCGGGCCGTCAGGTACGACTCGACACCGACGACGATGATGGCCGAGACCATGCCGATGAGGCCGGGCAGGGGTGTGTATCCCTTGCTGAAGAAGTCGGGGAGGCAGGGGTCGGTCAGCGACTCAAATGCCGTCGGGAGGAGATGGACAAAGGCGGTCGCGAGCAAGACGCCGGTGCCGACGTGCTGGCAGTAGAAGATGAGGCGGCTCTGCGATTGTCCCGTCGTCGCGCGTCGCCCAATGAGGGGAAATCCGCAGGCTATCAAGTTGGCGCGCCCGTGTTAGCGAAACGTGGCACTGTGATGTCGCGCAAAGGGGCCAACATCGCATCAGACGTACCCAGTGTGCTCAGGGCGAGGATGAGGAACAGAGCGAAGACGTGGGCGGCCAAGTCATACCATCCCTGGCCCTTTCCACCGCATTTCGGTCGGCCGGTCGCGTTTTGCCGTCGTTGGAGCTCGGCCAACAATTCTCTGGTTGACCATTGAGTGGCATCTGTGATGCGAAATCGTCCCATGTCAGCAACGGCGTAGGTCGGATCGACGCGGCCGGGGCGAGGCAGGGCCCGCGAAGCGGAATGCGAAACATACCTTGTGCCAGGCTGGTGAGGTCGCTCATGGCGAAGGGTGGCGGCGGGAAAAGTCCTCCGCGTCTGAGGAAAAGGACAGCGGGCTCGCTGTTATGTATACTGGGCAAATGTAACGTGAGGGGGCATCGTTGTCCAAGCCAAGACCAAGGGCCAAGCCAAGCGTTGAGCAAATAAAGCAATCAGGGGGACCACCTTTTTGGGCTTTGTTGGAGGTGTACATACGCTACGTTTGTATGTACCTAGGTACCCATATGCCTAGGAGGTAGGTACCTGTAGGGATACTAATATTAGGTTAGTAGTATTGATGCCAACAGCGCCACAATCATCCGAACTCCGACCAGCCAACCTGACACTTGACAAAAAATTGCGGCAGCCAGGAATATTCTATTGTACCATCTGTTACTGGCAATTCTTCAATTTTTTGCACGTAGGATACTACCCTACCCAAAAAGTCCCCAGATAACCGCCATGGTACACTCGCCTGTAGTGACAGCGCGTTGCGTACCACTCTGGTCTCTTTTGCGGGGCATCCACCCAGCTCCATACATTCGTACAAATCACGGAGAAAATCCAATAAATAGAGTGCGCGAATCATTTTCTCATTATCAAATCGCAAGTCTATATTACAATCGTGTTCTTTTACCGTCCAACACGAATTACACCAGCAGCAATAAGCTTCTGAATCTTGGTGCGCACGCTCGGGTTGCGCATGTGCTCCTGCAGAGCCATCGGGTCGGATTGAGCCTGTTGCAGAATCGACTGCATCACAGGATCTTGCATTAGGCTCATGACCTATATCCTTCATTAGCACAGCGCTTCTCGCTCCAACACCGTAGTATCTTACCTCGGGGTCCTTCTGCAGTCTCGCACGAGTCTGCTCCTCCGTCTCGTTGTCGCGCGCCGAGTACATGGAAGAAAACGCCTTCTGCTGCTGCTGTTCGATTTCGCGGGCATTGGCCCCCTTGTGGTGCTCGGCATCAATCGCAAGAGCTTCCGTGCAGGCGTCAACACACTCCGAGTACTTGCGCATGCCAAAGTAGGCCTGTGCCTTGCGGATATAGGCACGGATAAAGGCAACATCATTCTTGATGGCCATGTCGCAGTCGTCCAGAGCACTAGGGAACTCAAACAGCTTGATAAAGGCCGCGGCACGGTTGCTGTAGCCACGAGGGTCCTCAGGCGCACGCTTAATCATTTCCGTGTAAGAAGCAACGGCGCCGGGGAAATCACTCTCCTTGAACTTTTTGTTGCCATCCTCGCGAGCCTCGTCAGCCTTGGCAGGATCGATATAGGCAGTCTTGGCGGCCTCGGCCCTGGACTTTTCAGCCGCCCGGAGCTTGTTCAGAACGTCGGGTGTGCGGTGCTCCGTCAGAGACTTGTTGTAGTTCTCAATCGACTTGGTCAAGTCACCCTTGCGCTCGTATGCCGAACCGATACGAGCATAACTCTTGGCAATAACTTTGAAATCGGCGTAAATTTCGCGGCCCTCCTCGATGGCCTTGTTGCACGCCTCGATACAGGCATCGTAGTCACCCTTCTCAAATTGAGCAGCACCAAGGTTGTTGAGATACGTAATATCCTTGTACGTGTCCCAAGCCTTGGCGTAGTGTTCGATAGCTTCGTCAAATTTACGTTTCTTGTAGTTCTCAGTACCGAGGGCCTTTTCCTTGTCAGCCTCCTCCTTGGCCTTCTTCTTCTCGAGAGCCTCTTCGTCCAGGACTTCGGGTTCCGGCTCTGGAGCCTTGTTCGTAGCCGATGGCTTGCTTTCCTGGGCTGAAGCATCCGGCATGCTCACGTCGCCCTGTTCACGAGGATCGCTGTCTCTCATTTCCATGTCAACACCCATCATGACCCCGAGGACTTGAATCATTCTGGGGTCGCTAAACATTTCGGTTGTCATCTGGGGGTTCTTCTGCAGTTGCTGCAGCTTGGCCATAAAGGAGGGGTCTGACAGGTAACTGCTGGTCTTGGAGTTCGAGGCTAGCTTCTGCAAGAGCTGGGGGTCATTGAACATGCGCGCGAGTCCAGCACCTGGATCATCGCCACCAGCCCCAGGGAATCCACCCGCCTCCTGCTGCATGGCCTTCTCGACGGACGCCAGGCCGCTCTTCAGCTGAGCATTGTTAGCATCATGCTTCAGGCCCTCGACGTAGGCATCGTTGGCACCGAGCAAATCGCCCTGGCCGTGGAGAGCGGCGCCCTTGCGGCCCCAGCCTTTAGGCCAGTCCGGCTTGATCTCGGTCGTCTTTTCGGCATCTTTCAAAGCTGCATCCCAATCCTTCTTCGAGGCGTAAGCTGCAGAACGGTTCGAGTACAGAATGTGGTTTTCCGGCTGAAGGGCAATGGCCTGGGTAAAGTGATCACTGCAGAAGACGTTAGCATACATTCGGCGTTTGCCTTTCGTCATGGCAAGCCGGAAATCGGGCTTACATAGCATCATCAAAGTTCTTGTCCGCAATAGCCTTGTTGCCCAGAGCTTTGAGCTCGTCCGCGCTGGCCATGGTGACGAGTTTGGAAGTGCTGCCAAGTAGAAGTTGAGCTAGTGATTGAAGAATAGGTCTTTTCTGGTTGTTGTTCTTGTTATTTGTGACGTAGGACGGTGTGTACAATTCGTATGAAAGTCAAAACGTCGAAACGGTTGAACAGCCCAAGACATAGATGGGAGGGTGGGGAGAAAAGTTGAAGCTCCATCTCAAGTGCCTTCTAGCTCCTTCGACGGCTGTCCCCGCATTGACCACCTTATTGGCCTTAGCTAGTGTGGGGCTCTAGCTACAGCAACCAGATTTATCGCACAGAGCACTGCCTCGATAAGAGAGCTTATCTTATCCACACTAACAATAAGCGTAGATAAGCAATAACCTTAGGTATCTTAAGACATAGTATTGTTTTATAACTTAAATTATATAGCCTAAGGCTAGGAAATAGGATATATAAATTAACTAGTTATTCCTTATAGCTTTATCTAATATAAGGCTAATTTTCCTTATTATCTTTACTTTTTATTATTCTTTTATAAGCTATATTAGCTATATTACTATCTTATATAACTATATTAATACTTTATAATTATAAGCCTAGAAGGTTCTAATTATATAAGGTATTTATTATAATTTAAAACTTCTTATAATATTTATATTATATAGATTCTTTTTTTTATTATTACTTTATTTATTATTATTATTATTATTATTATTATTATTATTATTATTATTATTATATAATATTCTATTATTTTATTATTCTATTATATTATTCTATACTAAGGCTATAGTCTTACCTAGACTTAAATAATATAACTTAAAGAGTTAGTTTAACTAAATTTAAGCTTTTTAGTTTTTTATAATAAATATATAGATAATTATTAATCTTATAAAGAAGATTAATATTAAAGATATATTAAACCCTTTTAATATACTTATAGAAATTAAGATATATAAGGTAGAACTTTATAAAATTATAAAACTTAATAAACCTATTAAAGTAAACTTTAAAATACTTAATATACTTAAAGCCTTATCTAATTAAGAGTAATAAGAATATAAGATTACCTTATAAGTATATAAAGAAAGTAAAACTAAACTAAATAAGGTTTATAAACTTATTATATTATTTATTAATCTTTATTTAATAATTAAAGTATATAATAAGCTTAAGAAAAAATACCTAAAAGAGTATATTATTTATTAATTAGTTAAAAAGCTTAAGTTAATTATTACTCTAAATATAGTATATATAAAGGTTAAGGTAAACTATACTTATAAGAGTATATTATAAGATATATATTAAGGGAATATTAATATTAAAAAATAGCTTAAGAATTAGGAGGTAGTATATAATTATATAAATATACTTAATATACTATTAACTAATAGTTATTTTATAATTAATAATTTCTTTAAAGCTATTAAAGTAAAGCTATACTTAAAATAAGCTTTACTATAGTTATATAAGAATAAAGTTTATATTATTTAAAGTAAAAGACTAAAAATAACCTTATTAGAATATAAGACCTCTCTTTATATAAGTAATAAACTATAACCTTTCTCTTTATATAAGTAATAAACTATAACCTTTAAAATTAGCTCTTATATATAATATACTTTATAGTAATAAAAAGTATAAAAAGGATAAGCCTAAAGACTTTATATATTCTTATAATACTAAAAAAAGGTATTAGTAGAAGCCTAAGGAATACTATATACTTTAATTTACTATAATAGGTAATAAGAAGGTATATATTATAAGGCCTCTAACTACCTAGTAGATCTTTAATATTAAAAGCTACTTTAGTACTAAATATAATATATATATAAGAGTAAAGTATATATAGTATAAAGGTAATAGGAGCTTTATTAGTAGTAAAGGAAAGAGTAATAAATTTATATATATATTATTTAGACTTAAACTCTTAAAAGATTATAAGGATAAGTATAGCTTTCTTAAAAGACTAGCTTATATTATTAATATAGCTTTTATAAACCTAGGTAAATACTATTTATATAAATCTATACTCTTTAATAACTATAGTAGTATATATATTATTAATAATATAATACTTTTTAACCTAGAATTAATTTAGGTCTTAGATAATAGATTTTCTATAAATATTAGTAAATAAATCCTTTAGCTAGATAGTATTAAAACCTATATAATAATAAATATATTAAATATTAAAAGTAAATCTAAAACCCTAATATTAAATAATATATATATAATACTAAAAATACTAGTTAATATTATATTAAAAATACTAGTTTACTTTATTAGTTTATAGCTATATAGCTTTAATTATACCTTATATAGAGGAGATATAGTAAAAAGTAAAGTAGTTTAATAATTAATATACTTTAATAACCTTATATTCTTTAAATATATTCCTCTTTAATAATTACTAATATACCTAGAAGATAATATAGTTATAATACTATTAAGGTAAAAGAAGGAATAAAGCTATAAATATTCTACCTAACTACTACTAGTATTATAAACTAATAAATACCTATAGTATCTTTATTTAGGGTATTTAAGGCTATAAGCTTTAAATATAATTAGTAAAAGTATATTAAATATAAAGATTATTAAAATTAAGTATATTAACTATAAAAGCTATATATTAACCTATATAGGCTAAGTTATCTTATAATAACCTAGCTATAACCTTATATAAAGACTATTTAATAGGATTAGTTAAGATCTTTAAGACTATCCTATAAGTTATAATAGTAAATTCTAGTTATTTACTATTAAAGATAAGTATATAAAGTATATCTATTATTAGCTATTACCTTTAAAAGTATAAAGACCCCTATTTTATACTATCTAAGCCTTCTATATATAGGTAAAAACCTAATATAGACTAGATATATATATAATTGTTATAACCAACAGGGCATATATAGGGTAAGAGGTGAAGTTGTTATATTATGTAACTTCTATCTAGTTGTATAGTATAGGTAAGTGCTAGATATACTAGGTAATAGGAGATTATTCTTTTAGCTTTAAAGCTACCTATTATTACTCCTACTTAATCTATATTAACTAGGAAAAATAACTAGAAATAACTATAAGGAATAAAATAATAACTATAAGGAATAAAATAATAACTATAAAGAATAAAATAATAACTATAAGGAAAAGTAGTAACTACTATAGCTACTATAATATACTATAATAGTAGCCTAATTCTCCTACTTACTAATTATTGCGCTAGCAGGCGCTATAGTGGATATAGTTGGCTAAGTATAGCGGATGTTTAGTAAGATATGCTATATATAGAGGTATATAGTAGATAGATTTATACTATATATAGTTATATATAGTAGCTAGTTATACTATATAGTGTATATATATAGTAGTTATACTATATAATAGTATATAAAGAAGTCTTAGTACTTATAACCCTAATATAAGGTACTATAGGGGCTACTATAGTAGGTAACTAAGCTAATAAAGCTAGACTATTATAAAGGCGCTATTACCTCCTATAAGTAAGTAAAGTAACTACCTATAAGCTATTAACTACTAATATATATAACTACTAATTATCCCTTTATTCTTATAATTTCCTAGTAGTACCTAAGGTATTACCTATTTATATATTTAACTATAGCCTCTTCCTTTTATAGTTTATTTTATTAATTAATTAAGAATTATTATTATATAACTATTCCTATAGAGTACCTCTATAAGTACTTTATACCTATAATCTTATAACTATTACCTACTTAGGATAGTAATCCTAATACTAATTAGTAATTACCTTTACCTTAATTATAAATTTCTAATAAAATACCTATTCCCCTTATACCTTTATAGCCTTATAACCTTTTAGAACTATCTATTTTATTAATTATAATATCTAGTATAACTATTAAAAAGCCTAGTATACTACTTAATATACCTAGTAACTTAACTAATAAAAAACCTTTAATTAAGTCTTTAATATAGTTTTATATAATAACCTTTAAGATCTTAAGCTACTTATTAGTTATAATCCCTAATAAGGTACCTAAAAGCCTTACTTATCTTACCTATCTCCTCCTAGCTAACTAGAAATTATTCTAGCTATACTCTCTTATTTAGAGTATTAAAAAAGCTATTAACCTTAATTAATAAATTACTATAGTAATTATTTTTTATACCTTTATATATAATACCTATTATAAATAATTTAGTAGCTACTTCTAAGAGTACTTTTATAAGGATTTTACTTACTAAACTAAAGCTAACTAGAAAATAGTTAATAAGGAGGTCCTTTATAAGTTTAAAGACTATCTTAATAGTATTAAAGTTACTTTATATACTAGTAAAGAATAGTAAATTACTAAAACTATTTAGAAGACTATCTCTAGTAAATATATTAGCTATAAAAGTAATTACCTTTTTCCTTTTTTAAAAGAAGGACTTCTTATAATATAATCTAACTAGCTCTTAGTAAAACTATTTACTATTAAATTAGGATTTATAAGGAAGTTACTATTTAGTTTCCTCCTAGCTAATAAACCCTTAAAACTAGCTAATAATAAAGGGAAGGATACTTATAGCCTTTTCTATCTAGATAATAATAACTTACTCTAGATAGCCTAAGTATTAGTACCTTAGTATATATTACTACTAAAACCGCCTTAGGAAATACTAGAGAAAGACCTATATAGTATAGAAAATACCCTACCTAAACCTATAAGGATTTACTAGGACCCTTATATAACTAGACTTCTTTTAATACTTAATACCCCTTAAGTGCCTAACTTACTTATAGTAATTAATACCCTTATACCTCCTAATACCTTATAGAACTCTAGCTATAATAAGTATACTTAGCCCTTTATACTATAACTATATTAAGGGAACTTTACTTATTAGTATTATAAAAGGTAGGCTACCTAATAACCCCCTAAATATAAGGTATTACTACTACCCTTACTAAGACTACCTATACCCCTATTATAGCTACTATAGGGACTACTATAGCTATTATATTAATAAGGAGTATTATTATTAC